AGGTGAATTAACCTGGTCAAACAGAAGATTCCAGACACGATTGCTCCCCCTGATGGGTTTTTAACACCTGTCAGTGAACCCGGGGTTAAAACTAGATTGCCACACTTAATCAGAGAGGGTCAGTCAGAATTGATTGACAATAGCAATGAAAGATAATTGGAGGTGGAGGTACCTCAGGGGGAGGGTTGGGATCCTTTCCTGTAGGAAAGGTTAGATACTGGTAAATGGGAGGAGTTAACTTGGCAGATGGATTAGGGTACAGATTATACTGCTAGGCATCTGATATTTACTTCATAGTGCTGCCAGCAGGCCAACAAGCTAGATCCTCGGCAGTAGAAAGTAATTCTAGCTGTGCTAGTCTTGTTTAGCAATTGGCTGGAATGTTCCCATGTACGATTGTATATTATTGTCAATTTTTTATTCAGCGGTTAGGAAGCTAGCTAAGTCTACGCTACCTTTCTTTATTTATCTAACTATACATTCTGCTTAAAATAGTTCTTTGTGAGTATTCAGTTAGTAAGCTGGTTTTCTACTCCTATTTTTTGTATGTTTGTATTACATATTTTTCAGTGTATGTTTCATGTCCATAAAATAAGACGAATAATATTTAATAAAATGAAATTAAAATGTTTTAAACAAACATCAACCAAAACATTAGCCTAGACTGTGAGGAAATGATGCCCACTTGTGCAACCATGTAGTGACGTTTGTGATAGCCCACCCTGTGCTCACTAAATGTTTTCGCCTACACAGGGGATTGACAACCCTGTGGATAAAATCATGGGTGTAAAGAATAAAATGTTTTGGGTTTTCAGCACATAACCTGCACCGCATGTTCATGTCAAAACAATGTCAGACAGTTTGGAAGTCTGAGTGAAGACGTACAATAGACTTAAGAAGTCAACTATCATCCCAGTACATGAGAGGGAAGACAGGATATGTGGGTCATCAATGTGAGACATAAGCCCTTCAGACTAGACTGGAGAGAATGAGGAATATGAGGAGGAGAGATGAGATATATTTTATCAGTATACACATGCTTAGTGTAAGTATAGATACTACACATGTGTTTATTTCAATTATTTCAGTTCCCATTGGGGCAAAGACCAGTCAGTTCTGATAGCAGAAAATGGAAGGTCCAAGTACATAAACCTATACTGCGTCGGAGATCGGCAAGCTGGAAAGAGGTGGAAAAGCTTGACAGTGCCTCACGGCTGTCAGAAGTTTTATCTTGCATTACCACCAAGTTACGTTCAGATGTTGTTCATAAACCTACCATCAACATCATAACTCCACTCTAATCTCAGGTGCTCGGTTCTCTAGCTGAAGCATCTCATTGCCACCATACCATCACTGTTTAATCAAATATATTATAAATGACAAATTTTATCTAAATGATTGCTAGTGTAATAAATCAAATATATGGTTTTTATACTGCATCAGTTTGTCAAATTCCAAGTGTGTTTGTTCTTACATGTTTAACTAAACTATTAGACAGAATTGCATTTGGTGGGAGCTCATTAATATTTCTTTACCAGGAGGAGGAAGTCCGGAGGGGTCATCTGCCCTGTCTAACAATATATTAATTATAATAATCTAGACATCTAAAACCCCTTTCCTTCTTCTGTGGGTACCAAGTGCAGCTGCTGTTAATTTACAAATATGGCTGTTACCTTGGATATAAGTCCAGTTTCTCTGGTGGAGGCGAATTGTTGAGAGGAAAACTCCTACTCATCACAAAATCATCTATCCACTCAGGGACAGTGGCCCACCAGTGGGCTACGACCTAAAGGTTGAAGAACACTGAAATAGACAATGACTCCCGTCTTGTATTGTGTAAGTGTGGTATATTCTGTCATCAATTTATGAAGTGAAGGACATTTCACACCTTTCATGCACCTGGTATCATGAGTCCTATATTTTTAGCGGTACACACTTGGTGGCTGGGTCAGTATCACACCTTTATCACACCTGTATCACCTGGCTGCCTTTACTTCCAACAACATCATTACTTAGTAGCTACTTTAGGCAGGGTCAACCTGGAAGACAAGGTCAAATTTGAAATAATCAGCCAGAAATTCTTATTTTGTGAATCTTCCTGGAAATATGACAGGGCTAATTAAATGCAAACAACTGTAGATGTAAAAAATGTTAAACTTCCACAACAGGTCACTTCCATAGTAGTTCAGACCCACAATAGGTCACAGTATCAAGAGGGGGTGACCAACACTGTTCTGTACTTCTTATTTTGTGAATATCTGCCTAGTGCTAATCCTAGGTAAGAACTTTTTTTAAAAAGTTAGTTGCATATCCTTTACAGAACGTTGCAGAACCAACCCTAACAGCCCCTGGCTGTGTGGTCCCTCTAGGCAAATTTACGTCCAGTAGTTTGCCATTGCTTTCTGGACGGTCGGCTTTCTTGATACCACTGTCGAAACCAATTCAAGGCGCTTTGCCCGCAGCTGGGATCGAACCTGGCATCCTTGCATTACGAAGCGAAGCGTTCACATCGACTTAGCTACAGAGCCGACCTAGGTAAGTTGTGTATCCTTTTTAGGATGTTGCAGAGCCACCCCAACAGCACCTGGCTGTTGTGTGGTTTTTCTAGGCAAATTTATGTCCAGTAGTTTGTTATTGTTTTCTGGACGGTCGGCTTTCTTGATACCACTGTCGAAACCAACACAAGGCGCATGGCCCGCAGCTGCGATCGAACCCGGCATTACGAAACATTCGCATCGACTTAGCCACAGAGCCGACTATTATGCTAATAGACCTCACAATTTAACAGATGATAGGTAGTAAATCTAGTGTGTGTTCTCTTGATTCGTATGCTGTAAAGTGAAGTCTTAGCTGTCAGTGACTCCTTCAGTCCATAATTTTCTAGGTTAACCCCGCTCCCCAACCATTTTTTGGGCCTTTTGGTCCCTCCTGCCTCCCATTTTTATGCCGTAGGCTCATGGATTCATTCTTCTTAGGTGTCAACACAGTAAGTCTTTGTTCCTCAATAAGGTGTTCTTTACTATGACAGAAAATTGTTTTCTTTGTGGGTTCCGGGGAGGGGCAGACATACCCCTCCCTCACACATGTTGTAAAAGACGACTTATTGTGGATGTTTCCCTAAAGTCTGAGAGCCTAGGAACTAACAGTCTGCATATTAACAAACCAGATGTGTAAAATGGATGTGCACACAAAACTGAAGTTTTGTAACTAACCAAAGCCCAGAATTGGATGAATAACTAAAGCTTCCAGTCAGAGTACAGCGAGTAAATGCCAAAAAGAAAAAAAAAATTGTGGCAATACACATTATATCAAAGATTCAACTGATAAGAATCAATGTAATCTTACCAAAATTTGGTATGAACACCAAACCATTTAGCGGTTTTTGGTACGAAACCATTCTTATCAAGTTTTTTTTTTTTAAATGCCCTCCTTTGATATGCAGCACAGGTGCAATTTTTGGGACTTTATTTATATCTTACCCCAAACAGGGGAAATCCACAGGTCACTGGGCAGTCTAATATTTCAGGGGGGGGGGGGGGAGGTGGTAGACAGGCTGCATGCAGTTGTGGGACATATGCTGCACTCTTTTGCGGGACCTAGACTGCACTCTCTCATGGGACATAGGTGGGTTGAGGTTAGGGCCAAGTCTAATTGTTTTGGGGTCATTAAAAGTGTCAGAAAGCTGGGAAACATCATCTTACCACCCTGTAAAATGTTGGACTGTCCTGTGACATCATCTGGGGTAAGATATAAATAAAGCCCCAATTTTTCTTACAGCTTTTATGTGATCAAATAAATGTTTTATTAGTTTCACACAGACATAACTTCATGAATGGAGAAAAAAAAATAAACACATGTTAATTTCAGAATATATTTATTTCTTTTAAACTAAGATTAACAACATAACTGAACATAAATATAATAAGAGATTTTGTGACCAGTTTCTAAACAACCTTAGAATTTCTTCAATGTTTATCAATTTTTACGATGTTGCGTGTGGTGTATAAAATATATATTATAAATAAAATTTGTGGGGGAATTTTGTGCCGAGGTAGTAATAATATGTGATTATTTAAAATTATTCTCAGTTAACAAAGAGGAAAAAAATTGTGCAAATTTCAGATCCACCGCTTCAGATAGATGATCAGCCATTTCATACATAATCTTGAGTAAATGTTTTACAAACAGCTATGAATGCTGAATTCACAAACAAAAAGTATCCTTATTCAAAAAACAACTTATCAGATTTATATTTAGACCTCATAAAGTAGTGCTTACTATATATTTAAAGTAAAAACTGGAATGTGCATTTGGAATATAGAAATAATTTGTATATTTGTGGAGTCTTTTTATGCAACATATGCCCTTTACTATACCATCACCCTGTTTAGATCATACGATTCCTTCAATAAGTATTTTCACAACACACTACTTAGAAAATATGAAACCCTGCTTCACCAAGGCATTATAAATATAAAAAAAAGTGTAGATGATGATGTCTCCTCACAACTGAAACTCTTTGCTTGCTGCTGAAGATGTGGATGGAGCACTTACGGGAGTGTCGAGTGTTGTGATGTCGATTCTTAATACAACATTTAACCATCCAGCAGCAATTCTCATGTTGAAACAATAACTGATTGTTAAAAAAATAAAATTAAAAAAATCACCCAATGTGCAGCATGTCTTTCATCTCTTGTCATGCACAATAATTCATTTTCTTTGCTGCATTTCATCTTTCAAATGGTTCTTTCCTTCCATTATAACAATTATCAGAATAATTTCATGAGTTATTTTTGTTCCTGTGTACAATTTCCCAGAAAAAAAAACAAAGCTCTTCTTTTAATATGACAGCTCTATCAGGGAATTTGAAAAAAAAAAAAAAAAAAAAAAAACTGAACTCATGTTAGTCTACAAGAAATATTAGATAAATACAAACATTTTAAAAAAAAAATAAAGAAAATGTGGTCGGTCTCCGCTGTTCAACTGTCAAAGCTGTTTCCTTAGGAAGTCACCTCTTCCAGCGACTGCATCCGCAGGATACGCCTGAAGGTAAAAGGCTCAAAAGCATAGCCTTCACCCTCATAGAACTTGGACTGGAACTCCACCCAGTGAAGCCTCAGTGTGTGCAGGAAAGCACTGAGCCCCTCCATCAACAGCAGGATGGCAACGGTCAGGTTGGCCCAGAAGAAGAAGATCACAAAAGTAACAACACCACCAACGTATCTGCCAGCCACAGTCAGCCCCAGACTCAACACCATGTGCCACAAGACCTCAGAAAGTTCTGCACAAAGAAAAACAATGTGGTTAACAAAATACATATGCAAATTTAAACTAAAATATATTATTTTCATTCTCCCTGTCAGTGGTTTTTAGATGAAAAGGCCTCAGGCCTCTATAAAAGCAGTGGGGCGATACATGTCCTCCGCTGATTCATACAGTTTGGTTTCCACTGCAATGCCAACTGGCTAGACCCGGATCTTTCTATTTCATGATAACAGCATGACTGCAGTACAATTGGTATAGCATATCCGCATAACATAATTAGTATTCTGTCGTGACTGTGCACATGGACAAAGTTCTGAGCGTCCAAATATTGAATTGGTGTTCATATGGCGGCAAAGTCTGTTGTGTCTATTTCGCAACAGTATGTAGCTTTTGTGTGATGAGGTTGATTTAATCTTCAAGCCTCGCCATTTCCTGAAATGGAGCAGAGACCACATTAAACAAGGCGTTAGACAGGGATGTTACTATTTATTCACTGTTTACAGTGAAATAATTCTTCTTCTTCAGTATTCCGAGGCCTTGAGGTTTGTTGCTGCAGATATCACCCGCCTCCATTCATCTCTCTGGTTGGCCTTCTCTTTCCAGTCGATGACACCAAGTGTTTGCAGGTCTGATTGGATATTATCTCTCCATCATTTTCTTGGTCTGCCTCGTGTTCTACGACCATTCATCTCCCTCGTGTATACAGTTCCTATTTCTCTGTCATCTGACATTCTTTCAATATGCCCCAACCATTTCAGTCTATTAGCTCTCTTGGTTCCAGTGATCAGTGGTGATTTAAACAGATTATGAATTTCGTTATTGCTCCTCACTCTCCATTTCCCGCTGTTTGCAGCTTTGATGGGTCCAAAGATTCATCGTAAGACTGTTTTCAAAAATCTGTAATAAGGCTTCATCTCTTTTAGTTACAGTGAAATAACAACTAAAATAATAATTAGATCCATGGGTGCGCACATGCACACACACACACAAACAAGCAGGATGTACATACATTAGTATGTTGTTTGTCCATCACAAGTGATGAAGACCACTTTTCATGCAAAGTAGCAATGATCAATGATTATGAGTACGGAGGTGGCTGATTAATCCAATATGAGTATGGAAAGTTCTTGAGCAATTCGGACACACACACACAAGACATTTGGGATAGTGGTGAGAAAGGGGAATATATGAAAGACTCCAGCACTTCTGTCCATAGTAAAACCCCGTTAATGCTGCAAAACTACTGCAGTGACTTGTCTCTAAGAAGCCTCATTAACATCAGTAGCTCCATCTGCGACAGGGTTAAGCATACTATGAATTGGACATGAAAGACGTATTCTGTTTTCTCTAGAAATCTAATTTAGAAAACAAGACAAGACTTACGAGCATGAGCCAAGGAGAGAGCCCACAACCTGAGATATGAAGCTGTGTGAGAGATACATCCCAGGCAGAACTCAATGGTCTCAATCACTTGATGGATGATCATCTCACTAGTTTCCTAGATTAACCAATAAAAAAGCACACACACAATTACGTTTAAATCAGTCCTTCAGTGTGTAAGAAATCTGGCATTTAAAAAATGAATTAAACATTTAAAAAAATATTATGGACAAATAATGAGCAGCTCAAGTAAGTGACAATCAGACCTCTCTGCATTCATTCCAAGAACAGCATGAAGCACCAACAGTTCAGAGAGAAATGGCAAACTCAATCAATTAACAGGTCCTATAAAGAATGTGGATCTCTTTATAACAAGCCTGAAAGTCTCTCTTTCCCTAGAATCCTGTATCCAACTTTGCAGAAGTCAGCCTCTGTCTCATTTTCTGGAAACTGCCCCCTCCATCCCCGTTTTCTCCAGACAACCATGGCACTTGACGTGTCTAAAATACCTCAGCTTTCAGGAGAGAATGCTGTTTATGAGCTATAAATCCTAAACATCTACAAATCTCTTAATTCTACAAATCTTTAACAAATTTGCTACTTCTATGAATCTGCTACTTCTATCAATATTTATAACTATTTCTCATGCTGTTTCAAAAGACTGAAGAAGACTTTTGCCTAAGTTATGACTGCCGCTGTTTAGTGCATTTTGTTGTTCTTCATTTCATAGTCAAATCTAAATCTACACATCTGCATATAAACATGTGAAATCACTACTGTAACAACAACAATGGCAGGCAGCAGCAGCAGCAGTAGCGGCAGCGTACCTCATCTCCATGTCCATGACCACCACCACCATGACTCTGTGCAGGCGCCTGCTGGTCGTGGGCCACAGCCACAGCCGTCCCATTGGTGGGGCCCTCCTGTTGATGAAACAAGTAACAATTTCACCATCATTAGGTATGTAAATATGTGTGTGTATATGTATGTACACAGACATATATTCATGTATGTGTGTTTGTATATATGTACACACACACATATATATAAAATGACAGATAGAGAAGAAAGAAGAGGATCTGCCAAACAGTGTGATATTTTACAAATTCATTCCTTCTTTCTCCCTCTATCTACAATGGTTTATATATATATAGTACAAGAAGCAAACACCGGAAATATAAATGCAAAAAGATTATAAAACAAAAAGAATTAAGGTAAGACGTGCATAACAATAACACTTTTTTTTTAAATGATGTAAAGACTAATATGAGCAAAGACTAACATGAACTTAGATGGTTCTGATACTGAAAATACAAAATACTATTGCTCCAAAACTGACATGGATACTCGCACTAAATCTTTAACATATTAAATCAATGTTTGTGTGTGTGTATGTGTGTGGGAAAAAAAAAAGAAAAAGGGGGGGGGGGGTGGGGTGTGACAGAACTAATAGCAATTCTTCTTTCATCTACAAATGAGTACAGGTACTTCTCAACTGATTAGTCTTAAGCACTTCCTACACATATTCCCAGTGAAGTGAATTTTGCAGATGCAGAATTCTAGAGGGAACAAAGTAATCAGCCTGATGCATTCTTTCAACTCCTTTCGTGACAAACACGGTAGGTTACAGCAGCACTAGGCTTCTCTTATGGTCCATGCTAACAACACACAGGTTGAGTTTACAAAGAATCAAAGTTAAGAAAAAGCCTTGAACTCTGAAGGTTGTATCTTCATTTCATAAGTGCAGCTAATAGAGGGATTCCTGGGAACTGTCGCTGGAGTTAAGATCCATACAAGAATGAAAACATGTTCTTGTTTTGTTTGGTATTCTGACAGGTGACTAGCTATCTGTGAAAAGAGAACGAGCCGTATGGGATAACTATGGGCAATTAAGTTGATCCTCTGAACTTTAACTTCAGATCAACAGAATCAAAATGAAGTAAAGAAGCTGCCCGTGTGGATTTCTGAGCTCCATTGTGGAGGACAATAAGAACAGACCAATATTGCTACCCTAACAAGCATGCTGCAAGAGTCGACTAATTAAGGGTTCCCTAAGACAAAGTGCATCTACCTGAAATGCAAGGAACCAACAGTTTGTGTACAAATAAGCCAGATCTGTAAAACAGATATGCATGCAAAACTCAACTTCTAGAACAAGACTAAGAAGTAAACAAACAACCAGAACTTTCTTCCCGAGTTTACATCTGGTAATCGTGAAAAAGAAGTAAATAAGTTAAATAAAAGATAATTCAATTAAAAGTAGCATTTCACAAGATTAATAATTTATGTGAGATCTCTGTCAACAGGTGAGTAGAAGGTAGAGTAAAACTAAGTAAAGGACGCCTGTTCATGCCAGTAGCATATCAGCCAGGTGATACTAGACAGATGTGTAAAAACCATTCTGCCCACGACAGGTGAGGTGGTCAGCATCAAGCTGGCTGTCTTTACTTCCCAGAGACTTTACCTGGCACCCATTTGTAGGCTGAGTTGACACTGAAGCAAAGGTAAGTTTTTAACAATTCTGATGATGCAGATTCAAACTCTCAACCTTTAGGCAAGTATGTGGAGCATCTTATCACTACACCATCATGGTAAGAAAGGAGTTTAAACAAATTATAATTCAGTCAATTCAGGGAAACGAGTCATGAACAAATAAGCAGAATAGTAAAAATAATAATGGAAGATGCAGATTTTTTTTTTTAAATAGAAGAAGGGTGTAAACACACATTAAAACCACAATAAAGATATCTTGAAAGAAAATAAGCTGACTCACAAAATGACACTATTACGCATATCAGAAGAAATCCATTCTTCGGGCACAACATCAAATGGAAAAATTTGAATATGTCATGATAAAAAAGCTATAGTGTAAAGGGTGGTAAGAAACCAAGGAGATGTTAGACAGATGAGCAACATGACATGGAGGAAGAAGGAAGAGATGTTAGATGAGCATCATGGTATGGAGGAAGAAGGAAGAGATATTAGACAGATGAGCATCATGGCATGGATGAAGAAGGAAGAAATATTAGACAGATGAGCATCATGGTATGGAGGAAGAAGGAAGAGATATCAGATAGATGAGCATCATGGCATGGATGAAGAAGGAAGAGATATTAGACAGATGAGCATCATGACATGGAGGAAGAAGAAAGAGATGTTAGACAGACATCACATCATGGAGTAAGGAGTAGGAGACAGATGAACATCCTGACATGGAGGAAGAAGGAAGAGATGTTAAGACAGATGAGCATCATGAAATGGAGTAAGGAGTAGGAGACAGATGAACATCCTGACATGGAGGAAGAAGGAAGAGATGTTAGACAGATGAGCATCAAGACATGGAGGAAGAAGGAAGAGATGTTAGACAGATGAGCATCATGACATGGAGGAAGAAGGAAGAGATGTTAGACAGATGAGCATCAAGACATGGAGGAAGAAGGAAGAGATGTTAGACAGATGAGCATCAAGACATGGAGGAAGAAGGAAGAGATGTTAGACAGATGAGCATCAAGACATGGAGGAAGAAGGAAGAGATGTTAGACAGATGAGCATCAAGACATGGAGGAAGAAGGAAGAGATGTTAGACAGATGAGCATCAAGACATGGAGGAAGAAGGAAGAGATGTTAGACAGATGAGCATCATGACATGGAGGAAGAAGGAAGAGATGTTAGACAGATGAGCATCAAGACATGGAGGAAGAAGGAAGAGATGTTAGACAGATGAGCATCAAGACATGGAGGAAGAAGGAAGAGATGTTAGACAGATGAGCATCAAGACATGGAGGAAGAAGGAAGAGATGTTAGACAGATGAGCATCAAGACATGGAGGAAGAAGGAAGAGATGTTAGACAGATGAGCATCAAGACATGGAGGAAGAAGGAAGAGATGTTAGACAGATGAGCATCATGACATGGAGGAAGAAGGAAGAGATGTTAGACAGATGAGCATCAAGACATGGAGGAAGAAGGAAGAGATGTTTGACAGACATCACATCATGGAATAAGGAGTAGGAGACAGATGAACATCCTGACATGGAGGAAGAAGGAAGAGATGTTAGACAGATGAGCATCAAGACATGGAGGAAGAAGGAAGAGATGTTAGACAGATGAGCATCAAGACATGGAGGAAGAAGGAAGAGATGTTAGACAGATGAGCATCAAGACATGGAGGAAGAAGGAAGAGATGTTAGACAGATGAGCATCAAGACATGGAGGAAGAAGGAAGAGATGTTAGACAGATGAGCATCAAGACATGGAGGAAGAAGGAAGAGATGTTAGACAGATGAGCATCAAGACATGGAGGAAGAAGGAAGAGATGTTAGACAGATGAGCATCAAGACATGGAGGAAGAAGGAAGAGATGTTAGACAGATGAGCATCAAGACATGGAGGAAGAAGGAAGAGATGTTAGACAGATGAGCATCAAGACATGGAGGAAGAAGGAAGAGATGTTAGACAGATGAGCATCAAGACATGGAGGTTGTGGGATGACCACAGCCACACAGATTGCACTATAACACACACAGAGTAAACAGGGATGTGGCGGTGTACCATGACCTGGGTTCATAATGGTCAATCAACACCTCTCCTTGGACATCCTAGAAACAGGCTGGCTACCAGGACCTGGGCAGTTGAGAAACGACTGACATTTTCTTTGAAGTATAAGTGCACCTGCCTGAAAGCAAGAACCAACAGCCTGTACACAAATAAGCCAGATCAGTAAAAAGCGAATGTGCATGCAACACTCCACTCCTAGAACAAGACTATGGTCCAGAAATGGATGAAAAGCCATGACTTTCTGAACAGTTCACAGCTGATAAAAGTGAAAAAGAAGAACAAACAAGAAATAAATCTGGTCTGGAACTACCAAATAAAAGCGAGGTTATCAACAGGAACTTGAAGAACTTGACTAACTAGTATGTATGCTTACAATTACCCAACATAAGAAGATGAAGCGATGTAATAATGACCTCGATGAGTTGGCAAAGTTTTGGAACAAAACAATTAGAATACTTTCAATCTTTTATCACACAGATGTTTTTACTGAAGAAGTGTACAGTCAGTTCACAAACAAAATGAGAAACAACAGAAAGAGAGCAGCATACCTTGGGATGTCCATTGCCAAAGCTGTCATGACCATCATCCTGGAAGCCTTGATTGATATTCTAGAAACAGCAATGCAAAGTGGCATTAAAACACATATGTTCAAAGAAGAAATGACAAATGACAGACTCTAATACACTGACTCATGCATGTAAATAATGAAGATGAATGACAAAACAATCATACTGAACGTACAACTCAATGACAGTTATCACCAGAAGGGCATTCTTAAATTTTGCCTTTTTTCTCAAGTTAGAGAGAGCAAAGGCAACAGTGAAATATGTGGCTGAATATCCTATTTTATAAATCTGTGGGCTGGTTACGTAAGAAGATATTTTGTTGTGTGGTAGCTTTTGCTGTACAATTTACATTAAATATGAAGACTATTTTTTACACTCTATTATATGGTAGCCTGTGCTACATTTACACTGTTATATGGTAGCCTGTGCTACATTTACACTTAATGAAAGCAATACTGTGAAGAATAGAGTTCTAACTTTTTATCTATAATATAATTATATACTCAAGTTTACTCTTGTTTCAGACATGGTAACTTTTAACAACCGATACTTTTATAAGCTTCTTTCAACTTTAGTTGTATTCAACACACAATAAATATAATCTAATTACATTTTTTATATTGTTTATTGTACTTTAATATAGCTTTACAGCTGTAAATTTTGAGAATGATACCATATAAATGTTAAATTCATTATAATTATATATAAATAATAAATATGACCCGCCTGAAACCTACAAACATTGTAGGTTTAGATTGCAATTAATGAAATAACCACATAAGAAATTTCTATAAATCCTGATTAATTGATGATGAAATATTTATGTTAAAAAAATTAATTAATCATGACAAAGTCAGTTAAAAAAAAATAAACAGTAACTAAAAAATTATTACTACTGATTACTGACAAATCTTTAAGTATGGATCCATTTCCAATTAATAGTATACTACTGTAAAAACTTAGTTTTATATGTCTTCATTACATTTATGGTGAAATGTACGGGCGAAGGGCTAGAAGTAATGTCAAGTGTCAACACATTTTAAGGCTAGGTATTAGCTGTTGAAGACCTAACAACAGTCATGAATTTGACCATGGGGGGGGGGGGGGGGGGGGGATTGGGAAATAATATGGAGCTGAGCATTAAACGAAAACTTTCCCTTAGTTTAAAAAAAATGAGAACCCCTGTTTCTAAGTGACCTAGGAAGGTTAAACTATGACATCATAATGACTCAAAAAGAATAATTTTTTTAGCATTTAGATTCCCCAAGTACCACTTTTTAGGTAAATATAATGACATGCAGTCCTCCTAAACACTGCACAGGTGCAAAAAGAACCAATGTCACTAACTAGGCATGTCAGGATTGGCCAATGCAGCAATGTCAGGTTAACAGCATCACTGGTATTTGTAATTGATAATTATGCCAGATCATTGGCATCTATAGGTAAAAGGATAAGTGATTACTGAAAGCAGTGATCTCAAGATTCTGTGGAAACTTTTGGTGGTTTAGTTCAGTAAATAACTAAAATCTGACTATAAAAAAAAAAAATGAAAAATGCAAAATGTTGCTTAATTCGAGTATCAGCTTCCCCTCGGTGGGCTTCTGGAAATTAATTAGGGTGGGAAAAGGGGGGGGGGGGGGGTTGAAAGAGGCCCTTATATTGAAGTGTCCTTTATATTCAAAAGTCTACTGAAATGAGACATTAGGTCAGAATAGTGTATGCTGCTAGTGCTATTTATGTTGCTATATCTTAAACTGAAGTCACTTCGACTTTCTGTTAACACAATTTCTAGCATTAAAACAAAACAACAAATGTAATTAAATTACATTTCAACATTATATACTTAAACAGATATACATGTCTATAACAGGGTATGTGAAAGCTTAATATATACAGGGTATGTGAAAGCTTAACATCTGGCAGTTACAAACAAGATTATACAATGTACAGTTAAAGGGAAATGTATATACACGCTCTAATACTGATTGTATAATGCTTGACATGAAAGTATTAAAAAAACAGAGACTGGATTTTTATTATTGGAGAGGAACAAAAGTCAATTTAGATCTTTAGATTTATCATCAACATGCCAGTGACTATGAGCTGTATGGCATAGTGATTAATGTGCTTGCTCATGGAGACAGTAAATCATCACATCCTGTTGCACTGTTATAAGTCACATATGGCTTGCAGTCTATTTCTTCATCTCCTTCTATCCTGCGCAATCCTTTCGATATCATGGATGGAATCCAGTCAAGCATCTTTGGCCTCTTAACATTTTCTTTTTTTTCTTCTTTTTTTTTTCTTGAAAAAGACATTTTCTCAATTATTTTGTTTCCTATTTCAGTTTCTGTTGGTTATTCTGTGTCCCTCCTCTCTTCAAAATACTGTCATTTTCTGTCTTATAATTGTTGACACATGCTGCTAACCAGGCATTTCTCTTATTACTTTACTTTTCTTGAATGCCTCCCTTTTAATGTTCACAAATTCTCTTAGGCATTTGTGTACAAACTTTCTGTCCATGCCTCTGGAGGTTCTCAAACCTTGACTAGTGCATATGTTAACATGTTAACCCTGAAATAACATTAGAATTAAAAACATGTTGGTTTTAAAACTAGATCATTTAGCTAAGACTGTGGTGAGGTGGCCACAATATTTTCCTGACCAACACAGCTCTACGACCGATCCATCCTTACAAAAAAGGCAGGTGGCTGGTTATAATAACATACAGAATGATGTGTACTCATGTAGTGTATACAATGCCCATTTTCATAACTGACTGCTTGCATCAACAGTGACCTGCAATTCTAGTGTGCGACTGTTTTACTGGAACATCTTACAACAAACTTATACGTTTACTTTGCATGTGCAAGCTTCAAGATTGTGCTGGCATTGATATGTTTTACTCATCTTTAAATGGGATATTGAAGGACTTTTTTGTATGATATCCACTGGCACAGAAATGGAGCAGTAATGGGACAAACCAACTGCAGTGCAGCCAGAACCTTGACTAATAAGGCACTAAATAACCAGCAGAACTGTCTTGGAAGGAGACTTGCCACCCTATCTCATATGTTATGGCCTAGAATAGGGCTATTCAACTGGCAGCTCCCCATGTGTGTTCCAGGGTCCCATTTTGGGGAAAACAAGAATAGACCCACTGCCTCCCCAACAAGCATGTCGTACGAGTCGACTAATTAGGGGCTTACTTCAAAGTCAGAGTGCATCTGCCTGAGAGGAAAAGAACCAATAGTCTACATGCAAGTAAGTAAGATCTGTAAAACGGATGCACATGCAAAACTTATGTCCTGGGACAAAGCCAAAGTTCAGAAATGGAAGAACAAACAGGTCTTTCTGTCGAGGTTTACAGCCAGTGATTGCAAACAATTACAACTGGCAGCCTGCAAATACTTGGCAAATGGCCTACTGATCACTGCCAGCTATATTGTAATAATGATCTTTATACATCTTCTTCTTCTTCTTCACATTCACCAACTGTAAACTCTGGCGGAAAGTTATGGTGGTTTTATCCACTTCTGGACTGCAGAACCTGAGTGTTGCGTGTGCATCTGTTTTACAGATCTGACTCATTTGTATGCAGACTGCTGGTTCCTTGTCTCTCAGTTAGATGCACTCCGACTTCGAAAGAAGCTCCCAACTAGCAGACTCTTACAACATGCTTTTGGGTAGGCAGTGGGTCTATTCTTGTTTCCCTATAACAGGGCCCTGGAACCCACACAGAGATTTCTACATCTAGTCCCTGGTCCCTATTGATCTCCATTGTCCACATTTTGTTGACTGAATAAATGAGTTGGATAGTCCCATCTAGATGTAAGAGCCTAACATTTCATGCCTCAAAGCTAGTATTTGCTATGGGGCAGTCACTTATAAGCAGTACTGAATAGACTTCTGTAGTTCCTACAAATGAGAAGCGTAAATTAGCTGTAACATTGTCAAAGCACGTGGTGGCTCTGTAGTAAGATATTTACTTGGAGATTTGCATTTCATAAATTTTTGGTGTTCTATCTGTCATTCGGCTTTTATATATTGTTTGAATCTGACCACATAACCCATCTTTTGGGTATTCTTTGACTGCTAATTATCATCATGTTTACCTAGATATCTAGTTCACATCGTTGACTTTCTTAACAGGAATTATTTCCTGGTATGCTAAAAACATCTGCAAACACATCAAAGTGTGAGCATGCACAACACAAATATACCATCCTTCTAAAACAACCTCTTGTTATTCTCTAATGAATGTGTGTTAATTTATGGTTTAAACACCACAGCTACTGCTACCACATGATCAGCATTAGCCAATGAAACAAAAGGTGTTCATAATATATGGAAGTAGAAACAGCTAAAGTAGACTAAGCAAAATATATTCACCCTGGAAACCCTTTAAAAAACATGGGAGTTTATATATATATATATATATATATATATATATATATATATATATATATATATATATATATATATATATATAACATGGGAGTAACAATAAACACAGAGTTAAGGATTAAATGGGATTCATATCCCAGGGCCAAAAAAAGTGTATCTGGTGACTAAAAAAATCTCTATTACTGAGGCTTGAGGGGAAAACTGGACATTAACCCCCCCCCCCCCCCCCCCCCCCCCCCCCCCCCCCCCACCCCCCCCCCACCCCCCCCCCCTTTTCCAATACTATTCTAAGTACAGTGTTGATTTCAATAGTGGTGTTGAGAGCCGACTGGTAAAGACCAGTAAACTACTGAATGTAATATTGTTTTGCAAAATCATAAACAGTAAAAAAAAAATCCTGAAACTGGTTCTGCAACAACCTGTAAGAGATATGTAAACAATTGTTTTCTTGCTGTTGCTAATATTGTACCATCTTCTTCTTCTTCAGCCTTCCGAGTCCTTGATGTTCACTGCTGCAGATATCACCCGCCTAAACTCATCTCTCTGGTTGGCCATCTTTTTCCAGCTGGTGACACCAAGTTTTTGTAGGTCTGTCTGGACATTTACTCTCCATCATCATCTTGGTCTGCCTCGTGGTCTACAACCATTCAACTTCCTTGTGTATAGTTTTTACCTCTCTGTCATTTGACATTCTCTCAATATGCCCAACCATTTCAGTCTATTAGACCTCATGATGTCAGTGATCAGTTTTGATTTAAACAGAATATGTACCATACACCCAAATATTAACTTTGTTTAAATGTGTAGCCATAAGAGAACCCATTCATGAAGCATATTTTAAATGTTAGAGTTGTGATACAGAAGATTAATGCAAACCGCAACAGTTTTACTTCCCTTAATAGTTAATACCCCAACAGTTAATCACAGACAACAGTTTATTATTAAGTGAACCATTTTCCACTATATAAATATGCATGTTTGTGTTGTTATGTGGCTGCTAATACTAACTTTTGTTAAATTTATGATTAAGTGACAATATACATAATGTTCCTGTTATTGTCTGGCTGTTATCATAACTTACTTTTATTAAATTCAGGAATAATTGAGTAACATACATAATGTTCATGTTGTTATCTGCCGGTCAACATAATCTTTTTTTAATTTCAGTGTTAAGTAAAAAATTTATTACAAATATATGTAATTTACATGTAATTATCTGCTGGCTATTTTAATTAACATTTTTGTTAAGCAGAAAATCAAAATGTCTCTTAAATAAACTATATGAATTTTGCAGTAAAATAAAATATTAAAAAAAAGTAGCATTATTCTTTAAATATCAAATCTTGTAAAAAAATATTTGCTATATTTCACTTGTAATATGTGAGATCTTACAGAGACACTATTCAGATTATTTATGTGACCAATAACATCAAGTACTTCAGAAACAGAACATTATGTGAGTACTAAAGAATAATATGTCTATTTAAAGAAACTAAAAAAAAAAAAAAATGAAAGGAAAAAAACATGTACTTGATAAACCTGCAATGTTATTTCAGACTGGAGAAAGACAAGGTGAAACAAAAAAAGTTACTCAGGTGCATAATCAATATATGGGATAACTGGCAGGGTGCTAAGTTGACTGGGCCTATACTAGGTGTAACTTACCCCAACCTCCAATTCCCCCTGCAAACCGCTGGGAGCACTCCCTACACCCTGGTTTGCAGGTTTCCCTGAATCGTGGGCCTTATTATGGGGCTACACAGTAAATGTATGAAGATGATAAAGACAGGAAGAGACAGAAACCCTTTATAACTTTACAGTACTGCAGCAATGTTTACATTGTGTAGCTAAATATCCTGTATAAATGAACAAATGACAATAACATGATAGACCCACCCACACTAGACAGTGGATTACTCTGTAACAGTAGGGTGACCCAAATTAACTGTCTGATATAGCTGAACAGGGTTTCTGGGATTCGATCCTGTTCGATCTGAATATAATCAGTGGCTCTACCTTGAGTTGCTGGGTGTCAAATGTTCAGGCTGCTTAAAATCTTGTTCATCTCTGTATACACACACTGTGCTTGAAACCTACTCAGTCTACTGAGACATCTTATCTAGGTATTATACTACTGCAGTTTAAAAAAAATAAGGATCATGCTTATAATGGAAATCATTTTACTAGGTAAAGACTGGTTGTGTAAACTAATCTGAATGTGATAGTTTAGTTCAAGTCTTATTGATATTTTTTTTATCACACAGAGCAGGCAATGATAACAACAAATGCTACAGAATGTGCAAGGTAAGGACTTGAGATACAAGATTTTTTTTTTTTTTAAAATAGGGGGTAGGGGCCGGAATGACACAGACGCCTCTGTATGTGATGCTTTAAAATTAACAAAGAATATGTTTTTTTTTTTTTTACAATAGAAACTGTTCCATCTAATCCTATAAACTTTCAACGGAGCTGTATACTGCAGGCAAATGTAAATGGTATAGATATGTAGAAGCTGCCAGCAAACTATACATTTTATAGAAGGTTTAAGCTGTCAACTGCTCCAAGTTTCCATAGCTGTGTACCACTGATGCGGTAATTCTTACTGAAGCGCACACAACTCTTTGTCTGGTGACCCACAATGTTATCAGATAGGCAGCACTGACATTCTGCTTTGAATACATGGCACGATATCAACGGGTGTATTGTGTTCATATTAGGATAAAAACTACCTGAGCAGGTGAAGCTGCTGGCTGTAACCATATACAAGTTAGAAAGAACATGTCATCAAACATTTGCTAAAACTCACCCAAATATAGGAAACCTTTTTTTTTATTATTTTAAAGCCACGCCCTGGCTGTAGTTGGGAGTCCTAAAATAACCTAGCAAGTTGAACTGGGTTTCTGGGACTTGTACCTAAGTGATTTGTATTCGAAATGGCACTTTGTGTCACCGGGTGTTTATCGCTCGTTGTGCGGTCCTGATGGGGTTGAATGTCACTCCCTTATAATCAAGCAAACCTCTGTATATTTACTTGCTTTTTGTTTTCAAGTAAATTTCCTCTTCATTTATACAACATATGGCAGAAACATTAAGCATACAAATATATTTTTAAACAACTTGACGCTATAAATATATGCTAGCTTTATACTGAAGAGAACAGTACGGGATGTCAGTCTTTTGAACTTTTATTTTAAGTTATAATTTCTTCCTGAGTGCTAAAATATGAATACTACTAATATGAAGTACTTCTTGGAAAATCTAAAAGGGAATGATTGGAAACCAACATGAAAAAAAAAGCATATCTTGCTAAAGGTTACACTTAACTTGTTTTTTCTTTAACTACAACATGTACAATCACAACAAATACCACAGGAACAAACAAAATAAAATGTTTTCACAATTAAGGGGAAATAATAAACAAAGCAGCCAACAGTAAAACTTGCCTGAGCAAAGAAAACAAAACTTAAAAATATTTCAACCTCATCTTTAAACTAAAAAAGTTTGTCGCATAATATAAGAAATCACAATTCTCTTAATCCAAACATGAAAGCCTCCGTCATAAAAAAATTATTTTTTAAACTTCATACCATTGGAAGCGCTCTGCGTTAAAAGAAAAAAAGCAGTACACGCTTCCATGAGTGTTCTTATTTTGTGGGAAATATTTAATAACATATAGGATTAGTAGACCTTAAAGATAATAACAGCAGAACTCTTTAAATGCTGTTATATTTGAACTGTTCATTCATTGTGACCAGTCAGGACAACAGTTTTTATATTTGACAAGGAATAAAAACAAAGCTTCTATAAACACATGTATAGAAACATTCCCAGGAAAATAGCAGTTAATATGAGCACAAATTAAAAAAAACACAATAAGGTCATGATCACTGTTTAGAACAGGATGGGGAGAAGGGGAGAAGGGGGTGCACAATTAAAATTAGGCTAAACTGAAAGCATCCCATGTGGGCACCAAAACCAGGTTTGAAACAATATGGCTAACAATAACAACATCAATGTGAAGATACTGAAACCAGTGTGATATGTCAGGTAAACAGGATGGATTTTACCAATCAAAAAGCATAGACTTCTCACCAACATGTAAGCGCTAGATATGAAAAATGAGATGTGTATGTTACTAGTCAAACTGGACACTGGAACATTCTTTAATGGCTTAGAGAATGCTAAAATATTATTCACCAAAACTACAGGTCAGCTATGTAAGGGCAGGAAGTCAAGGAATCTTTTCTTAATGTGGCGCACTGAATGTATTTATACTGTTTGTGCAATATTTTAAACTCAGTCGGCACACAATGGGCGATGAAGTCAATACTGCACAGGAAATTTCCTGGCAGCCATTGTAGGCTGGATCAACATTATGCCAAGCCTCCTTAATCACCTCTTATGACATGCATGGTAGGCTACAGCGCTTTAACCATTCTTTATTTCCCCTACAGCTACAGCAAAACACAGACTGGATTTGAAAACACAGCTGCTAACATTACCAGAGGTGAAGGGGCTAGATGTAATCATATAAACAAGACTATTCTACCTTACATACTAGAACTATTTAACTCTTTGAGTCCCAAGGAACGCATCATACGTCCATAGGTTCCTACCTAGAAGCCGAATGAACGCATGATGCGCCGATTTTATGACTCTCTTTATTCCTCCCTGGGCCTGTGACGTTAAACCCCCTGGGACTCAAAGAGTTAAATAAATTCTCAAATATCTACACACAAATGCTGTTCTGACTCTGAGAAACGGCTCTATGGATTTACAATTCTACCTCACAAATGAGTTATAAAACTGAACGGTGTTACACCGTATCCTGTTAATAGGAACCTAACAACACAATGCCCGAGTGCTTTAATGAATGGTGTCAGTGATCATGCTTTTTCCACAAGTTACCATCTCTGGTTCATGTGCTGACACATTTCTGGGCCATGAAAAGACACTGTCAAAACTCTTTTCTTGTCTTCTTCACCTATCTCTCTCTCCATAAACTATCCCAGTTATCACTGTCAAAACTCTTTTCTTGTCTTCTTCACCTATCTCTCTCTTCATAAACTATCCCAGTCATCACAGCCTAGTTTGTCTTTACTGTAACTGCAGCCAAAATGTAAATCTGCCAAGTGGCTCTTTTTGATGACTTAGCCATGGCCTTTCTTCTGTAAAGATTTAGATTATTCATTTTGACTGTCCAAAAGAATTTCAGACAATTTGTTGGTTTGTTTAATAATTATTCACATGTTTAAAATTGATTCTGTAATAATTTTTCTAGATTTCATGGTTATTAACATATGCTTTATATTATAACTGCAGTTTCTGCTTGTTCTGTTCTGGTCTTTATGACTGTGATACATCTTCTACCCGATGACATCCATATGCTTAAATACACAAACTTCTGTATATTAAAGTAATTAAAGGTCCCATTTATGCTGACATGTTCCTAAATTATTGTTAATTCTTACAGATGCTGTTTGCTGCCAGCAAAGGTTTCAAAATAATATTGTATAAACTACATTAGACAATCTCGAAATCTGTGACAGTCACAATTTACTCAGTTGATGAAATATTACCATTCTCAATCTCAGCAGTCTGTCTTAGTGAACTGCAAACATCTTTATCTTCCAAGACAAGAGAAAGACACAATAAAACCTTGAATCTAGTGAACTGCAAACATCTTTATCTTCCAAGACAAGAGAAAGACACAATAAAACCTTGAATCTAGTGAACTGCAAACATCTTTATCTTCCAAGACAAGAGAAAGACACAATAAAATCTTGAATCTAGTGAACTGCAAACATCTTTATCTTCCAAGACAAGAGAAAGACACAATAAAACCTTCAATCTAGTGAACTGCAAACATCTTTATCTTCCAAGACAAGAGAAAGACACAATAAAACCTTGAATCTAGTGAACTGCAAACATCTTTATCTTCCAAGACAAGAGAAAGACACAATAAAACCTTGAATCTAGTGAACTGCAAACATCTTTATCTTCCAAGACAAGAGAATGACACAATAAAACCTTGAATCTAGTGAACTGCAAACATCTTTATCTTCCAAGACAAGAGAAAGACACAATAAAACCTTGAATCTAGTGAACTGCAAACATCTTTATCTTCCAAGACAAGAGAAAGACACAATAAAACCTTGAATCTAGTGAACTGCAAACATCTTTATCTTCCAAGACAAGAGAATGACACAATAAAACCTTGAATCTAGTGAACTGCAAACATCTTTATCTTCCAAGACAAGAGAAAGACACAATAAAACCTTGAATCTAGTGAACTGCAAACATCTTTATCTTCCAAGACAAGAGAAAGACACAATAAAATCTTGAATCTAGTGAACTGCAAACATCTTTATCTTCCAAGACAAGAGAAAGACACAATAAAACCTTCAATCTAGTGAACTGCAAACATCTTTATCTTCCAAGACAAGAGAAAGACACAATAAAACCTTCAATCTAGTGAACTGCAAACATCTTTATCTTCCAAGACAAGAGAAAGACACAATAAAACCTTCAATCTAGTGAACTGCAAACATCTTTATCTTCCAAGACAAGAGAAAGACACAATAAAACCTTCAATCTAGTGAACTGCAAACATCTTTATCTTCCAAGACAAGAGAAAGACACAATAAAACCTTCAATCTAGTGAACTGCAAACATCTTTATCTTCCAAGACAAGAGAAAGACACAATAAAACCTTGAATCTAGTGAACTGCAAACATCTTTATCTTCCAAGACAAGAGAAAGACACAATAAAACCTTCAATCATAACAAATATAGGTAGAAGATAAACTCTCCAGGCTATTCTGGAGACCCCAACCCCTCCCCCATTTGCTATTTTGCCAGCAAGTTTCCAGTCTCAGATACAGTCTGCAGCATGTCAATATGATCAATAATGTAAACTGTCCAATACTCACATCTTCAGGTGGAACTTCATTGAAAATCAGTGGATCCGAAGGGTGGTAGGAATCTGATTTCTGAAAGAAAGAGCAGGGTTGTTAGCAGGTTATGTTGTGGTTTACAGCTAGGCTGCAATATCTGTGAATTTCAGCCCAACACATCTGATTTCATGAAACCCTCAATTAGTCAACTTGTTCTTGTATGACATGCTTGTCAACCCTGACTAAATCTAGTCACTTCTGTTTGTGACACAGTTCTGTAAATGCAGATATATGGCCACATCTGTAGTGTCCTATTCTCGACAAATGTAGTTATGTTCAACTGGTCTTGTGTGCATCTGTTTGGAGCTTATTAGGCCACAGGGGGGTCTGGGGTGTCAGATACTAGTAGTACCTCTAGTAAGGTGCTGTCATGTCTTTCTTATGGTAGTTCACCACCATTGGGCTAGGTCTGGCAATCAGCTCTCTCCTGTGGCTCCCAGCAGCTGTCAGCATGTAACAGCAGCCACAACCCGGGCTTTGACAGGCTGGCTAAGCCAGGAGAGGTGTGCAGATCTGGTTCTAAACCACTCGGTAAATGGGATATGCCTAACATGCATGCAAAGACTGGACTCAGCGGTTTGTACGGATGAAACCTTTTTTTGGTTCAACAGACAAGAAGGCGTTTACCAGCAGACTGTGGAGAGCTTGGAACAAGGCAGGGCACTTAAGACGCCTTGGTCATCCACTGCACCTAGGTCCATTTCCAATCGTCTTGACACTGTCCTGCCATTGGATCAAGATGGACACAGGCGAGAGAGTGAAGTCGACCAATTGAGCAACTCTTCCTCACTTAAACCCAATTCCTTGCGCAAGTCACTTTCATCCAGCTATCATCATTACTTTGGATGAATGTGGTCTTCATCACTAGTGATGGACGAACAACACCAGGCGAGGATATGAATACACTAACTAAAAATAGTATTTGGGGGTGGGGGGATGGAAGGGTGGAAGAGGGGAAGGGTCTCCTTATCATGATAATGGCTTTTTGGAAAGTCAAGTTGATGTCAAATGTTCCTTTAAGGCTCAGTGATTAAGGTCACCCGATACATTTGTTAAAGAAAAAAAAATTACATCTTACATTTCACTCTGTTCATGTTTATTAATTACCCCTTTATATATCCCCCCCCCCCCCCCACTTCTATTATTAGTGACCTGTGCAAGACAGTTTGGTGAAAAAAATCCAGGACTTCATATGGGCTCATGTCCCATTTTATTTTTAGCATTCACGGACAAAAAGGTTCAAAAGCAGTGGGTGTATTCTCCCTCCCAATAAAGTTGAGGTGCCCGCACAGGAATTTTTGTAACATAACATTAACAGATCTACAAGATCACCCCAGTAATTCTGAGAGGTCATTTCTTCTTATCAATTGTTTACTCTAGACAAGAATGGTCATTCTTGGCTCTGCTAGTCGGAATCCATCAGCTGTCGACTGAAAACAATCTTCTAACAGAATAAGTCATGCAAAAGAATACATGTCAGCCGCTTCAATGATCTTTAAGCAAACTGCAAACAGTCAGTGATGTCTACAGGTTACAAGGGTTCACAGACAAGGGGATACAGAAATTAACCATAATAAAAGGCACAAAAACTGAGCTGACTGACCTTTGCTCGTGACCTGCGAGTTACGACCACATAAACTGGTTTGGCAATAAGCAGTACAGGAATGGACAAAATGGCCAGAAAGAACATGATATACTGTGTTGTATCCTGGAGAGAACAAGACATGCTGATTGTAACATAGGTATATATGTAAATATATCTCATTCATTATCTACCATATTTTGACATGGGTACATAGTGATACAGCTATTCATTATATACCACACTGTGACATGGAAACATATATTAAAATATAATTCATTATCTACCATATTACACATGCTGTAGAATTCATTTATTGCTATGAAGTGCATCCACATTTGAAGCTGTGGTGTGTCACACTGTAATATATTCGTCTCACATTATTTTATGAAATAAATGATGAAAGGTTATTTGTATTTTCCAACTGTATAAAAGTGGCATGGTCACTGGCTGATGCTGGCTAGTGAAATGTTCTGAGAAGTAAAGGCAGTCAGTGTGGTGCCGATTACTCAACCCAATGAGTGCTGACTGCTCTATAAACATGTAGGGCTGGCACTCAATATATGGATAAGTGTCATTTACTTTCATACACATGACATGAGTTGGTGTGTGAGCATACATTTGCAACTGTGACAGACGGAAGACTGGGGGGGGGGGGGGAAGGAGGAGCAATCTGTATAATAAGGCTAGTCAAAGCAGTCAAGGTGCTGAAGCAATTATTGACTAGTCCCTCACTGACTGCCTGAAGGCTTCCAGTTATGTTGGTACAGTAAACTAAAAAGCTGTTTTATAAACACAGGTTATAGTGGAAAAGAACTTCAGAAGACAGAAAGGAAAAAACTACACAGGTGGCTAGGGGGGAAAAAACTGCAACATTGAGACAAGGTTTTACAGTAAAATTAAAAAAATACCATGGCCAAGTAGATGAGTAATTTAAATGCTTTTAAAGAGGATGTTCCCTTTGTGTCTTGATCTCTGTGACATTACTGGGACAACTTATAGTAGCCAATTATGGAAACCAAAAGACTAAAAAGAATCCAGAAAGAAAAAGTGATGCTCACATCTGAAGAAAACAAAAATGTGCATACAGTGACAACAAACAGGACAACACTTAAATACAGAGAGACACACAAAATAGGGTCAGCAATATGTGGAAAAGTAACATGGAAATAACAATATCCTAGCTCTGCAAGGGCCTATTTCACAAGGACACTGATTTACTTAAATCATGACAAGACAACTGTCTTGTGTTTAATCATGTTGTGGGTGAAAGGTCTGGAGAAGGTTTTGACAGCTATGAAGATCAAGGGTGTAAGAAACCAATGGAGAAAATTCTAAAGGGTTTGATAAGGTGGTACAGAGGTCAATCAGTAGCTCAACTCGACTGTGTGCAGATAATGCTGGATAGTTTGACACAGTAATCTACAAGTCAATCAGTGGCTGAGCATAGGAATAAAATAGAAATGTATGTGGAGAAACACAGCCTGACTGCCTGCACCACTCAATATGGCACATGATGCTGACATTAATATTGTTAACATTATTTTATGCAATTTTTCTGGGACTTCTACTGAATTTTAATTGACACCTCACTAATTGTCCAAGCACTTTGTCAGAAACATAAGAAAGAAACAATATACTGCGACAACTGGTATGATTTTTGGAACAAAAAAGGAAATGTAGCAAGAGAAAATTATGGTTTCTTCAACACTATTGCATATAAAGAGAGAATTAATATGCTCCCTGCTTGAGTATGGGAGCTGTAAAGAAAAAAAATGTCAACTGCACTAGTTAGCAAGACAACTAATATCATTGACATTACACTAATCAAATAAGGGCTCCCTTATTTTTTTTAGAAAATCAGGTTGCAACATTTTACTTCAGATGAAAACTGTAGTTATTTGAAGGGTAATATTCCATCGTGACCTTTCTGGGGTAGGAATTCACATTTATCCTTCTGTATATTGTAAAGTGATAAGTAACAACCACGAAGAAGCACTTAGTTAACAATTCTCAAAATTGCATTTAGATTATTATGGCTTAGTGTCAATGAGTTATTACTTTCTTCTTCTTCAGCAATCTGAGCCCTTCAGGTTCACTGCTGTTGATATCACCTGCTATCACTCATCTCTCTGACTGGCCTTCTCTTTCCATTTAGTGACACCAAGTGTTTGTAGGTCTGTCTGGATGTTATCTCTCCATCGTCTTTTCTGTCTGCCTCATGGTCTCTGACCCTTCAACTCCATTGTATACCAATCAATTATGTAATATCACATGCATATATTGGATCAACCTGAAAGAGAGGCTGATAAAAGTGAAAACACCAGACTCACTTGTCCCTTATAAAAGGTCAGGTTAGGATCACACAACTCTCCATTTATTGGGCTTGTGTACTTGAACATGAACATGTTGATGTAATCTGAACACAAGAAAAGAAACGTGTTGGTGATGTAATGTGAACACAAGTGAACCGTCATCTGAACAAACAAAAATAGACATTACAAAATAACCAGTAATAGTTAGGTTAGGTGATGCAACGTGAACACAAGCGAAACGTCACTTATTTAAAAATAGCTCAGTTGGTTAATGTCATCCGAACACAAGAAAATAGATATTTCCAAAATAACCAGTAATAGTTCGGTTAGCTGATGTAATGTGAACATGACATTTAAAAAAAAAAAACCAGTAATAGTTAGGTTAGGTGATGTAATGTGAACATAGACAGTTATTTCAAAATAACTAGTTATACATGTCCAAGTCATAACAAAAGTCTGTCGAGAATCTTCTCTCTTCTACCTCAACCTCTTATTCCACACAATTTTTAAGCTATCCCAACATGCCCAGGCTTCCTCACCTCAAGAGAGAAATTGGTGACTGTCTCTTAATAAGCAATCTTTTGGTTGTGTACTCATGAATACATTCAAGGCATATACCAAATGAGGAGAGGGACATAGAGCAAAATGTAGACCAAGAACTAGATGGAAGGATAACATCAGACAAACTCTACAGTACCACGTTGTGTCTATGGTCGAAGCAGCCAGAAAAGCATGAAGCAGGACCTTACATCTCCCTCGACACCCGAAGCGGTCAAAGAGAACATAAGAAGAAGTAGAAGACTCATTAATAACTTTCTGATGACTCACATTGGCTGTGCAAAGAATGTTCAGCATCTCATAACTGACACAGATTTTTGTTCTTGCCACAACAAACAAACTGCCTAATATCTCATCTTGAGGCCTGCCCCTCTTTGCTTTGCCTCATTCAGAACATTTACCATTTCTCTCCCCCCCCCCCCCCCCCCCCCCCCCACAATTTAGTCAAAAACATTTCAAGGCACACTATTTATTCACAGAATAATTTTTTTCTCAAGATTTGCCCCAAATTGTTTCTTCTTCTACTACGCCTAAAGTAGTGGTAAAGGGTCCCTTACTGTTACTTTACTTACTGCAGACATCCAAGGGTGGCTGGTACATTGGTTTTTACTGCTAGACTTCAATATCTGTCTTTTGGCCAACATATGCTTTTATGGTAAACCCCTAATTATTTGCATTTTACAGCCAGTTTGTTAGGAGGCAGTGGCATATACCCCCAACCCCTCCCCTTTTTTTCCGTCCACATAATGGAGCCCTAGAAACCACAAGGGTAAACAGGGAATACCAAACATTTGGAATGCTTTACTTTGAACAAAGCAAAAATACAGTGAAAGGGCTACCCCCACCCTCCTTTCCATAAACAATGCCCCCCCCCCCCTCCCCTTAGAATCCACATAAGGAATGTCTTAAATGATGTCAGAACAACTGTGACACAGAGGTAAAAGTTAATGCTCAATCACAAGTAGGTTTGTTTCTATTAAACAGTATGGCTCTGAGGTTGAGCAAGATTCACAACAGCAACACAATTCTGGGGAAGACAGGTAAATGAAGAAAGGAACTGATATGACTAAGAATATGTTAAAGCCTCATATTTCACACCCCAGTGGCGCTACATGCTATAATGCTGCCTATATCTGTTTGACATTAAAAACATTCCTTATTTCTGAGCTCTCTGGCAAATGAAAGAATGCAGTCATTAAACCAGTATCAAAGCTGAACTCTTTCAGTGCCAAGCATACATTACTTAATCTCAATTTATTCTAAGAAACTTACATGTTTTGGGTCTGAAAAGTAAAACAAAAAAAATAGTCACACTAGATTACAGAAGGAGTTAAAGTAGAAAATGGCTGACAGTGGGCTATAGCACCAGCTAAATGGGTCACAGGGTGTTTAGAAAAGTACACCATACCAGATGAATTTAGAAAAGTATATCATACCAGTTGAATAAAGACAAGTTTATCATACTATCTGAAATCAAGAAACATATGGCAAGTTCTCTAGTCCTGAATGAGTTCAAAGAGTGTCTAGAGGACAGGATCCACCACAAGGCCCTAGGTTTTATCCACTTTGATCTGGTCACCTGTGAAGTGTTGCTTAGAGCACCAGTTTAGCAATGACCCACAGAGATCTCTGAAACACCTTCACTCATAATTCATAAAGAGCCCAGAATCGAACACACCACCTTCATAGCACATGGCAAATGGCTTAACCCATTTACCATGGAGACAAGACATCTTAGCATTCACTGTAAACTTTGGACTTTGACCTTGCGGAAGGACACATCCGTTTTAGAGATCCGGCTTATTTGTGTGCAGACTGTTGGTTCCTTGCCTCTCAGGCAGACGTATTAATGCTTCGAAGGAAACATGGGTACCATCTACTTTTGTCAGGCCCCCAGTAGGGAACCTATTTCTATGATGACCACAAAGAAGTTTAGATAGGTCCTCAGCAGTGTGAGCATTGATCCTGTAGTGCCACCAAGTGTGGTTCAGCTTCTCTGCATCCTTAGACACAATATAACAAGCTTACAAAAGTATTTCACATTCAGAAATGTAAAGCCAACAGATACACTTACGAATGAGCAATGCTGGAGCACAAGATGCCCTAGATGCATCAAACATGATCCACTTGTAGAAGATCATAGCCACCAGGTAGCCGAACAGACATCCCAGAAACAGCAGCTCAGGAATAAACTTCACAAAGATATCAATGTAACTTCTGAAGTGCCTGGAAATTCATACAAAAAACATGGATTTGGTTAAACTGTTGAAACATTAAACACAGGAATGGCTAAAACAATGATAACATGACTGTAACAACAACAACATGGTTAAATCAATGACAGCATGTAAGTAAAGTAAAGGACCTAGCAGAAACAATGACATGGCAGAAACAATGACAACATAGCAGAAACAATGACAACAGGGCAGAAACAATGACAACTTGGTGGACACAATGACAACATGGCAGAAACAATAACAACATGGCAGAAACAATGACAACCTGGTGGACACAATAACAACATGGCAGAAACAATGACAACATGGCAGAAACAATAACAACATGGCAGAAACAATGACAACCTGGTGGACACAATGACAACGTGGAAGAAACAATGACAACTTGGTGGACACAGTGACAACATGGAAGAAACAATATTGGTGGGCACAATGACAACATGGCAGAAACAATGACAATCTGGTGGACACAATGACAACATGGCAGAAAAAATGACAACCTGGTGGACACAATGACAACATGGCAGAAACAATGACAACCTGGTGGACACAATGACAACATGGCAGAAACAATAACGACCTGGTGGACACAATGACAACATGGAAGAAACAATGACAACATTGCAGAAACAATGACAACCTGGTGGACACAATGACAACATGGCAGAAACAATGACAACCTGGTGGACACAATGACAGCATGGCAGAAACAATGACAACCTGGTGGACACAATGACAACATGGAAGAAACAACGACAACCTGGTGGACACAATGACAACATGGAAGAAACAATGACAACCTGGTGGACACAATGACAACATGGCAAAAACAATGACAACCTGGTGGACACAATGACAACCTGGTGGACACAATGACAACATGGCAGAAACAATGACAACATGGCAGAAACAATGACAACATGGCAGAAACAATGACAACCTGGTGGACACAATGACAACATGGCAGAAACAATGACAACATGACAGAAACAATGACAACATGGCAGAAACAATGACAACCTGGTGGACACAATGACAACATGGCAGAAACAATGACAATTTGGTGGACACAATGACAACATGGCAGAAACAATGACAACCTGGTGGACACAATGACAACATGGCAGAAACAATGACAATTTGGTGGACACAATGACAACATGGAAGAAACAATGACAACTTGGTGGACACAATGACAACATGGTTGACAAAATAACAACATGCCTGAACAAATGACTGTGATGGACATCACATGTACTTTAAGATGGTTGAACATAATGGAGACAGACACCATAGATACTCACAAACTGAACACATTTAGACATGACACATACTTAACCACACATACTCATAAAATGTTGAACACATTGAAACACCATGCATACACACAGACAGACCTCACACGTACTCATAGATGGTTGAACATAAGGAGATACCACACATACTCACAGATGGTTGAACATAAGGAGAAACCACACATACTCACAGATGGTTGAACACAGACACCACACATACTCACAGACAGTTGAACATATGGAGATACCACACATACTTCCAGATGGTTGAACATAAGGAGATACCACACATACTCACAGATGATTGAACATTAGGAGATACCACACACACTCACAGATGATTGAACATTAGGAGATACCACACATACTCACAGATGATTGAACATTAGGAGATACCACACATACTTCCAGATGGTGGAACATTAGGAGATACCACACATACTTCCAGATGGCTGAACATTAGGAGATACCACACACTCACAGAAGTTGAACATAAGGATATACATCACATACTCAAAGACAATTGAACATAAGGAGATACCACACATACTCACAGATGGTTGAACACAAGGAGATACCACACATACTCACAGAAGTTGAACATAAGGATATACCACACATACTCACAGACAGTTGAACATAAGGAGATACCACACATACTCACAGACAGTTGAACATAAGGATATACATCACATACTCAAAGACAATTGAACATAAGGATATACCACACATACTCACAGATGGTTGAACATAAGGATATACATCACATACTCAAAGACAACTGAACATAAGGAGATACCACACATACTCACAGATGGTTGAACACAAGGAGATACCACACATACTCACAGAAGTTGAACATAAGGATATACCACACATACTCACAGACAGTTGAACATGAGGAGATACCACACATACTCAGAGATGGTTGAATATAAGGAGATACCACACATACTCACAGAAGTTGAACACAAGGAGATACCACACATACTCAGAGATGGTTGAATATAAGGAGATACCACACATACTCAAAGACAATTGAATATAAGGAGATACCACACATACTCACAGATGGTTGAACACAGACACCACACATGCTCACAAACAGTTGAACACACTGAGACACCACAAATACTCACAGATGGTTGAATACACTAACGTCACACAGACTCATAAATGGTTGAACACCCTGAGACAGACACCACATATAATTGCAGATAGTTGAACACACTGAAATGCACATAAAATATACTTACAGATGGTTGAAAACACTGAGACACACACCAAACAACATGTGAATGACTCCAAGAATGATGGCCATTTTCATCTTCAATGAGTTCAAGAAAAGGATCTTATTTTTAGCCGACTGCCAAATCTGCAACACCAAACAAACACATAAATTATCTATATGCATTCACAATTCATCCCCAATCTCTACTGTACTATATGAAGCTTTTATGCCCTGGTACTATATGCCACAGCGAGCCACACTAAAACTTTACAAAGGGTATAGAATGAGTGGAAGACCTCGGAAAATATGAAGTGATGGCATTAAGAGCAGCCTTACAGAAATGAACATTAGTCTTAATTGTGCTCTTGACAGAGCTCATCAACAAATGATGTTACATCTCCTCCCCCCCCCCCCCCCCCCCCCACACTTTGATGAGGTACAAGGTGAAAAGAAGATGAAGAAAAAGAAAAGAAGACTATATGAAGCTTTTGAACAGCAAGTTAAAAGGGGTGTAGCCAAGCAAGAGCACTATGCAGGAAGAAAAAAAACCAACAGAACTGGTGTTTCAGCTGCTACACTGTTGTGGGATTTACTTAGGATGGGATTCAAGCCCTTAAGGACTGAATGGTTTGACGCGTAGTGAGGAAACATACAACTTTACACAATTTTAAACAAACAAAAATCAAATATTTTTGTTGCTACAATTCAGGTCATGCAATCTATTAAAAAGGAAATCTTACAAAATGTAGAATTTCTGTAAACAATGATAAAAGAAGAATCTGGTCAGACAATTAGAATGCTCAGTTCTCAGTTGGCAGACCAAAGTTTTAATCCTGACTGACATATTCCCAGTTTGCAGATTTTGTGGTGAATGCACTAATCATGCATGCAAAAAAAAAATCCTCAGGATATAATTCCCCCTTCCCCCTTCTCTTTTCCTAATCCCCCTTCCTACAAGGTGGTGTAATAACTGAATAACAATTTTGAAACAATGATCATGCAGGTATATGTAAGAAGCATTATATTTCACAAGCAAAAACATTTCAAGTTAAGACAATGAGGTACTAATCTTGTCGCCATCACAAAAACAGAGAATTAACAAAAGATCTCATGCTATTATGGCATGGTGCTAGGTCAATGTCCTCCCAATCAAATGGTACTGTATGATACATGCTGGCAGCATCACACCGCCTCTCAGGTCATCAGGCAGCATCACACCGCCTCTCAGATCATCAGACAGCATCACACCACCTCTCAGATCATCAGGCATCACCACACCACCTCTCAGGTTATCAGGCAGCATCACACCACCTCTCAGATCATCAGATAGCATCACACCACCTCTCAGATCATCAGATAGCCTCACACCACCTCTCAGATCATCAGGCAGCATCACACCACCTCTCAGATCATCAGATAGCATCACACCACCTCTCAGATCATCAGATAGCATCACACCACCTCTCAGATCATCAGGCAGCATCACACCACCTCTCAGATCATCAGGCAGCATCACACCACCTCTCAGATCATCAGATAGCATCACACCACCTCTCAGATCATCAGACAGCATCACACCACCTCTCAGATCATCAGACAGCATCACACCACCCCTCAGGTCATCAGGCAGCATCACACCACCTCTCAGGTCGGCAGGCAGAATCACACCACCTCTCAGATCATCAGGCAGAATCACACCACCTCTCAGATCATCAGGCAGAATCACACCACCTCTCAGGTCGGCAGGCAGAATCACACCACCTCTCAGGTCGGCAGGCAGAATCACACCACCTCTCAGGTCGGCAGGCAGAATCACACCACCTCTCAGGTCGGCAGGCAGAATCACACCACCTCTCAGGTCGGCAGGCAGAATCACACCACCTCTCAGGTCGGCAGGCAGAATCACACCACCTCTCAGATCATCAGGCAGCATCACACCACCTCTCAGATCATCAGGCAGCATCACACCACCTCTCAGATCATCAGGCAGAATCACACCACCTCTCAGATCATCAGATAGCATCACACCACCTCTCAGATCATCAGATAGCATCACACCACCTCTCAGATCATCAGGCAGCATCACACCACCTCTCAGATCATCAGACAGCACCACACCACCTCTCAGGTCATCAGGCAGCATCACACCACCTCTCAGGTCATCAGACAGCATCACACCACCTCTCAGATCATCAGGCATCACCACACCACCTCTCAGGTTATCAGGCAGCATCACACCGCCTCTCAGATCATCAGGCAGCATCACACCACCTCTCAGATCATCAGATAGCATCACACCACCTCTCAGGTCATCAGGCAGCATCACACCACCTCTCAGGTCATCAGACAGCATCACACCACCTCTCAGATCATCAGGCATCACCACACCATCTCTCAGGTTATCAGGCAGCATCACACCGCCTCTCAGATCATCAGACAGCATCACACCACCTCTCAGATCATCAGGCAGCATCACACCGCCTCTCAGATCATCAGACAGCATCACACCACCTCTCAGATCATCAGGCATCACCACACCACCTCTCAGGTTATCAGGCAGCATCACACCACCTCTCAGATCATCAGGCATCACCACACCACCTCTCAGATCATCAGATAGCATCACACCACCTCTCAGGTCGTCAGACAGCATCACACCACCTCTCAGATCATCAGGCAGCATCACACCACCTCTCAGATCATCAGGCATCACCACACCACCTCTCAGATCATCAGGCAGCATCACACCACCTCTCAGATCATCAGGCAGCATCACACCACCTCTCAGATCATCAGGCAGCATCACACCACCTCTCAGGTCATCAGACAGCATCATCACACCACCTCTCAGATCATCAGGCAGCATCACACTGCCTCTCAGATCATCAGGCAGCATCACACCACCTCTCAGGTCATCAGACAGCATCATCACACCACCTCTCAGATCATCAGGCAGCATCACACCTCCTCTCAGGTCATCAGGCAGCACCACACTGCCTCTCATATTATCAAGCTGCATCACACAGCCTCTCAGATAATTCCCTAGTATTCAATTATTGAACAAATAAAGTCATTGAAAAACGATTTAAAAACTTTCAGGGACGTTGAACCAAAGACTATGAGGGAAGTAAGTAAGTGCATTAGACATCGTGCTACAGTAATTATTATTATTTTGTTTGTTTAAATAGCCATAGTGAGTTTGTCACAGTTCTAACTTCAAGACAAACTGGGCACCCCTTAATTGCCACCCCCCCCCCCCCCATTCGTGTGCCAACAAAACTCACACAGAATGTCAGTCATTGTCCCTTATGAAGAATTAAAAAAAAAAAAGACTGCAGTCTCTGCAAAGCCAATAGCATGCATGCATAGGACAGCTGCCAGAAGTGCCAACACAGTCCATGACAGGAACCCCAATTCATCATTGATCTTAGCAGTTGTAACAATAAATCAGCAGATGCAGGTACAATATTGCATAAGGTACCACCAGTTCTGTGACAACAGGCCATCTTTCATTTTATTACTTTGCAGTTCACAACACAAACCAGTTTGAGCAGTAAAAAAAAAGCATTCCAAATAAAATTCACAGCTAACGGTGTTGCAGCATGCATTCAACTCAGTAGCTGGGTGATAGAATTTTGCACTTTTGGTCCACATGGAGGGGAATGTGTTACACCAAACCATTGCAGAAGCAAATAACATGCCGGCTTTAATGGTCAGCCTACCTCTCCACCGTACTGGATCAGATGACTTCTTACAGTCCATGTTGTGTGCACCACTGGTAGACAAGTCTGTACATAGCCTTCTCTCTTGTGTGCTGTCAATCATTTTTTGATACAGATCATCAATTTTATTGTCATGGTAAAAATAACATGTGAAGTTAAGTCTGACCGACAACTATAAAATGAAGAAAAATCCAGTCTGCTTACAGGATCAACACCAATGAGATAGGCTGACGAATTCTTGTGCGCAAACATAGGATTCAGCTGTATGTTCTCTGAACTCCTCAACTCTGAGTCTCTGTAAATACAAGCATAACAACATTAAATGTGAACCATTAACTCCATGCTGAAATAGTGAGAAAAGTGCTCTAATATAAACACTGAGATGCGTTTTATTTGATCATGCCTTGTATAAATTCCGATCAAGCATTTATTCAACATTTATTCTGGAAATATGTCAACTTATGTCTACTTGTTTTTATGCAAACCTAAATATCCAATAGGTTTAATTCTGGTAATGTGGACAGAGCGAATTACCACTGCTTGTTCCCATCTATCAACATCACAATACTTTATTGTTATCTCTCTCTCTTTCCAACTCACTGCCGCCCTCCCACTTTCTTTCGCTCTTTCATGCGGAGAATGTTCCACTGAATCTGTAAATTACGAACTTTTTAAAAAATACAAATTTCTAATATATTGACCAATAAATTCTGGAGAGACAGCAGCCAAACAATTAATCTGTGTACAGCAGCCTAACAATTAATCTGTGTACAGCAGCCAAACAATTAATCTGTGTACAGCAGCCAAACAATTAATCTGTGTACAGCAGCCAAACAATTAATCTGTGTACAGCAGCCAAACAATTAATCTGTGTACAGCAGCCTAACAATTAATCTGTGTACAGCAGCCAAACAATTAATCTGTGTACAGCAGCCAAACAATTAATCTGTGTACAGCAGCCTAACAATAAATCTGTGTACAGCAGCCAAACAATTAATCTGTGTACAGCAGCCTAACAATTAATCTGTGTACAGCAGCCAAACAAACAATCTGTGTACAGCAGCCTAACAATTAATCTGTGTACAGCAGCCTAACAATTAATCTGTGTACAGCAGCCTAACAATTAATCTGTGTACAGCAGCCAAACAAACAATCTGTGTACAGCAGCCAAACAATTAATCTGTGTACAGCAGCCAAACAATTAATCTGTGTACAGCAGCCAAACAATTAATCTGTGTACAGCAGCCAAACAATTAATCTGTGTACAGCAGCCTAACAATTAATCTGTGTACAGCAGCCTAACAATAAATCTGTGTACAGCAGCCAAACAATTAATCTGTGTACAGCAGCCAAACAATTAATCTGTGTACAGCAGCCTAACAAACAATCTGTGTACAGCAGCCTAACAATAAATCTGTGTACAGCAGCCAAACAATTAATCTGTGTACAGCAGCCAAACAAACAATCTGTGTACAGCAGCCAAACAATTAATCTGTGTACAGCAGCCAAACAATTAATCTGTGTACAGCAGCCAAACAAACAATCTGTGTACAGCAGCCAAACAATTAATCTGTGTACAGCAGCCAAACAATAAATCTGTGTACAGCAGCCTAACAATAAATCTGTGTACAGCAGCCAAACAATAAATCTGTGTACAGCAGCCTAACAATTAATCTGTGTACAGCAGCCTAACAATTAATCTGTGTACAGCAGCCAAACAAATTATCTGTGTACAGCAGCCAAACAATTAATCTGTGTACAGCAGCCTAACAATAAATCTGTGTACAGCAGCCAAACAATTAATCTGTGTACAGCAGCCTAACAATAAATCTGTGTACAGCAGCCAAACAATTAATCTGTGTACAGCAGCCAAACAATTAATCTGTGTACAGCAGCCTAACAATAAATCTGTGTACAGCAGCCAAACAATTAATCTGTGTACAGCAGCCAAACAATTAATCTGTGTACAGCAGCCTAACAATTAATCTGTGTACAGCAGCCAAACAATTAATCTGTGTACAGCAGCCTCATAATAAATTTGTGTACAGCAGCCTCATAATAAATTTGTGTACAGCAGCCAAACAATAAATCTGTGTACAGCAGCCAAACAATAAATCTTTGTACAGCAGCCAAACAATTAATCTGTGTACAGCAGCCAAACAATAAATCTGTGTACAGCAGCCTAACAATAAATCTGTGTACAGCAGCCTAACAATTAATCTGTGTACAGCAGCCAAACAAATTATCTGTGTACAGCAGCCTAACAATAAATCTGTGTACAGCAGCCAAACAATAAATCTGTGTACAGCAGCCTAACAATAAATCTGTGTACAGCAGCCAAACAATTAATCTGTGTACAGCAGCCTAACAATAAATCTGTGTACAGCAGCCAAACAAATTATCTGTGTACAGCAGCCAAACAATTAATCTGTGTACAGCAGCCAAACAATTAATCTGTGTACAGCAGCCTAACAATAAATCTGTGTACAGCAGCCAAACAATTAATCTGTGTACAGCAGCCAAACAATTAATCTGTGTACAGCAGCCTAACAATAAATCTGTGTACAGCAGCCAAACAATTAATCTGTGTACAGCAGCCTAACAATAAATCTGTGTACAGCAGCCAAACAATAAATCTGTGTACAGCAGCCAAACAATTAATCTGTGTACAGCAGCCAAACAATTAATCTGTGTACAGCAGCCTAACAATAAATCTGTGTACAGCAGCCAAACAATTAATCTGTGTACAGCAGCCAAACAATAAATCTGTGTACAGCAGCCAAACAATTAATCTGTGTACAGCAGCCAAACAATTAATCTGTGTACAGCAGCCAAACAATTAATCTGTGTACAGTAGCCAAACAATTAATCTGTGTACAGTAGCCAAACAATTAATCTGTGTACAGCAGCCTAACAATTAATCTGTGTACAGCAGCCAAACAATTAATCTGTGTACAGCAGCCAAACAATTAATCTGTGTACAGCAGCCAAACAATTAATCTGTGTACAGCAGCCAAACAATAAATCTGTGTACAGCAGCCAAACAATTAATCTGTGTACAGCAGCCAAACAATTAATCTGTGTACAGCAGCCAAACAATTAATCTGTGTACAGCAGCCAAACAATTAATCTGTGTACAGCAGCCTAACAATTAATCTGTGTACAGCAGCCAAACAAATTATCTGTGTACAGCAGCCAAACAATTAATCTGTGTACAGCAGCCAAACAATTAATCTGTGTACAGCAGCCAAACAATTAATCTGTGTACAGCAGCCAACACAGCCAAACAATTAATCTGAGTGCAGCAGCCATCACAGCCAAACAATTAATCTGAGTACAGCAGCCAAACAATTAATCTGACTACAGCAGCCAAACAAATAATACAAGTACAGCAGCTGACACAGCCAAACAATTAATCTAACTACTGCAGTCAAACAATTAACCCGAGTACAGCTGCCAAACAATTAATCTGAGTACAGCAGATAAAACAGCCAAACAATTAATCTGAGTGCAACAGCCAAACTGTTAATCTGAGTACAGCAGCCAACACAGCCAAACAATTAATCTGACTACAGCAGCCAAACAATTATTCTTAATACAGAAACCAAAGTGTTAATCTGAGTACAGCAGCCAACTGTTGAGTGTTATAAAACATTTCATGAAGGTTTTCCAGGGCAAGGTTTTGAGTAACATTTCAGACTGTTTGTACAATTCCACTGTGGAGTTCCTGGAAATGAAAGAGCTGTTAAACTAGCTAAGGAAGGTGCAAATGAAGAACAACCTGACGTACCAGTCTCTTATCAACAAAAGAAGAGAATAATCAAATTAATCAGAAAGCCACCAAAACCAGCACAAGACGATTACTATTTCTGGGCAGGCCAGAGCATGTTATTATTCTACGCCTTAGAACAGGGCACAATTGACTTCACGGCCATAGGTACACAAAATTTAAAATCGGCAAATCAGCCATGTGCACATGTGGACTGGCACCTGGGACAACAGATCATGTCCTCCAAGATTGTCCCAAATACAACATATTAAGGCAAAACTTTTGGCCAAGAGAAACATTGGTGCAAGTCAAACTTTACGGGTCGCCAAGTGAATTACAAAAGACATTGAAGTTCATACTAGAGACAACATTGCAGATATAAATAATCTATTTCAAGTGAACAAAAGAAGAAACGAAAAAAGAAAAAAAAATGTTTGCGAGCACAGGTGTCTCAATGATTCCTGAAGGTAATAAAAAAAGTAAAGTAAAGTTCCCTTTTCACGCCTTTCGGCGCATCGGGCATATGGGCAGAGCGCCCTATATTTTTACAGACCATCAGCACTCTGTGGATAATGTGGTCAGCATTACGCCGGCTGTCTTTATTTTCCCAGGACAGCCCATCCTGGTACCCATTTTAGGCTGGGTCGACCTGCGACGCCCCATACCACGATAAAAATCCACGCAGCCTGCAGTGGGTTTCGATCGCGGTATGCTGGCTTACGAGTCGGACTCGCAACGCCTTAGCCATGGACGCCGCGCCTGAAGGTAATGCTCGGGCTATACTTGTGATGGATGAACAGCTACTTTTATGATAAAGAGACAGCCATATAGGAAAACACCTGGTGAAATAAAGTTAATTCCTTATCTCTAAACATTTCATAAGCAGAAGTATTAATATGGGAAACCTTCAACAAATATAACAAAATAACAATCTGGAAATACATACGTAAGATTTGGATACCAATGCGTCCCAAAAATATTGAAAGATCTGGAGAATGCATCATTGTAGATCACGCCAGTGTAGATGGAAAACAGGCCCATCATCATGATGATGTAGCGACCACCAAAGAAGGTGTTTGCTATCTGCAAAACACAAAATCCTCTGGTTAATCAACAACTTTCATGGCATGAAGTACAGTGTAAACACAGACTATGTCAGCTGGGTATGTCTGGTAAAAGGATTTATCTTTGTGTGCTTTATTATTTGTTGACATAACTTGTGTACTGTTTACTTCATGAGATGAAGCTAAATCTACTAGCCTCATTTTGAAAAATTCATAATGAGAAAACACCATTCTGAATAAAAGTTATAGTAAAAAGTAATAATTAAATTTTTTTTTGGTTTCAATCTTAACATGACAAAGACATTTATATATAATCAGCAACAATGTTTGATATCTTAAAATAATTATGTATTAATTTAACAATACTACAGGCAGACATTCACATCCCCAAAGCCATTTATTAAAAAAAAAAAATTAAATTAAAGATCACACTGTGCATGCACTTGCATCAGATGAGAATTCTTTCCCTTCTCTCTTTTACCCCTAATTCTCCCAGTGCAGAGTAAGTTATAATCCTTCATCATAATCATCAACAAAAACTAGACCCACTATGCAAACTATAAGTATCTTCGGATCAGCTGCCTAGTCGACAATATTTACTGTCTACTCAAAGCTAAAAGTGGACAACTCCTTCACCAATAGCAATGTCCAGCTTAGTTTCATCACCACTGCCAAATTGAAACACATTAAGAAACTCCTGAAGTTTCATGGTTTCCTGGTTACAAACTTCTCCATATTAAAGACAACCTTTATCAATTAAAATGTTTTCAAAATATAAAATCATTTGCTGTTAAACTCCAGCCTCTGAAGTTTAACATAAACTTGTATCACTGAGCAACTTTTATCATAATAAAGAACTACAATGCATGCCAAATGTAATATGCCAATTTAATTGTCTCCTGTACTTCTGCCCCCACAAGCTGATTTAATAAACAATCACCACATATAAGAGGATTAAACACAGATACTACCAAAATATACATTTCTTTAGAATTAAAATACAGCTACAAGTTTCAAATGTATTACAACAGAAACAAAAATGACAAACCTCGTTGGTGAGTTTCTTAGAGCCAATGGATTTCTCCTTTATGATCATGAACAAGCCAAACAGGAACATGATGAACCCATGTCCAGCATCACCAAACATGACAGCAAACAGAAATGGGAAGGTGATCACGGTGTAGGGAGCTATGGGAAAACAAAGGTGATCACTATGTAGGCAGCTATCGGAAACAAAAGGTGATCACGGTGTAGGGTGAAAAACAAAGGTGATCAAAGTGTGGGCAGGTAGATAAAAACAAGATGATCAAAGTGTAGTGAGTTAAGGGAAACAGTAGTGAGTTAGCCAAAGTGAAGATAGCTTTGAGAAACAAAGGTAATCATAGTATAGGCAGGCAGCTTTGGAAACACAACGCGCAACCACATGGCAAAATATGACCTTTAACAAACATAAACATCTTCATCTTATAAAGTTCATGCCATGGTGGCGTTGGTAGTCATGTCTTTCCACAACCTTCTGTCTCATGTAGATGTCAAACTGTTCATCAGCTTTTCTCTCGATCTCCATCTGCCTCTCCTTCCCTCCAACTTTCCTAATATCATAATGTACTCCAGTTTTCTACTTCTCATCGCATGGCCAAAGAATTTAGATTGTTCATGCTGACTAGCTTTACCGCTCATTCTGATTCCCTTTTCCAATAAATTCTGGGGTTAGTTTATGACATCCTGCAAAGGATGTGCAAACCAAGTATGCAGATATCAGTTATTGTAACATTTATTTCTCACTTTCCTGATTACTCATGAGATCTATTCTGCACTATTTACATAAATTAATATAAATCACTTTTAAAAGAAACTGTAACATGTTTACAGGACACATATCCTCACTGTTAATTCACTAATGAGAACATTGTATAACTGTCTGTCTGCATCAATATACTATTAACTGCAGCAGTATCATATCTTGTTTATAAGACTACATAATACAGTACTGGTAATTACATAATAAATCATTAATTTAAGGCTCTAAGACTGTGAGGGAAACACAATCTGTTGCATCAAACATTTCCATAAGAGTCTATTTTAAATTTTGTGTAACTGTTTTCAATAAAAGGAACACATATATACCACAGTACTATATCGACTATAATCTATTATCAAGAATTGTAAAAACTATATGATAAAAGTAATGTTTAGCTCCACAAATCCCGTCCATATACACACTAGCTTACTTTTGATTGGTACTTTCTTAGCCACATAGACTTGGCACCAGGTTACGGGGTGTTCCACAATGCAGTCGATATCGAGTGTTGTATATTTCAGCATGCCAGCACTTTCAACACTCCAAAAACAGAGAAACTGGATCTAACACCCCCCCCCCCCCCCACCTCTCCGCTTAGAGAGTGCTGCAACCTGTGTCACAGGCATTCTCTTTCTCAGAACAAAAACATAAATGCAAGACAACTAAGAAAGCAAAGATCAGAGCGGGACATGCCCGTAACCTCTAGGAAATTTAAACAGCCCAACAAACTTGTAAATGAAAAGTGACCTACTTTGTTTGAGGAAACTAACTTAAACCTTACCAACTATATTTCTGTTTTTTTTCTTCTTCTTCGTTGTCACTGGCTGTAGAGTTCTAGCTATTCGTTCACTTTAGAACATTAGTCTTATTCCAGAACTTATGTTTTGCGTGCACATCCATTTTACAGACCTGGCTTACTGTTGGTTCCTTACAACATGCTTGCTGGGGGTAGGGGAAGGGGGGCAGAAAGTGTACACCCCCCCCCCCCCCCCCCCCCCCCCCCCCCCCCCCCCCCCCCCCCCCCCCCCCCCCCCCCCCCCCCCCCCCGAACTACACATTGAGTAATTAATTAACAAATGCTTTGAAGCTGTATTAATGTTTTATGTCAGATACATCTGAAATCATCCACCAGGGTATATGAAATCTATACAGGGTTTGCTACAAGAGAAGAGAAGATAAAGTAGACCAATAAAGGCCAGGATTCAAAATCTGGCAGACTGGCCAGGCCTCAAATATGAACACAAGCCCTTTGCATCTGGTCATCAGTAATGGAAAGACCTGATTTAAAAAAAAAAAAAAAAATGGTCCTAAACGCAGGATCATAGATTTTTCGCTTTTCTGCACATGAAACAACCGTTTAAGAAAAGAAACCTGATCTGAGAAATTTAGAGTTGCATTCAAGACTTTTGTGGGCTGACTCTAAGGGTCTAATTTGCACTAAGACATTTTTTTTTCTTTAAGTGACGTTGGCTTCCTGGTTGACCAACCTAAAACTGGTACCAGGTATTGCTCTAGGAAGTAAAGGCGGATGATGCAATGTTCACCACATCCACCAGTGCTGAACGATCTATAAAAATTTAAGTCTGGCCCTTATGCCTGATGCATCAAAAGTTTGGAAAGAGTCCTTTTCTTTATTTACTTTACTTACCTGGGTTAACCTCTCCGTACGTGGAAACACCATAGGAGTGTACAATGTTCTGGAAGCCCTTGACAAACTTGTTGCAGTTGTAGTAGGTGGGTGGATTCTCATCGGTCACCATGGGCTGGATCACACTGGGGATTGTGCTGCCACTGATTTTCTGCAACAGATTCATTGCAGAATAGCTGAATGTGGACACATGGTGCTGTGTGCTAAAGTGACTAAATTATGTTTTTCAGCGGCAGCCATACAGCTATATGCATCTGATCCAGAACATTGAGGTAAGAACACAGACCCGATCCCAGGCTCTGGTAACCAAATTTGTTGGTAAACCAAGACAGACACTGATTATTAGCACAGGATATAATAAAAATTATGGTTAACTCCCCATGCCCTACCTCTCTGTTTAGTGATAGATAACATATCCTATGCACTGACAGATTCAGCAATAAACCTCAAGGACTTTGACTTCTGAAAAGGAGGAGGAAGAGGAAGAGGAGGCAGAAGAAAAAGAAGAGGAAGAAGATAAGAATAAGAAGATTCTTAACAATTTTAAAATAAAGTTTGTTCATTTTATTTCATCTTCCTCGTCAGACATGACTCAGTGTCCAGACATGTTATGGAGATTTCTATGGGACCTAAACTCAAAGATAAACAATTTTATATATATATGTATATTCTTGTTTGTAACTGCACCATTCATTTATGAATCGTAATTGTGTCAATATGAAGTTGATTAGTTCCATTCATGGTTTAGTTTTTATGTCATTAGTGTCCAGATAGGTTTTGCATTTCCCTGTGACAGATAAAAGTTCCCTGCCTAACAAAACTAATGGTTTCCACCCCTCCCTGTCTGGACCTCAGTTTACTTTCTAAGCATCAGGGACCCCAATATAACCTGATGGTTGAACTGGATCTCTGGAATTTGTACCTGGTGGATTCACATCTGAAAAGTGACACACTACACTTTGCTCTCTCAGTGTGTGGTCCAAGTGGGGTTCAACTTCACTCACAACAAAGCAGATAAATTGCAATGACTGAAAGTTGCCCCTGACTCACCTCACCAATGCTGAGGGCCCGTCGGATGTCATCTATGGCCTTGACAGGGAACCAACACTCGGCGGTCAAGCTGTTGAGGTGGACCTTGAACATGTTCATTGTATGGTAAATGGCCTTGATTTTTTCCACTTTGATTGTCCATGCTCTGATCTCTTTCTGGGCCTTAGACAGAACTCGCTTGCGATGTTCGTTGCTTTGAGCCAGCACCTGATGGAAAGTGGGAAGCAACAACAAAATTAATAAACTGTTTAAATCACCACTTCTTACTGGTATCGTGAGGGCTCCCAGACTGCAATGGTTGGGACATATAGAAAGAATGGCAGACAGCAGGAAAAAAAAAAGAAAAAAATGAGCTAAATGGGAGCAGACTACGAGGCAGACTTAGAAGACAGCAGTGAAATAATAAATAAGGAGACCTAAAAACACCTGCAGTCACTAACTGGAAAGAGAAAGCCTGTCACAGAGATAAATGGATGCTGGTGATATAAGCAGCAGTGAACCTCAAGGGATTTGAATGCTGAAGGAGAAGAAGAAGAAGGAAGAAGAAGCAGAATAATAATAATAATCAGAAGGAGGACGGCGAAGAAAACCTAGAAGAAGATTCTTGTACTAACAAAAAAGGCTTTAAATACATTATATGTGCTCACATTAAAAACACGTACTTATTGTAGATTAGTAACAATAATATTGACTATGAACAAATAACCTGCTAATAAAACCAATAACAAGAAACTGAAATATTCATATTCAAACTATAAAAGTTAACCTAGATTCCACTAGAAGCCAGAAGAGTCATAACTCCACAAATGATTAATGTGGAGATGAATGAGTTTTTTTGTTCAGATGTCCAGGAAGTAAACGGAACCTAATCGTAATGCCATGCAAGTTGTGGAGGAGAAGTGAGAATCTTTCCTGTGCTCTTTGAGGCACTGTGTTAAGTTGGTCTTCATTTCTCCAAAGTTGTTCACCACGTTATTGTTCCATCTGTTGCATGGTCTTCCATTTGTTCTGTGTTCATGCAATGTGTTTCTCTGTGGTAACTGGAACCAGATTGTTTTCATCAGATGGCTAAACCGTTTCAGTCTGGTAGCTAATGCAATAATATATTCATCTGACAATAAGGTGTCAGTTTTGCAAGACAAGTAAAATCAAGGCTACTGATTCAGAAACAGGCAGTCCAAGGAAACAAGGCCTACAAAAATAATATGATCCGAGCTTACATTTTCCAAATCAACGATTCTGGTCTTGACACCATGCAACATTTCCTGTCTCTCCTGGGTAGACTCCGGCACTGGGTAAATGGTTCCCTTCATTCTGTAGAGGAAAAATAAACACACACTGAGATAGATATATTTGTTGCCACTATTTCAGTCATCTTATCTCCTGACTCACTTAAATAAAAGTGTGGGTCACGAATGTTGATCCTAATATCTGTGTACTACTGGCATACCACAAAGAAGAGAGAAATAAACATACAGTTGTTACATGATGTAAAACATATTTTGAATAAGATAACACAATCATGGAAGATAAGCAAAGTGACAAGTTGGACTGAGACATTTTACAAGCCTGGGACTAAGAAGGCTAAACAGCATGAAGAATCTATAGCATAGCATCTGCAAAAAAAGTAAACATTGTGAGGCCATGCATTATGGACCAAGAAGGTAAAAAATGTTGACATCCTGCATGACCTGAACATCAAGAACTGGCTCATAAACAGCATTATGTCCTGAAAGCTGAGGTGTTTTGGACATGTCAAGCGCCAGGGTGGTCTGAAGAGAATGGTGATGGAGGCTGCAGTTTCTGTAAAACATGGCACAAGCCAACCACAAAGATGGACACAAATCACTGGAGATGCATTAGCTATATAAGCACACAGGGCTGGAGAACTGGCTAGAGAAAGAAAGACTTTTAGGTATGTCATGAAGAGAGTGACATTCTGTAAAGGACATGCTGACTGATGGATTGATTGGTACTCAGCCACTGAAATATACCAGGCATGCAACATGGCAAGTTGCATGGCACAGTATGGACTAACACAAATTTTTTTAAAGTACTACCAACTACTAGAAAACTAACGAACACGACAGGGCAAACTCATGAAGCCCATTAGCTATGAAAAGTAGAGAAAGCTGAGGATGGATACATCCATCTTATCCACTGAAACAGCAATTGGCAGCTTAGGGTGTTGATTTACTAGAACTAAGTTACAGAGGGAGCTGCAGTGGTATAGCAGCTAGAGGCTTGCCTGCTGGCCCAAATGTTTTGGGTTTGAATCTGCATCAAGTCAGATTTTTCTTTTCTTTTTTAAATGACTGTTAGCTCTGAGGTTAAACCAGCCTTAACAAGAGATCATTGTGGTCTGAAAGGAATGGTGCGACAGGGAGTCACCAGAGGCTCGGGTCATCACTCAGAGGAAAGGTCAGAAGAACATACAATAAGACTGCTACTGGAACCCTCATGAAACTGTACTAGCTGCTAAAGATGGGGAAGGAGTGCTCAAAGGAAAGTCCTGAGTGCTATGATGTCAGTTGTTAACTCAACTATCAAAAACTAGTTAATAATAGGAATAATGGGTTTTTTTTAAACCAAACTTCCAGGGAAAAATAAATAATGACCGGCCATGATTCATTATATTTGACAGATTACTAAACATTTAAACAATCTCTAAAATATTTATTTGTTGGATAATTCCTTTTCGTTACTTAAGTTACAAATACAAATCAGTTGATAACTTGAAGAAAAAAAATTAATGCGGTACATAACTTACCCTTCGCAGACTTTCTTGACCTTGTTTCTCAGCTGTTCTCCTTGGTAAAACACCAAAAACATGCACTTATGCATCTCATCTCCCTGTCAGATTGTTTAACACAGAATGTATCACCTTCTAAATACAGCAGACAATTGAAATTATACCTTTCATACAGCTACATGTTTCTTTTAAGCCTAAGATCTTTAACACAATAATAGTTGTAAAAATTTAAAAAACATTAACACCATTACTTTACAGTAAATGTAACACCAGGAGCCATTGTGGTGCAGTAGTTACATGCTATGTCTGTCAGCTCAAAGGTCATGGATTCACATCTGCATATTTTGTGTGTGTGAGTGTGTGTGTAAAAATGATCTTGGCTCCCAGGACAACCTTGCCTAAAATGGAAACCAGGTAAAGTCTGAGGAAGTAAAGGTGGCCAGCATGCTGCTGACATCATCCATCAAGGGCTAGTCTATAAAAACTTAACTCCAGCATCACATGCATGATACCTGATACACCACTGACACCTTTACTTAATAAAAGCAACACCCTTACTTCACAGTAACACTTTCTGGTCCCCCCACTTGTGATCTGGAAGTCAATCTGCTTTAAATAAACTATTCTCTTTCTCTTTCAGTGTGTATGAGCACGTGTGTGAATGTTTGTTTCATCTCAGATGGTGTCACCACAGCAGTTTAGTAGCTAGTATACACACATGATTACTGATTTAGGAATCAACATCTTAGCATACACAGCATACCCTGTTTAACAGTATATATCTTAAAATGTAGACACTGACTTTTCCAACAGTAAATTGGCTACAAACACACATCATATTCTTCCTCTTATACATGATTTCTTGTCAGATTTACACTTAATTCCAAATTCACACCTTAGACATGTTAGTTTTTCCTGAAGAAAATACAAAGAACACCATAGATCAGTGAGTGCTTTCCAACTAAGTTTACTCAGAGGCAAACATTTTAAAAATAGGGATTTTTACGGGCCAGTGACTTGAGCTCAAGGATGCAAAGATCATTAACATTAAACAACTGCAATGATCCACGGACCATTTGTTAGGCCCCCGATGGCCAGATTTGGCCTGCAGGCGGCTAGCTGAAAAACCCTGCCTAGATGGAAATAGGAAACAAATGAGGCAGTCCTGGAAGAGACAGATGAAATCAGTAAGTTGGATAGAGAAATTAAACATGAGCAGCCAAGAATTTTTTTTTAGATATGCCTGAAAACTTAGTGATAAAAGGCAAGCTTTTTGTGAAATAAGATGCGAAACAAAAAAACAGTAGGATGACAAACAGATGGCTTAGCATATGGTAAAGAGTAAGGACAAGAGCAGAGACTTGATGTGGCATGGCAAAGGGTAGCATGCCTCGCTGTGGAGGAGAGGGGTGAGCAGTACTGTCTGGATTTTTTTTACCGTGGGACACCAGTGTGTTGGGAAATGAACAGGCGGACAGACTGACTGGCTCTGCATAACTTGGTGGAATATTGATGCATGATAAGACAGACATGGTTAGTGCCTTGTGATGCAGGGGGAAGTGATGAGAGGTTCTGACAGATGCATGAGGCTAAGAGGAAAGGCAAGACGGACGTTTAACTATAATGCTATTGGCACCATTAGTATCAGAACTCTTCGCTGGCAGCAGAAAATGGGGACGGAGCGCTTATGGGAATGCCCCGAGTGTTGTGATATTGGTTCTTGAATCAAATAAAAGACCTGAACTGTCTGTCTGGTGGACAGTTGCTTGCTCATACTGGCATGGCACAAAAATATTAAGAAATCATGTCGTAAGTCAAAATGATCAAATGTCACATTAAATCAGTCAAGTTCTGCAGACAAGACACTTAACAAAATTCCACATCACTATCATATGTAAGACACAGTGAGACTTTACTTACAGTCACGGGATCCTCAAATGTCTTGGCAATCTCCTCAATTCTCAGAAAGACAGTGCCATGGGTGACAAACCTCATCACTCTCTCAAAGACTGGGACCTTCTCTCTCGGAATTGTGCCCACATAGAATCTTTACAAATATAACACTTAATTTTAATCTGTATAAGTATCACAGAGAATCAGAATCTTTACAAGTATTATATGGAATCAAAATAAGTGCATGAAAAGGAAATGGAATATTTGCATATATCACAAAGAATAAAAAAATATGTACAAATATCAAGGATTCTGAATGTGTTCATGTATAATAAAGATTCAGAATGAGTACATGTATGACAAAGAATCAGAATGTGTACATGTATGACAAAGAATCAAAATGTCTACATGTATAGCAAAGAATCAGAATGAGTACATGTATGACAAAGAATCAGAATGTGTACATGTATGACAAAGAATCAGAATGTGTACATGTATAGCAAAGAATCAGAATGTATACATGTATGACAAAGAATCAAAATGTGTACATGTATGACAAAGAATCAAAATGTGTACATGTATAGCAAAGAATCAGAATGAGTACATGTATGACAAAGAATCAGAATGTGTACATGTATGACAAAGAATCAAAATGTGTACACGTATAGCAAAGAATCAGAATGAGTACATGTATGACAAAGAATCAGAATGTGTACATGTATGACAAAGAATCAGAATGTATACATGTATGACAAAGAATCAAAATGTGTACATGTATGACAAAGAATCAAAATGTGTACATGTATAGCAAAGAATCAGAATGAGTACATGTATGACAAAGAATCAGAATCTTTACAAGTATTATATGGAATCAAAATAAGTGCATGAAAAGGAAATGGAATATTTGCACATATCACAAAGAATAAAAAAATATGTACAAATATCAAGGATTCTGAATGTGTTCATGTATAATAAAGATTCAGAATGAGTACATGTATGACAAAGAATTAGAATGTGTACATGTATGACAAAGAATCAAAATGTGTACATGTATAGCAAAGAATCAAAATGTGTACATGTATAGCAAAGAATCAGAATGTGTACATGTATGACAAAGAATCAGAATGTGTACATGTATAGCAAAGAATCAGAATGAGTACATGTATGACAAAGAATCAGAATGTGTACATGTATGACAAAGAATTAGAATGTGTACATGTATGACAAAGAATCAAAATGTGTACATGTATAGCAAAGAATCAAAATGTGTACATGTATGACAAAGAATCAAAATGTGTACATGTATAGCAAAGAATCAGAATGTATACATGAATGACAATCAATCAGAATCTGTTCAAGTATGCAACACAGTGAATCACTCTCCCCCCTGACAGACTTAAATAAAATGTGCAATGTGTTGTTTATGTCCACATTTTTTACAGTTACAATGGAAAAATACTGTTTAAAAAAACCTCTTATGTTAAGTATTATTATACAAACATCCATAAATTTATTAACATCAGCTGTGACTAAGCAGTAGTCACCATTTGCTATCTGCACGCCTGACATGTGTCTGAACTGCATTAACAGGCAGAGTTTTGTTTCGCAGACAGACACTGTATAAAATGGATACCAGCTTATTGTCTAGGCAATAAAAATATCTAGATTGGGGCACCATGTGCCAAGTGATTAACAAAATATGGGTTTCAACTATAAAACTGATACCCAATCAAGGTATGAAAAGAGTCCCTTCAATATTACACTGCAACAATCTTAAGTAAATCTCTAAATATAACATTGCTAAATAAATCACTTAACAGTTACAATGTTAAGTAAAACACTAAATAGTACCACTGTTTGATATATCACCAACTGCCAACCACTCCTCTAGACAGTAAAACTGTTACAAAATACCTAACAGTCAGTAACATTGTCACAATAAATATCTACTGACAGTAATGACAACATTGTCACAATAAATATCTACTGACAGTAATGACAACACTGTCACAATCAACTTCACTCTACATTTCTCACTGTTCACATGAATCAAACAATCAAACTGACCCAAGAGCAGCTGTCTGCTGTGATCTTGTTCCAATGATGGCCTCCTCATGACCCTGTGTCTCTTCATTCATCATGTGCTGAATATCCTGACCATACTGTAATAATTCAACATAGAAACTTCTCAATGCACTAATCATTTAGCAGTTGTGACTAGAACGTCCTGCAATTATTCAACCAAGAAAACTCTCAATGTACCATAGTAATAATCAAGTATTTGTGAATGGAATATCCTGCAATCAGTCAACCAAGAAAACTTAGTATACTACAGTAATCATCAAATATTTACTTATGGCAAGAACATCCTGCAATCATTCAACCAAGAACCCTTTCAACAGACTAGCGACTGTAGCTTAAGAATTGAAAATAGTTTCACAATTTCAAGTTACCAGAACTTGAAGTCGGCTTGCATGCAATTTCAGAGCTGCTGCTTTGTGCTAATTAAGACAAAGGTATAAGTTTCATACCATTCAGAAAACAGTAAATTTCCTTCTTCCTCTTCTGTTATCAATGTGTTCTGTACAGCTAAGCATTGCAGTTTAACACATGATCAGGGCCGCCTAAGTTTCCTGGCTTAGTGTAAAAATGGCAGGTTGTCAGAGACTCTTCCAGTCCACATTCTTTTAGGTTTCCCTCTGCCTTTGGGTCTTCCATGTTTAGGTTTATACCCGCGATGCCATCACTGGGTTTATTCGTATCAGATGGCTGAACTATTTCTGTAAATTAACGGGTATACTACTGAATGTAAAATTGCCAGGTTAAACAGGCTGGTTGTGAAGTCACGTAGAGGACACTCAACTATTTGTCACTATAACATATTGTTAATAGTGTTATTTCACTCCATTTTATTTTTTTAAGTACTATCAGCAGAATTCCAACACCTGCTAAAGTCAAAGTCTGTACCTTGCGACACCAAGATTAAAATATATAAAACGTTGATAAGATCAGTTGTTTTATATAGCTCTGTAAATTGGGCACAACTAAAAGAGATTAAGCCCCATTAAAAAATTGGGAAAACAGTGTTATGACGAATCTTTGAACCTATCGAATATGCAAACGGCGGGGAATGGAGAGTGAGAAGCAACAACAAAATTCATAATCTGTGTAAATCACTACTGAATACTGGCATCATTAGAGCTAAAAGACTGAAATGGCTGAGGCATATTTAGAGAATGTCAGATGACAGAGAGGTAAAAACTATGCACAAGGGGGCTGAATGGTCAAAGACCAAAAGGCCGACAAGAAGATGATAGAGAGATAATATACTGACAGACCCATACCCACTTGGTATCACCAACAGGAGGGAGAAGGCCAACCGGAAAGGTGTGTGGAGACATGTAAGATCAGCAGCAATGAACCTCAAGGGCTCTGAATGCTGTAGATGTACAAAATAAATTGAGGCATCTGACAAGGCAATATTCACAATTCTTAGTTAACATCACTTACCACAGCAAAGTAGGTCTGTGTGCCATCTAGGACTTCCTTCAGCTCTCGCAGCTCCAAATGGTTTTGTTTGAGTGCCTCATTGTTAGTGTTTACTTGACGAAGTTCATTATCCATCTTCTCAAATTCCACCTAAACAAGAACATAAATTGTCAATACAGGAATGGAAGAAAACATTATCTGCTTGTAGTTCTCCCATAGTCAACAGTGGGTGCTAATGATGACACCTTCATTAGGGGTGTCCAGTTGGCAAGATACTGTTATCACTTAGCCACAACAATTTCATTTTCTGGTACGGTAGCCATTCTTATGTTTTTTCTTGTTTTCTCTACTCTATATTTTCAGCACAAATAACTTCCTCTTGTCGGTTTACTGAAAACTAAAAGTTTTAGCAATGTCAATTATGTGACAGAAAAGAAGATTGTGAAAGATGCACGAAATAAGACTGATGGAACGGACTAAAATTCACGTTAATGAATCAAAACCTGCTAAAATAAATATAATGCAAAGATAGTTCCAAACAAGAAGGAAATAAATGATAAATTTTTAATGATCCTTTTTTTTTTTTTTTTTTTAGATATCCAGAAAGCAGAAAGAACAGTAAATATCCAGCAAGAAAAAAATCACAATAAGTATATATTTCTCAGCAGTGCAAACAGTCACAGGTGCTCACCTCTAGATCATTCATTTCTTTAGGTGCTGGCGCTTTTGGATTATCAAGGATATCTGGGATCCTCATTTTATCCCTCAGTATTTCCTTCTCTGTGTATCCTGCAAGAGTAAAAAAAGCAACAAATATTTTTTGAGAACAAATGAGGAGAAATATGGCAAAGTAAATAAGTATGTATGACAATGTTATACAGTGCTGACAATGGCCAGTTTTACCAACAAGACCCACTCATATTAGGAACAAGTCTGCCACAGTTAGATCATGGGATTTTAGGACTGCTGCTGTCATTACCTCCAGCTGACAGCCTGCAGTAATCACAATGTCAGAAACCACTAGGGGGAAAAAAAAAAGAAACTGGAAAGTTACCTTGTGTTTTGTTTTCATTCCACATATCATTCCCATCCCTCTTTAACAGCACAGTTTAGCAAGTAAAAGAACATTCTTAATGTATCCATAAATAAATACGGACAATTGTCAAACAGTAAATGTATGTACATGCTTAGCAAAATACAAAGACATGTATTTATATTTTATATTAAAAAAGTAACAAATACATTACAATAAAGTAATTACCCTTGATAACTTTGATTTGAAAGACTGTGAACATGGAAATGACCAAATTTAAAAAAAGGGAAACAGTACATACTAAGCTTTCTTTCCATTTCTTCACATCTACGAATCTGTGATACGTAAGTTCTTTGAAAGGCATTCACATTTTCATTCAGCTGAAAAAGAAAGCAAAAATATGCATGTATTTTAACTGAAATATAACCATCCAATCACAATTTTAAAAATGAACTAAATGAACTATATTTCCAAAGACAACGTATCATAAACACCAGCTGTAGACCGTCATAATCTTTTGTTTGCCAGAGAGAAACGGGAACATGCAACCATTGGGAAAAGAGTAAGACAATGCGAGAAGATTATTAATGGCCTTTTGAGGTTAAAGGAGGGCGGGGGCCCTAGAGGGTGTAAATGACCATGCTGTTGGAGATTGCAGGTTGTGGCAAGACTTAATCGCCCATTGCCACAGCACTTGACGGTAATGAAACATTTTTCTAAACAACAAGCAGCGATTTCTTTTAGACTTTTGCAAAAAAATGCTATTTCAGGAAACTATCACTTGCTAATTAATTGTGGCTCCTGCTTTTCTGGGTTTTTAAAAACCCATTACCACTTACTGTTTCCACTAAATTGTCAATGATGAACCTGAGTGATTATTTTTTTAAACTCTGAAAACAAAAAAATCCCACACAACTATGATGTTTGTTAAAACTGCCATGATGGAAAGCCAAGAACTACCCAATAGACTCTTTTCATCATTCATTTTTATGAATAGTTAAATGTGCTTCACGTTCAGACCTAGATATTCTCAAGCACTTTTTCCACATAGATTTTTACTTCGTTATATAGAAGGTACATACATGTTTTTTTCAACTGACATCACTACTGTCTTTCTACAATTCCTATTTCAAAGACCTGATCTCTTGTGGTTCAGGTTTATTTTTGAGTAACTGGTGATTACCCACCACATTTTGATTACTAATAATGCAGATACTGGTTTTAGAATGCCACAAACCAAATCCGTTTTCAGCAATTCTGTTAAAATTGGTTTGTTTCTTTAGCAACACTCTCAATTTTAGACAAGCATCGTAAATTACATCTGCTAATTGTATTTTGTAGTTGGCAATATCATGTTTATCGAAAATGTAATCATATAACTGATCCTAGGTTTCTGATAGCTTTATCATGTCCAAGTAGCTAGCGATGATCAAGTTAAAGGTAAGATTTATAATAATTTACAACTTACATCTTTGAACTGCACCAGCCCAAGCTCTCCTAGCTCAGAAACACAGGCATAAGCGGCCTCAGTCTGCAGGAAGATCTGACAGAGGCGCATCTCCTCACTCCTAAACAAGGAGCCCATTGTGGCAGATGGGTGCTAGAATGTCCCCTACAGAGTTTTTAAACTAAATGTCCTGGCAGCTAAAAAAATGAAACACAAACAAAATATGTTTACGTTAACTCATTGAAGTCAGAATACAATATTTAAAAAATCCCCAACATAATAAAGTACAATGAAAATTACTAAAACAGTTACTAATAAACTATAAACATTTATTAACTGGTGACTGCAGAACATAGGTAATTAAATGGTATGACAGAATCACTTGTGTGAAGCTTTAGGAGATAATTCAAGTGCATTGAGAGGTAAAGAAAAGATGCTGGTGTTGGATAAGACCATCACGGAGAAAGCCTTATAATATAACTAAAATATCTTTGCACTGGAATATCTAGTGTCAAAGGAATAAACGCTGACTGAAACTAAACGAAGAGAATTAGGGAATGAACTGAAGATTGTGGATACTTATAGTTTCAGTGGCCAGTGGTTATGCATGCCTCTGCTTCATCCTCACATGTGATCAATCCTGCTAGTGTTAAAAGGGATTTTAATTCTATCAGTAACAGCTCTGCACATAATCATTTGCATGTGATTCTTTGCAAAACAGGTGATAGTTTATCAAGTATTACCTTCCCCTTGCTCAACCCAAAAAATCTTTAATTTCCATCTAAGCCAGCATGGTATAACACTTAAGAGTCTACTAACAGTTTTTGTTGGTGTGAAGACTGTGTGTGTACTTTTCATGCAAGAAACATCTAAAGGTTTATGATCAGGATATAAAATGATTTTGTTAATTTCAAATACATATCTGAAGACAACAATCAGAGATGGACGGGCAGCAGTATGAGAGAGTGTACAATCAGGACACGAGACAGAGTATGCTGGAGATGCTTTGCAGTCAACCTTCACTGTGGAGATGGTAACTGGCTAATGGTTGATGATGATTTCAGGAAATAAATTATTAAAAAGGGTCTCAAACATTTTTCAATTGTACAATAATAATTTTAATATTTTTCTTCTTCATATTCACCAACTGTAAACTTCAGTGGAAAGTACTGATTTGTTCGGGTTTTTTTAAATGACCTCCGAACACTGGTTTTGTTACAGATTAACATTAATATATGCTAAATGGCAAATAAAACAGTTATTTACTTCATAAAATATAAAATTCATCCTGTGTTTTATTCAAAGGAATGGGTTTAATTACTTCATTGTTGTGGAAACAAAAAATAACAGACCAAATGCTTCCCAAAAAGCATGTTGCAATAGTCGACTAATTAGGAAAGTTTTCATTCAAAGTCAGAGTGCATTTGTCTGAGAAGAAAGTAACTAACAGTCTGCATAAAAAAAAGCCAGATCTGTAAAACCGTTGTTCATGCAACACTGACGTTCTGAAACAAGACAAGTGCAGCCTAAGCCCACAGGTTCCAGCACTTATGTTCAGACATTCTATTATTATATTTATTTGTCATACAACCAATTATGAATATCTTGAAAACAAATACAATATAATGCTTGAAGTGATTTGAAAGAAATACTTTGAATTTTTTTTCTATAATTGGTTACAGGAGCCCTTTTAGTACCCTTAAAAAAATCACTTGGAAATGGGGCTCACTGCCTTCCTGAAAAAAAATGTGAATTGAGGGGTGGGGGTGGTAGGTGGGAGGCCTCAAGACACCTATGCCACCCCCACCCCCTATGGCATATTTGATTTCATATTGTGCAAGTCTTGCTATTACTGTCAGTTTGTTTTCAATAAGTAATATAAGTTTTTTAATATCTTACTTCTCCATAATAATTCCATAGTTAGCGAGCATGTTAATAGCAATAAATAGATAACAGAGACTACATGATTTAGTAGAGATGACTCAGATAAGCTGTTGAAGTTAAGGAGAAGAAAAAATATAAGACTAGGACTGAATCTATTACCTTTTTTAAAGACCAGATTAAAGAGTTTTGCCACCTAACAAAAAAGGCTTATCACTGGCCATCATAGAGATATATGCAGAAGGATTATAATCAATGCAGTTAAATTAGTTGAAATAGTTGTGTATCCTTTACAGGACATGTCACATTGCAGAACCAACCCCAGCATTTTTTGGCTGTATGGTTTTTCTAGGCAAATTTACATAATCAACGCAGAGCAAGAGAAAAACAAAGCAAAATATGGAGCAACAGTATTAAGAAAACCCCTAAAGAAATTAATAACAACTTATAAAAGGCATTAGGGGACAGCAAAAAAATCTCTTGTCACCCCCACCCTACCACTTTACTAAAGTAGGAAGAGTGGAGAAGGATAAGAAGCAGGATTGACAGAAGAAGAATATATGATATGTCATTAGAGCAATACTTAGTGAGTGTCTCTAAGATAATAGTAACATGAATAAAATGCCAGTGACAATTACCCGTAGATGACATTAGATGTCAAAACCTAAAACCAACTCCAAACAGTTATTATAAATGGCACTGATGTATAATATAATAATATAATTTAATTATTTATAATTATATTAAAGTATAAGAGAGTTAACATGATAAAACAGAAAATACATTGAATTAAATGTGAATAGCCAAACCAAAGCTAATGGCAGCAATTCTAACCCCTACCGGAGTTACCTGTCAACACATACGAGACACGTCTCCCAATGTCACCCTACAAACTGGCTTTACAAGTCTACAATGTTTAAATTGTTTTTGTCACCTTCCAAATTTGCATATAAATTGCAGATCTTGTGACTGAAAACAATCACAGAAAACTGCTTCCTGTCAGTCTGTTTCTAACTCGTTTCGGCTATCCTGTTTTTTTTTTTTTTTTTAAATATACAGGATTATAGAGAAATAAATAACTACCTTGCTAAGACTAGGTGCCGAGTCCCAAGAAAACGTTCCTCACCCAATGTTTTCGTAACCAAGTGAAGTTAAATCCGGTAGCGGCAGGCGACTTCCGGTGTCTCTGTCACATGATTCTCTTGTGACGGGCGGAAGTGGTGACAGCCTCCGGTTTTTATCATCATCATGTTGTCCGAGTGCAATCTTTACAGATATCGAAGAGGAATCGTCGCTGAATATTCAGAGTTCGTACTTTGTGCGACACTGTTAACCGACGGCTAGTCGTTATGCGAAGAGAGACCAAGCCATAGGAAATAAAAACTAATGCAGTAGACGATCCTCTCGACTTTATCTTCTCTTTTTCTCCTCCACTTCTTCGCTCTCTAGAAATAAATTGTCTGTATCTACAGTATTAAGTAGAGAGTAATTACCTTACTATCTGTTATGTAAATTAAAAACGAAAAACATTAGAATTTTTTTAAAACTTGTTGGCAAAGTAATCCTTACTAGAATTGAAGAGGCAGTTGATACAATCATGAGAGATTAACAAGCTGGTTTTTGAACTGGAAGAAGTTGTCTGGATCAAACAATTACTTCTTTTTCTTCAGCATTCCAAGCCCTTAAAGTTCCTTGCTGCAGATATCATCCGTCTCCACTCATCTCTCTGGTTGGCCTTCTCTTTTCAATTGGTGATACCAAGTATTTGCACATATGTCTGGACATTATCTGTCCATTGTCTTCTTGGTCTGACACGTGGTCTAGGACAATTTATCTCCCTGGTGTTTACAGTTTTCATTTCTCTGTCATCTGACATTCTCTCAATATACCCCAAACATTTTAGTCTATCAGCTCTCATGACGCTAGTTATCAGTGGTCATTTAAACAGATTATGAATTTCTTTGTTGCAGAGGGTCATTTGTGAAAAAAAATACTCTCGTGGTTTGTAGACAGTAAAATGAGACTGGCACCGTACAAGAGAGTGGGGCCTCACCACATGAAACGGTGAAAGCAGTTGGTGTGCTGTGGCCAACCTTCATTGTGGAGACGGCACACGATTTAAATGTATCGAAAACCTCTTCACTTGTTCATCTGCCCATGCCCAATGCTGCAATAGAGATAGTAATGTCTTTGAATGTGACGATCATTTTGTCTGCCAGTTGAAATCCTTACTAAATTATACGTGGGCTGCATACTCTGCTCTTTGAAGGACATTTGTAGCGAAGTGGTTGAGCTTGCGTGGGTACTTAAGAGTGCACACGTACGTGCAGACTGAATGGTTCTAGAATATGTTCAAGAAAATCCAGGTTGGGTTCATGAGACAAGAATAGATTGTATCTCTAAGCACTTGGCATATGTGGGTGGTCGAGACAACAAGTGTTCAGGTGATCTGACAGACAATGTGGTATCTATGACTGACCCGGTACTTGACAGATGCAGCAATTACCGCGAGGACGAACACAGCAAAGGGTATGATTTGGTATCTCTGTACAGGCTGATAAACGTGAGGGGAAAAAAAAGGGGGGGGGGGGGGCTGGAGCTGCAAGAAATAAACTTTTCAAGAAATTCATCATCACCCAACAGACGTTCGTCATTTTTATGACGTTTATGGAGGTGTTGTGATAGAGAACAGAACACCTACGGATCTGTCAGAAGTGTTGGGGGACAATCCTCACTATTCACTAAGCACTAAACGGGCTTATAGCCGCTCTGTCGAGAGAGACTAAGTCAAAAGGAATAACATCGGGTGCTTTCCAGTTGATCGTTTCGCATTTAAAAGAATTTAATATACTTAGTATATAGTAGCACTTTTTTCAAAGGGGTGGCATTAGATATGTTTTCGTCGCTTTCTTTTTACGTAACTGGCGTGTTTTCAAATTTCAACAGTATTTGTCTTTCCGTATGCGCTTTATCATCATCATCATCAGGTGCCTTGCCGACTGGCGTGGGCGATCACGCCTCTCCACAATCTGCGATCTCCTGCAGCATGGATCAGTTCGTGTGCCGACACACCTCCATGCCATGCAACAAGACTGTCAAGCATCTTCTCTCGTTGTCTTCATCTATCCCTCCTTCCACAGATCTTTCCAGTGGTCACACCATGTTGTATTTTCCTTCTTCTCCTAACATGGCCGAAAAATGATGACTGTCTCCTTCTGATGTCTGTGATAAGTTGTCTTCGGGCTCCCGCCTCTTTCAAAACCTCTTGGTTGCTCTTTTTGGCTGTCCAATGTATTCTAAGCATTCTTCTGTAAAACCGCATATCTGAGGCCTCAAGAAATTTTTTGGCCTGCCTACCGATTGTCCAGGACTCACAGCCATATGTTAAAACTGGATGTATGTAGCAAGCAATAATTCTTGTTCTAACTCTCAATGACAAGGATATATTGCACAAGATGTTTTTCATTTTATAAAATGCAGTTTTTGCCTGTCCTATTCTGTTTCTTATTTCAGTTATGCATCTTCCATCTGATGTTATCCATGTGCCCAGATACTTAAATTTCTGTACTTGTCCTAAAATAACACCATCGACTTTTATTACACATTTAGGAATAATTCGTTTCTTTGATACCACCATTACTTCTGTCTTCCCATTATTCAAACTGAGGCCCATACCCCCATGCGCTTTATACAGAAGTTTATGTATGCTAACTCGGGAGATCTGCTAGTGGCAAAAACAAAACTCGATATCAACTATAGTCAGATATCACCACAGAGGTCATCAGTTATCTACACCCTGCCTTGACTTGTTATCTAGCGTACAGCTTGTGAGAGGGTGTATTTAAGCTGTCGATTTCCCTAAGTCCTTATTAATTACCCTTTAATAAACCGACTCGTTTGGATACTGTAATTACAAAACGTTTTGTGTATGAAATACTGATTAATGTGTTTTAAAATGTTTTTATTCTATTGACTTGGTATTGTAGCCTTTTAATATTTGAGGTAAATTATTTTATAACTCAGTTAGTTAGTTTTTTAGTTAGTCTTTCCTCTTGAGCCCAAGGCGGCGCGTAGGGCAAAGGTCATAGCTCTCCATGTCTGATCTGACGGTTCGTTGCCACCTGTGTTAGGTCTTGGATATTCATTAGGCCCATGGTTGAGCCTTCCCTGAAGATGGTTCTACGCAGGATCTCTGTTGGTCTTCCCCGTTTTCTTTTCCCTTGCGGTGTGCATATGAGGGCTAGATGGGGTAGTCTGGTCTTATTCATTCTGAGTGCGTGACCGATGTAGTTCCAGCGGCCTTTTCTTATAAAATTGGATACACTTTCTTGCTTATTCTCTTGTCCTATTTGCGTATTGGATCTGAAATATGTCCAGTGAAGATTCAGTATTCTTCTAATACATCTGTTCTCAAAATGGTCTTTTTGATATCTTTATCTAGAGCTACCGTTGCTTTCCAACTCTCGCATCGGTACGTTAGCTTTGGAAACATACAAGAGTTAAAGATCTTGAGTTTGGTGTGTATGCTGAATGCAAACTTGGTACACATATAACAACTAACTATAACCATAAAATATATTACTCAACACAATAGTAAAATCAAGCACATTTAAACACCATTCTCGGGCAACTAGTGCATCTGACCCACCGTGCTGGACCCATATATTTGCAGACCGACACTCTGCGGGTGATGTGGTCAAAATCACTGTGGCAGTCTTTGGTTCAAACATGGTACTCTTGTTAGACTAGGTCTATGCGTACAACATAAACCTAGATGTGGATTCGAACTTAACACCTTTATGCCCTCAAGTGAGCGTAGTAAAATCAGTACATTATTGTATACACAAGAACTATAATTTGTTTCATTGAACGATTGTACTCTCCGGTGCACGCACATATAGAGTAAGAAAAGAAAGACGAGGTTTACTAATGCCATTTAACATATTATACCTTAAAGTTATGTTTAAAAAAATTTCTATACAGGCCCGAGAATGACTAGATTCGACCATGAGTATCATCTACACACTGTGTTTCTGCTCTGTGTAATCATGCCCACTGTTAGTGGAAATATTTGCTGCAGCTACCCGCAGTTTGAGGCAGACACCTACAGCGATGAAGCCTATGTCTTCATAGACTCTGGACGTCTTGGTACAACCTACAGGTCAATGATTTTCACTGTGTCTTTAAATTATAACTTGTATTGTTTACGGCTTGCTTCGCTGGTCATATCTACTGCTAGTTCGAAGCAATAAACAATTTGGTAATCAAGTAATATAACGAAAAAATTAATTTCTTTTAAAAACAAACTCGCGAAAAAATCGAGAGCGTAACGACATGATCAAAGTCAAAGAAGAAGAGAGGCAAAGGAAGATAGACTGTGTGGCCCAGTTTTACTTTTTTCTACTTCCAATTAGATAAACAACAATTCCAAACTTGATCCTTTTTCAGCAGCCGGAAGGCCCCCTATATGAAGTAAAGTTCCTTGGCTATCTTATTTGGTGTCATATTCTTTGTGGTATGAAGTCACACATGATATTTTCACTTTATGGTATGGAAGAACAGCTTTATAAGAAACATTGTTCAATGTTAAATTACGTATCGACATCCCAGGACTAGGGACATGCCGATAAGCGCCGTCCCTCCCTTTCATCTCTTCCATTGGAAGCACAGAGTTCATATTTAGATAGCGCAAGTAACACTCTGAATGTATATAGTCTCGTCTTTACATTAAGTGTTGAGCGTTCGCAAATTCCGCCGGTCATTTCAGGCAGCACCATATCCCTGAGACCACGATGAACTATTTGTGTGTCCCTGCACTGTTCACTCGCTCCCAGAAATAACCTTTGTAACATCTAGCTTGTCTTGCGGCAGTTTACCACCAAGTGGTTCAGAACTCCTCAGTTTATCTGCTTGTTCGTTTCCCAACACACTGGCATAACCTGGAGAGAAAATTCTATTGACTACCCGGGACATCTGAAGCCATGCTAGCCATCTGCACGGAGCGTTCCTGTCTCCAACTTTCTCAACTTGCTCTCTGTGTCAGTTACAGTTATGGCATGGGCGTACAACTGATTTTGAAACCATTGGAAGCTGTAGAGACTGCCTCCGCCTTTATTCAAAAACTAGATATTATATCATATGTGAGGCTTTGTTGCACAAGGCATCGTTCATTCGCTTTTGCTATGAGGCTCCACGCATTTCTAGTGCATCTAACACAGAGCTAGCAGTATAGATAATCCTACCACCTGGGTGGCAGTTGTCATGAATCAGTTGATGAACTTTTGATTCTGCAGCGTTCGCTGTCCAATCCCTGCACTCATGACAAAGTGTGATTAGAACCCTACACAAATGTGATCATTGTGCAATATTATCAAGCCTGCAAACGTCTAATGTTATCTTTAGCTTGCGCATTCAAGACCTTTTTTTCAGTCTTTCAGCCCTTAGCTCTAACTAGGAGATCATGCAGGAGGTGCTTCTTGTCTGCGACTACTCTGGGATATGGATTTGCTTCCAACACTTTGAGCCTTTATATAATAGTCGGCAATGAAAGTGCATTTCACATGTATGCTATCCAGGTATCACTTGTACATCATAGAATTACTACCATGGCTTCATTTCGTATGCGATCAAGTTTCATCAACTTATTCTTTGACACCGTAAGCATTCTGAGTCCATAATCTATCACCGAGAAGATAACATGCTGGAACGTAAAATTCATTCTTTTTTTTTCAATTTCCACTGCTGCCATAATCTTCGGTACATTGAGTGCTTTTTGGCATTTCGCAGCAACTGCCTCCACAAGATACCCGAAGGGCAAGTTTCTATCGAAATTGATTCCCGGGTACCTCAGTTTTCTTTCTCTTCTGCTGTTTATATAAAAAAATTATGAGATTTAGGATATCAGCTCTTACAATTCTATTGTCCAGAGGGCACCACAAAACAATTACCTGTTCTGTGACAGTGATATCAAATATTTCTACAGTTAGTTACTAGACAGTTTTACGTCCAGAAATTTGGCGTTGTCTTCTGACCAGCAAAACACGCATACCATTGCCGAAGTCAACACAAAGAGGTTTGCTCTTATTTAACACACAGCAAGAGAAAACACATTATGCAAGGGAACAAATTTATATTCTCGCATTCACAATAGATCATTATCAGGTAAGCCCTAACAACGTGTACAAGCAACAAACCTTTCGTTTACTTATTTGAATCACTATCACTTTCAGATAATGTACAGACGCATGTTATTAATTATAATATATGTACGACATGCAAAATCAGAAATAGCGTCACCTTCACAGGATGACCAAACACAGCACTCCCAACTGTAGACACTTCAAGAGCTACCAAACGTACAATTTAGCAGAAACGCTCACCTCGCAGCAGACGCCAACTCAGCCATTTGTACCGAACTGGATAGTCAGGTTCTTCTGCCCAGGTCTTTCTGATGAGCTGTATTAATTGGTCTCCAGTTCTTTAAGGTTGTTTTTAACTCCTTCATTCCATTATGTATGTGATATTCCCCTTGATCTGTGTTCATTAAATTTCTTCGAAGTTGTTATCTGAAGCAGATAGAACTTGGCGGGTCATTTCAGATAGCAGAACCACTTCATTTGTTGCTCTTGAATAAATTGTATGACTGATTCCTCTACTCCTTCTTCGCTTTCACCGTCTGTAAACTCCGGCGGAAAGTTATGGTTGTTCGTCCACCTCTGCACATTGGTCTTGTTCCAGAACCTTAGTGTAGCGTGCACATCCGTTTTACATATCTGACTTATTATTTGTATGCAAACTGTTGGTTACTTGTCTCTCAGGTAGATGCACTCCAACTTCGAAAGAAGCTCCCAGTTAGTCGACTCTTATAACAACTACTTTAGGGAGGCAGTGGATCTATTCTTGTTTCTCCCTGGAATACACACTGGGATGTGACTAATTTTAGTCATAGTCCTAACTTATTTCTTCAATTTCAATTTTATCTCTTTTTGTTCCTTTCCTAACGCATCTCGTCTCTATTATAATTTTCTTAGTTCCAGTTAGTCAGCGGTTCTTCGTCGACTGGACCAAACTAAACTAAATGTATGCATGTTAACTTTAAATGTATGAAAGTACAAATTATTAACTACCTTGTGCGCACGATATACATATGTTATTAACAGTGTTGTTGACACATTACAATAGGTTTTTATTATTTTATAATTTCTCTGTTTTGCGTGATAAACTATTCGTCTCCTCCTGCCTTCTAGCTCCCAGTTGAGCCTATGCCCTCAATAAACTCACGTCAAGTCGTTCTATCCTTCGCTATAGCATGCAGCTGGTTCCACCATGTCCTCCCAGTCATTTTTCAACTTCAATCTCTTATCTCCCTTTTAAGTGGTTTGTGTGTGTGTGTATGTGTGTGTGTGTGTGTGTGTGTGTTTGTGTGTGTGTGTGTGTTTGTGTGTGCCTTCATTTCTATGCTCCAGTGGGTTCCAAGATATTCTACTTATATTGTACTCAGGTTTTCTCAGCATGCGTGCTATCCAACGCCAGTGTCTTTTCTTCACCTCTTGGTCCACTGGAACTCGTTTACTTTTCCGCCAAAGCTCTAGATTAGTGATTATATCTTACTACTTAATTCCCTGTTCTCTGCACAGGCACCAGTTAATGAATGTTTGTAGTTTATTGATAAATGTTTTAACTGTTCTCCATGTTTCCGCTCCGTACAACTGTACTAATTTGACATTATATCTTAAAAAAATGTAAGATTGTTAAATGTGTTGTTGACAGATAACAATAGTTTTTTTTCCCTGTGATAAACTATTCTGTACACAGAACGCGTTTCTGCCAATAAAAGGCGCTATTATTCTGTTGTGTCACCAGCTACTACAACGTCACCGCCCACATGGTTTATGACTTCACCAAGAACAGAACGTACGCCAATGTTACATCTGTGGAGGTATCGCCGCAACTACCGCAACCGCTGGTGTCACGCTATCAGCTGATCAACGACTACAATAACGTAAGCTGTAGACATGAGCCATCCATCAGTTACTGGCGTTGACTGAAAATATCGGTAGTCAACAGGGGCGTGAGAACTTTAGGGTTCGGGAACCGTCAGTGCCCCCCACCCCTTCCTTTTTTCCCCCTCTGATAATTTTATCAAAAGGGAAGCGGGGGAGGGGGGCTGAGCCCCTAAAATTTGCAACCATCTACTAATGTTTCTTTAAAGTATTTATTTATACCCTTCATACTATTTCGAATATTATATTGGCACATAATAATAATAATAATAATAACAACACCAATACTAATATTAATTGTACAGTTAAAAAGCCTTGTGAACAGGCCTAACTAGTTTATAATGATGGCAATAGGAAGTAGATACTAAATGTCAAAACAGATTTTAAGTATTAAATACCTAAATTTTTCTTTTCAATTTTTTTAAAACGAGATATTGTATGCTGTTTCCATTATATAAATTGGCTACAGTGCCCATTGCTGTCTGTAGGATATCACGCGGCCAGTCTCCAGTCTCTTCCACGATGCGACTCTCCTACTGTTGTCCAGAAACTACGAGATTGTTATCATTTACCGTCAAACTCGGAAATTTAACCCTGGTACTCGAGGAACTAGGAATTTCAAAACATTCACTCACCCCTACCCAACAGAGCCGTACATTATAAACAAACAGCAAAGGTCAGGGCAGTGGTAGTGTAATCCCAACAATTCTAGGATAGTGTTTCTGGGGCTGGAGATAGGCTAGTGTGTCTGGGGTGGAGTAGTAGTTCCCACACATTCTAGGCTAGTGTGTCTGGGGTGGAGTATTACCTAGGCTTGCATACATTCTAGGCTAGTGTATAATAATTCTTTTTCTAATTCAGAGGTATCTGAGATCGAGTATTACCTTGCATACATTCTAGGCTAGTGTATCTGAGGTGGAGTAATAGTTCGCATACATCCTAGTTCAGTGTATCTAAGGTGAAATAATAGTTCCCTTCCACACTGCCCTTGCTTCTCAGATACTTCCCATAAAATGCACGAGGCTAAATCATCCCCAGAGCAGCACGAATAAATCCTGCAACTTTAGAGGTTTGACTGGGAACTACACAAACCACTATGCCACCACGGGATGAAGGAAAGTTAATGCTATGTTATGGTTTCGGGAGAAATTATTACAGGCCTTTTTCTCGCGATGTTCGTAGGGGGCTTCAAGCGTGCCCAGGCGTTAAGACGACACTACGTGATATGTCTACATTTGGAAAGATGCTCAGTATTCTCTTCTATTTTTATAACCAGTGATTTTTTTAAACATACATACAGCACTGTGGACAGACAACACGCAGGAGAGTCTATGTGGGGCTTCTATTCCTTAGACACTTTAAGCCCGACTTAATTGTTACTACTTTATTATTGTTGATCAAGCTCTGATGTAGGATCACATCTGGCTTGCCATCATTAGTTATGTTCCTCCGTTACAGCCCACATCATTAACTTTACTAGAGATTTATATTTTCACGAAAAAGGAGTGGGTGGGAAGGGGATGGGGTGGGGAATAGGTCATAAGGGCAGCAACTGACACAACTAATAAAAGAGATAATATCACGGCAGAATAAATTAATGCATTTGCAATACAATGACAGAAAAATGCTGAGAAACAAACATTGGACAAATTGTATTAAACTAATCATGGATCCATCAAACCTTGTGTGGGTTCAGGGGCCCTATTGTGTGTCTGGGGAGAACACGACCTTCTGTCCCCTAACAAGCATGTCGTAAAAACCTACTAATTATGGGAGTCTGCATAAAAACAAGCCAAATCTGTAAAACGGATGTACACGTTAAACTCAAGTTCTGGAAGAAGACCAAAGTCCAGAAGTCGACGAATAATCAAAACTCTCCGCCAGAATTTACAGCCGGAAACTGAAGAAAAAATCAACCGCGAAATTCACAAACTGTTGACATCAACACTAATTACTGGCACCATGGGGGCTAACAGTGTCATATAGAGACAATGGTGGATCACAGGGGAAGGGGAACGGAAGGCCAACTGCCTTCACGCAAGATTTGAAAAAAAGAAAAGTTCCTCGAGCGGGTTGCTGGGCCACATTGCAGGAAAAACAAGAATAATCCCACAGCCTACCCAAAAGCATGTCTTGAGAGTCGACTAACTGGAAGGAACCAAGAGTGTACAAGCAAACTAGTCAGATCTGTGAAAGGGATGTGCACGCAACACTCAGTTTTTGGAACAGGACTATAGTCCGGAAGTGGAAGAAGAACCAGAACCTTCAGCCTGAGTTTACTGCTGGTGAACGCGAAGAGGAAGAAGAAGAGAAGTCCACAAGCCAGAACAAGATAACATAGAGGCAGACCTACAACAACTTGGTGTCACCAACTGGAAACAGAAGACCAGAGATGAATGGAGGCGGGCGATTTCAGTAGTGATGAACCTCAATGAGAAGAGAGACATTAGAGAACATCGTGTCAACTGGAAAGATCAGTGGAGAAAAGGTGTAGAGGCAGAACAAGAGAGACGATGCTGGATGGGCTGAAACGATGGCATGGAGGGATATCATCAAGAGAGCTATTTCAGGCAATCAGGGATCGTGATCTGTAGAGAAGCACGAGCGTCTACACCAGTTGGCAGGGCACATGATGATGATTATGAACCTCAAGCGCGTGGAATGCTGATCCAGAGAAGAACAAGAAGAGGATGCCATATAAGGATTAGTCAACAAGCAAAACGTGTACTTGTTGAAGATTCACTCCTATGAACCGGCACTTTTAGAACACAAATTATATCTTGAAAACTCGTTTCTTTACCCAAATAAATATTTCAACATGAAAGGGCTAATATAATAAATAAATAATAACTAAAACGAAACACAAACAAATACTAAAAACCATGACAGGGTTTGTTAGTATCGCAACCGAATACGACAAAAGAAGTTAACATAAGTAAATAATGTCAGCAGTAAACAACAAACGAATGGTGATTTATTTGAGATCGAAGAGTTAAATATAAAACATTATATGAAACTACAGCAGAAACCCCGAACATGGCAAGACAAGAAAGACAACGCGAAGAAAATGTGGCAATAACTCTGTTTGCCATGAAATCAATGAATCTTTCTCATACTATTATTAGAGAATAAGGAGACAATACGTCAGGCGCAAACTTTTCTAGGTGACGGAACTATACTGGTGTGATAATATGGTCAGTCTTACGTCGTCTAGCGCAGGGGTATCAATTTGATTGATTGATTCAATCATCCATTACTAGAGTACAAACGAAAAGAGAATTAAAAGTTACTGAAATTAATTTTAAGAAAAACAACCGAAATACTTTGCCACATTGAAAGACAAAACAGGCTTTTTAAAACCCCACTTGAGGGAAAGGTCGATGGAAATAGAGCAAGAGGTGGGCAATGATATAAGTCGGAGGACAACATCAAGAGATGGACAGGCAGCAGTCTGAGAGAGGACAAGAGAGAAGGCATGTCGGTGATCCATCGCAGCTAACCTTCACTGTGGAGAAGGCACCTGATTGATCATTACCTGAGAGAAATACTGATAGTCACTTCTCGTTCAGAAATGACAAAATAAATAAATGAATCAATCAAGAACTGACGCATCTGCGCCTAGGTACATTCCAAAAGCCAAGAAGAGGCGATATGCTAATAGTATCTGTTACAATATGACTGCGTTAGCGCAGTCGAGAGGAGACTCGCTTTCAAATCTAGCTGCGACTCACTACAGCCCACGGCCGGTCTTTGAAACCGGGCGGTTTCCGGAGTTCACCCAGCCCCTGGGTAATGAGTACCAGAGTTAAATGGGGTAAATGGAAAAACGTCGCTGTAGCTACAGAGTTGCGTGCGGACGGCGACACAGGCAGATAGTTTTTTTTATCAGCTGTCCGTACTGGTGGCAGAGCACTTATGGTTTATAACCGTGTGCAATGACGCTGGTTCACATCTCCCGACTTCACCTTTATATGATCAAAAGTCCGCCTGTGTTTTCCCCGCAGTCCAGTAAACCAACAAATAATAATTACTCCAATCTTGCATATCTAAACAACAAGCGATACACGCATGTGTTATAGTCGGGCGAGTGTTTCATGTTTCTGCACGATCAGCGACACACCAGTGTGTCATAATCAGTACAGTGTTTCAGGTCTCTGCACAATTAACTAACTACACACCAGTGTGTCACAGTACAGTGTTTCGGGTCTCTGCACAATCAGCTACACACCAGTGTGTCACAGTACAGTGTTTCGGTTCTCTGTACAATCAGTTATACACCAGTGTGTCACAGTACAGTGTTTCAGGTCTCTGCACAATCAGCTACACACCAGTGTGTCACAGTACAGTGTTTCGGGTCTCTGCACAATCAGTTATACACCAGTTTGTCATAGTACAGTGTTTCAGGTCTCTGCACAATCAGCTACACACCAGTGTGTCATAACTGGTTTATTTTTTTTCTTCCTATCTGAACCACCAGCTACACTCGAATGTGTCATAACCGGTCCTGTCTTTCATACAGTGTCAGAACTTGTGCAGTCTATCATTTCACAAGATACACACCAGTAGGCTATACATGCTGGAGTCCTTCAAGCGTGACTAGCGACAAAGACCAGTCGTACGTGAAGCTCAAGAGCACAAAGACTGTCAGCACACTTATCTGTTGCATTTTGCTGAGAATCGCTGATGGACTTGCATTGACTTCAGTGATGTCATCACGAAGTATAAACTCTTGGTAATAAATAAACTTTGGTTTAAGCCTAATCTGAAATAAGATATTTACACGTAGAGACAAACCTTATTTTAAAATTCTATATACTGCCACGGCGGTCTCTTTCCGTCAGTACTACTACATGGTTGCTCAACCGAAGAGTTGGGGCATCACAATGTAATATTCCCAAAAGACAGCTATGATACACTGAAGCCAACCATTTTTGTGGAGACGGCACAGAATAACGCGCATCTAGGGCGTAGTTGCTAGAGCGCTTACATTCAGCACAATATAGTAATAATAATACTGCTACTAATGATTGCTATTATTCTTTTTATCCTTGAGCTCTCTATAAATTATAAGGCTGAGCCCCTGCGCCCCTGCTTGACATCCCAAGCGGTAAAAAGGGAGGTAAAGGAATTGATTCATATCTAGGTTATGAAGTATGTCAGATGATAGAGAGAATTTAGATTATACTGTAATGTAGGAATCTAAAGGTAACCACATATGACATACTGTTGTTGTATTGTGAGGTGTTGGATTCTAGATCAATGTAACAATTAATGTCTGTCCAGTCTAACAATATCGTATGGCTAATGTAACAATATATAATGAATACTGCAACAATATATATATTGCAACAATGTATAATGATTAATATTAAAAGTTAGCCGCGTATCCTTCACAGACGTTGCAGACCCAACTCTTGTTGATTGTTGTGGATTTTCTAGGCAAATATTCAGTTTCAGTATTCCCTCGCCTAATTTAACGGCCAGCCCTCTGTATCACTTTCGAAACTAACACAAGGGCGGTCTGCTGCCAAATCGCCTGCAGCTGGGATTGAACCCGGCACCCTCAGAATTACGGAGCGCTTTCGCAATTACCCCTTTCCACTCTTTCCTTTAACTTCCTACCCTTTTAAAAACTAAAGATTAATGTGATGATGTTTAATGACTATTGTAGCAATATCTAATGTAACCGTGTCTAAAGATTAATGTAGCGATATTTAATGACTATTGTAGCAATGTGTAACAAATATTTAATGTAACAATATCTAATAAATATGTAGTGATGTTTAATGACTAATATATTACGTTATAATGACTGATGTAACCTGGGCTTTTTTCTAGAACAAGAAGGTGCTGGTATACACCACAAAGTTTATAAAGTGTACTCATCATGAAGTGTCTGTTACTGTAATGCTAAAATGATGCTTAAAAAAGCTGCTGGTACTTGGTACGGTTGCGTACCGCCAGAAAAAAAAAAAAAAAAAAAAAAAAAAAAAAAAAAAAAACTAAACTAATATGAAACTGTCTAATGATAAAATTTAACAACTTCTAATCTTATTGTTCTCCTCAACAGAAGACCCAATATATGTTCCATGGGAACGCCTGCCTGAAATATTCGATTGGTGCATTTGAGCCCCTATGTGTTCCAGGTAACATACCAACTAGCGGTAATCCCTTCTGTCCTCATTATAAACCACTTCTGCCTAAAGCGTCGTGGGGAGGAATAATCTGCGATTCAGTTCACACTGGCTGGCACTGACTATTGTCATGTCATAAAGGCGTAACGTGTCTTTAATGTTGTCGGCACCTATATTTCGTGTCTATCCTCTTGTAGATGATCTGAGATGTACTGCATTTGATGATGGTAGGTAATGTTGCATTCTAACGAGATCGTAAAACCATTTGGTTTGCTATTTCTGGATGAATTGGTGGCAACCCTATTCCGGAAATCCGCTAGATGACACAGTCCTCCTTTCGAACAGCGTAAAGGGAATAGAAAATATAATGTTGTCTGTCCAAAAGCACAGTGAAATCTGTTCTTGAATTTAAAGAAAACGAAAATAATGTCCACAGATAAAACTGGTTGTTACCCAAAAATAACAATAAATGATGAAGAAATTGAAAATGTCACAAACTTCGAATATCTAGGCTCTATAATAAACAACAATGGAAACTTCAACAGAAATTGAAAGGAGGATGGCCATAGCAATGCAAAGATTGAACAGCCTTAAAAGTCTGTGGTTAAGCACCAGCAAAGAGATAAAAATTAAAATTTCGAGAGCATGCATTTTCCCGGTGGCTACATACGGATGTAAGTCGTGGACTATCTCTCAGTCCTTGTTTGTTTGTTTTAGTATCCAGAAGCCATGAGTTGTTAACCCTTAGGCTCGGTATTATGGATATCGCAACCTTTCGGCCTTGATTCCATTTTAAATACCGTAAATCTGGGAGAAAATGTGGCTTTTCTGCCCACCCCCGGGAGTGAACCCGGACCACAAGGAGTTCGTCACCCGCTCACCGCGAAATCCGGTTTAGCCAACTTCGCTAGAGAGACGGGCTCTCTCAGTCCTTAAGAAAGAGAATAGGGGCTTTTGAGCTGAAATGCTATAGAAAGATTCTCAGAATATCCTGGACAAAGAAGAGGAGAAATATTGACATCTTAAAAGATCTGAACATCAAGGAAGATTGGCTAATAAACAGCATCCTTTCTCAGACGCTGAAATATTTTGGTCATATCAAGCGCCACAGCGGATTTAAAAAAAAATAGCAGAAGGCATGGTACCAGGAAGGAGGGGCAGGGGCCGACCGACACGAAGATGGGCACAGGATATAAGTGACTCCTTGAGTATGAAAGTACATGAGGCAGGAGAACTGGCGAGAAACCGAATTTCTTTCAGGCAGACTGTGATGAGAGCGACGTTCTGCAAAGAACCTGCTACATGATGATGATGATGGATGAATCTAGTACAAAGTATGTAATACTTGTCTGATGATATGTCTGCTGGTATAATTATTCGACCGCTCTCGGATGGTTAGCTTGGTGGCTTTTCTCAGGCATCTTACGGTTGGTAATTTTGTGGTTCAGTGTTCCTCAACACATGAGCCACAGCCCACTAGTAAGGAACTTCTGTGTACATTTATTTGTTTATATCTGTGTTTGGTTGGCTGTTAGATGGGAAGCGAAACACTTTCCCCCTGTTTGGCTGTTAGATGGGAAGCGAAACACTTTCCTCCTGTTTGGCTGTTAGGAAGCGAAACACTTTTTCCTGTTTGGCTGTTAGATGGGAAGCTAAACATTTCCCCCCGTTTGGCTGTTAGATGGAAAACGAAACACTTTCCCCTGTTCGGCTGTTAGATGGGAAGTGAAAGATTTTTCCCTGTTTGGTTGTTAGATCTGAAGTAAAACACTTTCCCCTCTTTGTCTGTTAGATGGGAATGGTAAAGACACACACAAACACAACCGACTGTTCCGATCAGGCTTAATGAACGGAGTACTAAATACAACACAAAATGTGACTGGTAAACTCAAAGGACATGACTGCAGATGCAAGGTCAACATAATACACGAAGTACTGAAATGGGGGGGGGGGGGGGGGGGGGGGGGGGGGGGGGGGGGGGGGGGGGGGGGGGGGGGGGGAAATATGAAGGGATATAAAACGAAACGAAATTATGAAAAATGATGGCGTATGTTAAAAAGAAAAAGAAAAAGAAAAGAGGGGTGAAATATGAATAAACTGAATAAATAAAAAGGCAAATTAAATTGAATTAAAGTAAATAAAGCTACGTTGAATTGTAGGACTAAGAGCGCCAGAACTATGGACGAACCGATTTGTAGCAACTGGAAGATAAAAGCAGTGACACACATACACACAAACACACACACACACACACACACTCAAATATTCATTTTTGGCAGCAAACCCGTCGCTGACAAACAGGTTTAACTCTACAAGTCTGTTTTTGTATTATATTCCCAGACACTGCTATCTTGTTGTCAACGAGCTACATTGGCAACAATAAGACTTACTTGGACACATACTTAGTCACCCATTTGCCAGATCCAACAGAGTACAGAGAATCCATTGACCGCAAAAGTAAGTGCGTTTGTACTCATTTGTAACTAATTTGTGTGTGTGTGTGGTGTATGTGTGTGTGTTGGTGTGTCTTCACCTCTCGGTTATTGCATATATTTGTGTGTGTGTGTGTGTGTGTGTGTGAATGTCTCCACCTCTCGGTCCTTGCATATGTGTGTGTGTGTGTGTGTGTGTGTGTGTGAGTCTCCATCTCTCGGTTCTTGCATATATACATGTACGTATCTTCATCTCTCGGTTTTTGCATATATTTATATATATATATATATATATATATATATATATATATATATATATATATATATATATATATATATATGTGTGTGTGTCTTCACCTCTCGGTTCTTGCACATATATGTGTGTGTGTGTGTGTGTGTGTCTTCTTCACCTCTCGGTTCTTGCATATATATATATATATATATATATATATATATATATATATATATATATATATGTGTGTGTGTGTGTGTGTGTGTGTGTGTCTTCACCTCTCGGTTCTTGCATATATATATATATATATATATATATATATATATATATATATATATATATATATATATATATATATATGTGTGTGTGTGTGTGTGTGTGTCTTCACCTCTCGGTTCTTGCACACACATATGTGTGTGTGTGTGTGTGTTCACCTCTCGGTTCTTGCATATATATGTGTGTATGTGTGTGTGTGTGTCTTCACCTCTCGGTTCTTGCATACACGTTTGTATGTGTGTGTTTTTCTTCACCTCTTGGTTCTTGCGTATATATATATATATATATATATATATATATATATATATATATATATATATATATATATATATATATATATATATATATATATGTGTGTGTGTGTGTGTGTGAGTGTGTATGTGTTTTCTTCTCTCAGTGGGTTCTTGCGAACTATATACATCTGCAGACATACAACCTGCATGTAAATTATCAAGACGCTTGGACGGTGCTACGACGGAAAGGATGCACTTTGAGAAGACCTGATAACAATATTTTAAAACAAAAGAGACTCGGTGGTTTAGCGGTTAGGCACTCCGCCTGCCGACCCGAAGGTCTTCTTTTCTAAACTGCGTCGTGTCTGATTTGTATTCTTTATTGTTTGAAAATGACATTGGCTCTCATGTCGACCAAGCCTAAAGTGGGTACCAGGGAAAGTTCTGGAGAGCTCAAAAGACCTGCTTGATTTTGACCACAGCACTCATCCGGGGCTGATTGATGAGTACAATTTTGGAGGTAGCATCATGTGTCCAATGTGGACTGGCGTGAAGAGGGTTGTATCCTTTACTGAGTTTTGTTACCTTATAACAAGAATATCTTCGCACTAGGATCCACAGGGTTAAAGGAATAAAAGCTAAGACATACACGCACACAACATAACAAACCAACAGACAGACAGACAAACACACATACACTCATAAAGAAGTGAACTACAACAGAAGTAGAAAAGACTGGAGGGTCATAGGCTGCGCTGCATGCAATAGGACGAATTGGAATGAGTGGTTAATGGCCTGTCTGTCGAAAGATGAAAGGGAGAAGAAGAAAAAAAGAAAGAAAGAAAGAAAGAAAGAATGAATGAATGAAAGAAAGCAAGAAAGAAAGCAAGAAAGAAAGAAAGAAAGAAAGAAAGAAAGAAAGAAAGAAAGAAAGAAAGAAAGAAAGAAAGAAAGAAAGAAAGAAAGAAAGAAAGAAAGAAAGAAAGAAAGAAAAAAATTAATAGATAAAAAAAGAAAGAAAGAAAGAAAGAAAGAAAGAAAGAAAGAAAGAAAGAAAGAAAGAAAGAAAGAAAGAAAGAAAGAAAGAAAGAAAGAAAGAAAGAAAGAAAGAAAGAAAGAAAGAAAGAAACACTCGATATGGAAAAAAATGAGGAAGAGGGGGCGAAGCCGAGAAGAAGCAGCAAAAGAATACAAGTGTCTAGCACTTGAAGTTACACCAATGACTGCCCATTCCTCAGGTTGCTTGCCTGTGTTCATGACGTTCACGTTAGACAGCTCGGTGCCAGACAGCGGCACCATGACCAGCCTGGTGATGTCAAACGTTCAGCCAGGAATCTCTAACCCGGCCGTCTTCAACCCGCCTCAGTACTGCAACACAAGCCCCAAAGAAAAGCCACATCAGGTGATGTAGTCTATTGTTACATCTTGCTTGTTCTTTAGATCTGGCAATGATCGAATTTCCCAGCTAAATTTCTCAAGATAATAAAGTTTTCAAGTTAGTAAATTAATCGATCGGTTATCCCACTGCACATCAGACAAGTCCATAGAGGCGCGGATCCCATTTTCAGTATATCCCTAAGCGTGTGGTGACTGATAACACCACTTGTGTGTTGGTTTGCTGTTCTTCTTTGACTGCCTATATGGTGTTCATGTCTGACAACACCTCCTGTGATCTAAGTTCTTATAGTCTTTTCAATGTTGCCGACTCACCGTCGTCTCCGAAATAATCTACTCGACCTGATTTTCGTATACCTACCGTGGCCATGTCTGCAAGCCAGTCCACCCTTTCATTCCCTCTTACCTCATAGCCTCCGGGCATAAAAGTGAAACTTCCTGTCAGACAAGACTTCTTCAACGAGTCCAACCTTACCTCAGAATCCACCCTGTCTCAGTTTTCTTAGGCATGCTCAAGGAATCACTTAAGAAAGCAGGCATGGGACAAATGTGTGTCTCTAGCAATATCATTGCCTTTGTTACATTATTTAGAGACCCACGCCAGACTTCCTTCAGGATGCTCAGTTTGCATATATTGAGAAAACCAGTGGGAAGGTAGCTGATCGGTTCCATGAACACTTCATGGATATTTGTAATGAGGCACCCAAGCCAGCCATACTCAGTTTCGATATTTTTGACTACAGAAGCAAAACCGATATCTCTATGACCACCATGTTATCAAACTATACGTTTGCTTTTCTTTTGCTAAATCGCTTAATGCAGTTGATTTATTTAATACAAATTGTAACTGACTCACAGAGCATGCCAAGAAAGCTGGAGACAGCCATGCTACGTGCAGAATGGCCAGCATCGCTCTAGAGGTCCAGGCTAGTTAGCATCCTTTGGATATTTTCTCCAGGTCATTCTGGTGTGTTGGCAAATGAGCAGGCAGATAGACTGGCCGGTTCTGCACCACTTGGTGGTGAACTGTTGTATGACATGCTGGAAGATGTGATGGCCCTTTGGGAGCGAGTGAACAGTGCCGAGGAACAGATAGATCATTACGGTCTGAGGAGAAGGGCTCAGCGATGAGTTACAAGGGTATTTGGCCAACGCTCGACACTCAGTGTAAAGGCGAGGCGGATATACAATCAAACAGTTACCGGAACCATCAGAATTTTAACTCTTCGCTTACTGCTGGAGATGGGGACGAAGCGCTTATGGGGTGTCCCGAGTTATGTGATGTCGATTCCTAATTCAACAATCAACATACAACGTTCAGTTGAGATGTTATGAGCCCAACAGGAAATAATACACAGCACAAATTTATCTAATTATCATCATCCGCATCATAAGTAACTCTAGTTATAATATTATTATCAATTTTATTTATTGCCCGTCCCCTTGTGTTATTATTATTACTATTACGATTATTACAATGTTCGCTTTTTAATTTCTATCATTAATATTATTACTACCATTAAAATTATTATTATTATTATTATTACTACCATTATTATCACAATAAAAACTGTTTATGTTCCTTTATGTTATGCTTGCAACACCTCTTTCGGTTCCTGTATTTCATATGTCTTTAGACAGTCATCCACGTGACTTCCGGTGTTAGATCTGGAGAATAGGATCTCTTGTCCTCTTGTTGTGCCATTCGTTGATTTCAACCACAGCGTTCACTTGTTCCTTGTGTGTGTTGTTTCACCCCTCCCCCGCTCCCACCTCATGAGCTTCCTGAAAAAGAAGAAGGAATGTTTACAGTGCTAGCTGACCGCAGCCGCCTATTTTTTATCAAATTAGTTGGCGCATTATGTCTGGGCAATACGTTCTCGTTTTAACCAGTTGTTCACATTGGTTTCCACAGATATCACGAAGTATTCGGCAGCTGCTGGCTAGACATCCATTGTTTGCAAGCTTTATGCACATCTAGAGGGAAGCGTCCTGGAACTATCACTCTTAACAAACACACAGTAACCAAACCCTTTGTATATACAAAACATTTATAATGCTCGGATCATGACAGTCAGCCTGCACACATTCCACAACTGAGCACGACCTAAAAAAAAAAAAACTAGTAGAAATATTGTTGGGAGACAACAAGGTGCCAGTGTACCGAAGTCTTTATGAAAAGCAAAGAATAGTAACACCGCCTCCTACTATGCTTGTCGTAACAGGCGACTGAGGGTTGGGTTGAGTTGGGTTCGGGGTTGGCTACATTATCCCGTAAAAATCAATATCCACAAAACACTAGAACATGGGACTATGAAGACAGCAACAGTACCACCAGAAATGGAATTAAGAGGACGCCTACAGATCAGACGAATGTATGGACTTTACCTAACGACATTTATCTCCTAGTAGTAGTAGTAGATTTTAACCCCACTAGGACATTACACAAGCGATAAACATCCGATGACACAAAGTTCCACCATGTTGATGATGAGGTTCACCGTGGAGAGGTCTCAGAAACCGCGTTCAGCCATTAGACCATATTTATGGTCGGGCTATATTGGGGCCACTGGCAGGGGCCAGAATAGGGCTTCGAATAACGAAAAATTGCATCTCACAAGGAGATGACTGGGTTAATTACTCCTATCCCATTCACGTAATCAGACGCAAAATTCATTGAACTTTCTTTACGAACGATCCAATAATTATGTCTAAAAATCCGGAGGGGAAAAATAAAGATAACGAGGATAAACCAAGGAAACAATAATCTAATTCCTTTAGCTATTATCCAACTCTAAGGTATGTAGTTATACACCTATTTAGTCAGTAAGGAAGATACAGATATAGGAAGGAAAACTGCTTGAAATTAAGTCGTTGAGGGCCTTTACTCCACTGTGGAAAAAAAGGGCAGCAGAAGAAGAAGAAGAAGAAGAAGAAGAAGAAGAAGAAGAAGAAGAAGAAGAAGAAGAAGAAGAAGAAGAAGAAGAAGAAGAAGAAGAAGAAGCAGAAGAAAAAGAAGACGTAGTACATTTGTGGCCTTTGTTATAGTTTTATAGTCCTTAAATGTTGGAAATTGTTAACTATTTCATAGTGTTTTATTTGTAGTAAGGTATTGTGAGTCTGAGAGACTGTTTCTCTCTCTTTACTATTAAACACGAATGGTGGCTGGCTATACCGTGGAAGAGTCTGACTAAAGTGTTCAGGTGACTTTTATAATTTAGTGGTTCGCACCCACAATCTTACCCATGGAACAGAAATTGCTTGTTGCAGTTACAATAGTCTGATATACATATCGCGTGGATATAATTATATACCTCGAGCCAGAGCCGTCTTAACAGTATTATGGGCGAATTAATGGGCTGGGCCTCCCACGACAAGCACTCACAAAAATTGCATTCTTATTAATGGCATGCCACATGACATGCGTAGATTAGCATGGGGCCCCTATGCTCCTGGGGCGCTCGGGCTAGTGCCCACGGTGCCCATGCGTTGAGACGGCCCTGTCTCGAGTCACATCCATAGTCTAGTATCACTCCAGATTTAATTAATTATTCTTCACTAATTAAGTTGAATTGACTCATTTCAAGAATTGCAGTCACGGCACTTAAGGCATTTCCATAAGCGCCCCATCCGCATCTTCAGCAACCAGCGCAGAGTTCCAATACTTGTGGTACCAGTAGCAGTCTAATTATACGTCCGTCTTGCCGTTCCTCGGAGCGTCAAATATCGTCCACATCCCTACGTCATTCCAAGCTACCTCACTTTCACCAGACTGTGGTGACCAATTTGCTATTCCGAACTGTACACGTGCTTCCATAAGGCCCTAACCACGTCTGCCTTATCGTGCATTAATGTTAAACCAAGTTTTCAAGAGACAGCCAGTCAGTCTGCTCGTTCATTTCCCAACACACCGGCATTCACCGGAAAAAAGATCCAGACAATGCTCCTCACCCGTGACTTTCGAAGCGAAGCATGTCACTTTGCACGAAGCATGTCTGTCCTCACCTTCCTCAGTAAGCTTTCTGAGTCAGTTACAATCACGATATGTTGTGTATCGTCTCTATTCAGCGCAAAGCTGCAGTGATCTTCTCCGTTTCCATTCTGAAGCTAGATGTTCTGGTATCATATGCTAGGCTCTCCTGTATCAAAAGTCGATCATGAGCTTTTGTTAAGAACCCCCAGCTACTCCTTTTGCCTCTTGACACTGAACCATCCTGTATAAATATGTATATCACCAAAGCCAACATAATCTTGAAATAATTGCTCAATTTTAACCTCCGTGGCATTTGCTGACTACTCCCCGCACGCCCGGCTCTTCACGAGTCTGATTGTTACGATGCCAAGATGACCCACTCCTGTTCTCGCCTAATGTTCTCCAGGATGCAAACCCGTCTGCTCGTGTCCTCTGCCTGAGCCATCCGTGACATCCTTTTTATCAGTCCCTGACCCTTAAGTGCATCCAGCGCTTCGTGCAAAGAGTGATCTGTGTCTGAAGCTACTCTAGATATGACTTTGTCCTATACCTTACCTGCAACAGCTGGAAAACCTAGAATTGTATCACTTCCTCACAGAACACATGTCACTTTATGACAACAATACTAACATATAGAGAAATATGCATAGTTCTGATCATAATAACTGACAACAAGTAGACGGTGACATATACAGCAGATTCTTTATCAATCTACGTGTTCAGAAATGTCAATAGGTGTTTGACCTTAACAAAAAATCTCTCACAAAGCTCTTGGACCCAGCAAAAAGTCTGATAACCGCATTTCTGAGACCAGCAGCACAAGCAACATAAAAATATGATTTGAAATCACTTGTAAATAAACGTGACAGTTTTACTATCTGCGTAAGAAATCAAAGGAAAAAGTTTAATTTGGTTAAAAGAAAACACATAGATTAAAACACGTAGGTTTCGGCCTAAGACAAACTGTCATTAGGATTTAAAAAAAAAAAAATCCTTTACAAAAGACATCACATTGAGATCGAACAGGTAGATTTCAATTGAATAAATTACACTGTGACAATACACTGAAAACAAAACATCACTTTTAGATCAAGTGTGTATGTATGCGCGCGCGTGTGGGTGTGAGTTTGTGTGTGTGTGTGTATGTGTGTGTGTGGTTAAAAACAAAATAACAGTTATATTAAAATCCTCCATGAAGCTGTCGTTGAAAGAAATCCACTGTTCGAGGAAACTAATAGATTTTATTTAGAGAAAACAATACTTTACACACATTTATATCATGCAGCGATCTGTTAGGCATTGGTACAATGCTAAAACGACTTCTGTACTGCTATTGTCATTATTATGTGCCACACTTAAAAGCGGTGGCGTATATCCGTCTCGCCGCATTTCCTTTGAGTGTTGAGCGTCGCCAAAAACTCTCTGGTCTATGCTTGCAGCAACAATCTCCGCATGCCGTGATGATCCATTTGTGCCCTAGTCCTGTTACTTCCTCCTAAAAAGATCCTTACAATATCTAGCTTGTCATGCATCAATTCAGCACCAAGTTTTGCAGAACTAGCCACTGAATCTACCTGTCGTTTTCAACGACACCGGCATTCCCTAGATAAAATATCTAAAGCTCATGATATTCTTTGCATTTCTCAGAAACTACAGTTTCCCTTTCATTGGAAGTTTTAGCAACCCAATCATCATCATCGTCATCAGGTGCTTTGTCGACTGGCGTGGGCGATCATGCCTCTCCATATTATGCGATCTCTTGCAGTATGTATCAGTTTGTGTGTCGACACACCTCCACGCCATGCAACAAGACTGTCAAGCATCTTATCTCGTTGTCTTCCTCTATTTCTCCTTCCACAGATCTTTCCAGTGGTCACAACATGTTCTATTTTTCCTCTTCTCATAACATGGCCGAAAAATGATGACTGTCTCCTGATGTCTGTGATAAGTTGTCTTCGGGCTCCCGCCTCTTTCAAAACCTCTTGGTTGCTCTTTTTTGGCTGTCCAAGGTATTCTAAGCATTCTTCTGTAAAACCACATCTCCGAGGCCTCCAGAAATTGTTTGGCCTGCCTACCGATTTTCCAGGATTCACAGCCAGCAACCCACTATTAATAGTGGATATATAAAGGATATATTGAGCAACCCACTATCAATATATAATACACCTGAATAATTTGGTGGAAAAGTGGTGAAAAGCGTTATCTATAAATAAATCCTTATCAATTATGGAGACCAGCATGATGTGTATACTCAGTGTGTTCTGCTGTGTGAGAAACCAGCTGCTGTGAACTAGCCCTGGTTACTCTACCACTGATCCTGGTCTAATGATGTGGATAGTCGTGTGTATGTTCTGAGACCACTTGTGTGGACAGGACAACCATGAGGTGCGTCTGGACCATCGGGATTGCTATAATCCCGTTGTGTTGTATTTTGGCAGTTCCATTGTTGGATTTAGCTGAAGTATGTGCAAACCGCTTTATTATTCTCATCATAATCGTCTTCGTCATCATCGTGTTCTTCTTCTCGACTGTAGACTCCTGATATTGATGTATGATGTTATTGTTCTACTCTGTTCTTGGTTCCTCTAGCTGTGCAACGCTCTTCCCGTTTGGCATAGGCCTTCTAAGCTATCAGAAAGCATTCTCTTTATGTGGGCTTACAATTTTGTTTGCTTTTAATTTATTTTAATGTAATGCCGCTTTGGTTCTGTAACAATCAATCAATCAGCATCTTCTTTACAGAAAGTCTCTCTTTACACGGCGCACTTATAATTTTTTTTTTTTTTTTTGTTTTTTTTGTTTTTTGTTGCTTTATCAAATTCTCCAGCCCTGTAAGCTTTCACACCAGATGCATCTTCAATGTCCTGAATCCACATTTGGGGAGGTCGACCTTTGCTTTGTTTCCGACAAACTGGCCCCTCCACCACCGTTCTCTCTGGACCACCATTGCGCCTGACATGACCAAAATACCCCAGCGTCCAGGAGAGGATGCTGCATAAGAGCCAATTCTCCTCGATGTTCAGGTCGTGCAGGATTTCAATGTTTTCTTAAGACTATGGCTGCAATTGACATAGAGCGGAGAATGCTTTTCACACTATATCAGCAGATGATCCTGTCAGTGCTGGATTATGGCCTGGGACTGTTTACCGTCTCAAAGAGTCAGATGGACAAACTAGAGCGCATACAGAACGCGGCTATGCGAGTCATTCTGGGTTGCACCAGAGACACCCCAGTGGTGTGTAAACGATACATCCTTGGTTTCCGACGGTTGCAGGTAGGTACAAGGTGCTGCAGGCGAAGTCATATCTCAGGGTAGCTGCAGATACAGACCACCCCCTGCATGAAGCTCTGGGTGCAGTTAAGGGTCAGCGGCTGATAAAAGGGAGGTCATGGATGGCTCAGGCAGAAGACACAATCAGACAAGTTTACATTCTTGAGAACATTAGGCGAGGAGAGGAGTGGGTCAAAGTGCCACCTGAGCAGTCAGACCTGTGTAGAGTCATAATCAAGCTGAGCCGGGAATGCAGAGACTGGCCAGCAGGTGCCACAGAGGTGGAAATTCAGCAATTAATTCAAGATAATGCTCGCTCAGAGGATTTGATCATTTACACAGATGGTTCAGTGTCAAGAGGCAAAAGAAGTGCTTGGGGCTTCTTAGCAAAAGTTAATGGTCGACGTTTGGTGCAGAAGAGCCTAGCATATGATACCACAACATCCAGCTTAAGAATGGAGGTGGAGGCGGTCACTGCAGCTTTCCACTGGCTAGAGAACACGACAAACATACACATCGTGATTGTAACTGATTCAGAAAGCATGCTGAGGAAGATCAGAACAGGTATGCTTCGTGCAGAGTGGCATGCTTCGCTGCGGAGGACACGAGTGAGGAGTATTATCTGGATTTTTTCACCGGGTCACGCCGGTGTGTTGGGAAATGAACAGGCGGACAGCCTGGCTGACTCTGCACAACTTGGTGGAATACTGCTGCATCATAGGGCAGACGTGGTTAGTGCCTTGTGAGAGAGCGTGTACAATTCGTAAGAGCAGATGGATCACTACAGTCTGGTGAGATTAATGCAGTTGGGGGTGACGAGAGGTTCTGGCAGAAGCTCGAGGCTCGGAGGAAAGGCAAGACGGACGTTTAATGAGAATGCTACTGGCACCATTAGTATCGGAACTCTTCGCTGGCTGCTGAAGATGGGGACGGAGCGCTTATGGGAATGCCCCGAGTGCTGTGATGTCGGTTCTTGAATCAAATCAAATCAAATCAAAATCAATGTTTTCTTCTTCTTGGTCAAGGGTATTTTAAGAATTTTTCTCTAGCATTTCTGTTCGGAAGCTTTTTGTTTCTTCAAAGTGCAGAACTGACATCTATGGTAACTACTAAAATATAATTCCTGGTTTATCCCCAGCAGTTAATTCCAGCTTTTCTGAGACTTCTAAGATGTCAGAGATAATCAGCAATAGTGAAAGAACGAAACCCTAGATTACCGCTCTCCACTCCTCCACCTCCCCTTTCTATATTACTGTGAATGGTTTCGGTTATCCATGATTTGTTTTAACTTCATATTATCGTCATTACCGTTATCATTGTTGAATAGGACAGCAGTATGACACTTATACACACACACACATTTACACACACACATATATATATATGATTGCTGATGAAGTACATCAGGAGGGTTCTATCAATATTAGCTGCAACTATTATCGTATCTAGTTCAGTGTGCAGACATTGCATTGATTGACACTGACACTATACTTGGTTGGCACCTTTCCCATTTCCAGACGATCGTGTTATACTGTGCTATATGAATGCACGAGAATCACAATCCTTGGAAATGGCCAGTTGGATTATCAAGATCCTCTGGCTTTGAGAACAGTCCTACACAATTAGAAAATGAGATTTCAGGACCATAAGAGCAATTGCATGTATTTAATGTGCGTCTTCTTAAATCTGAACCTATCTGCAGTCATTTTCTCCTTTATTTCTCCCCTCTGTTTTTGTTTTCCCCACTGCAACACGGTTTACGGCATTTTGTTCATACGAATCTGTCTCAATACTTATATCACTCTTGTCCCGCTTGCATACATCTTCATAGCGCAGTTGAAGCCGACATAAGGTCTAACCTGATATGTCCAATAGACCTGAAAGCATGGAAGGTGTCATTTACTTGACTTTGACTTAGAGGCCGGCCTCGACATCTTCTATCAAGCTGTAATTCACCATAAAAGATGTTCTTATGGATACTATACCCTCCCCCTTACTTGAAGTCAGGCCCAGCAACCTGAGAGCTCTTGAAAAATGCGAATTGAGAAAACGGTTGTGATACCAGCACTTTCCAATACCTCAGTGTTTCTGATCTTGTCTTGATACTTAATACCGAGTATTCTTCCTAAGAATCACAATGAAAGCTATTCAACCGTTTCTCTTCGTACGAATAAGGCAACAAATTTTTACTGCCATAAAAAAGATTGATTTAAACACATTATTAAAAGACAAGGTGTTTTTGTTGTTGTTGAAACGTGACCTCTTTGCCTTAAACTTCTCGTTCTGTTGCTGCCTTACACATGCTGAAGTTGATTTCTTGGCGCAATGAATGTTTGTTATTGACTGCGGATCCTAGATATTTAAAGGTGTTAACTGACCCCAGCTCTGTACATTATACTATCATTATATAATAGTTAGGTCTTCTAATGTTTATGGAGAGGTTTCTTCTTATTCTTAGTGTGCTCCCCCCCCCCCCCCCCCTTTTCAATACTCCCACCAAATCTTACATTAACAAACGTACGTGTCACAGCATGGGTAGTTAGCATCTTTTGGATTTTTTCTCCAGGTCATGTCTGTGTGTTGGGAAACGCGCAGGCAGATACTGGCCAGTTCTGCACAGCTTGGTGGTGAACTGATGTATGACAGGCATGATGTTGTGAGGACTCTTTGGCAGCGATTGAACAGTGCAGAGGCACATATAGATCATTACAGTTGCTGAAAAATGGCGCTGCGAAGAGTTACAAGGGGATCTGGCCGGCGCTCAACACTCATAGAAATGACGAGACGGATATTAAATCAGACAGTTTCTGATGCTATTGGAATCGGAACTCTTCGCTTGCTGCTGAAGATGGGGATGAAGCGCTTATGGGTCTGTCCCGAGTGCTGTGATGTCGATTCATAATTTAACATTGAAAATTCAGTCTGCATTCTATCTCTGGATGGAGAGTAGGTTCAGGTTCTAAATGAACTTCTGCAAGTGATGCTCTTGACTGTTTGCAGTGTGTACCAAGATAGTTAAAGCAGTTTTTATTCTTGTCTGTTACGACATAGATAATAAATCAACGGTGAAGTTTTTTGCATTCTCAAAGTGGGCTCCTGGTAATACACGAGGTGGTAACATGGTGCTAGCCCGTTTTTTTTTAAAAGATCCATTTTAGCTGAATGGGTCACGGGGTCCGTTTATTACTTGTCGTCTTTTTGTTCCAGAAATTTCTGTTTCACAATTTAGAGTCAAGATTTTTTTGGGGTAAACATTTCAAGTCGAAAGCGGTGCAGATGTATGACCATCACACCGAAAAAGAATTGTGCTAGCCAGAGCTATGTCTCGATTCCATTTCACATGTATTTTGAAGGAATAAATCCAGTAGAGGGTGATAACTGCAGCCAGTTTTATTATTGAAAACAACAACCACAACAAACGGGCTAGTTTCATGTGTTATTTCTCAGTCTACTCTAGCGAGTGGTTCCAAAAGTTATGTTTTTCTTCCTTCTATACAGATCACAGCCAATGACGGAGGTAAGTCTAAGAGATTGTTAGTTCTCTCTACATGAGTCTTTTCTTTCAAATACCTTATACACGGGGGGGGGGGGGGGGGGGGGGGGGGGATTTCAACGAGGAGAGTACAAAATATATCCATATTCTGGTCCGGATTCCAGATAACTGCTAACTGTTAAGTGCTCCAGTATAACTGATTTAAGGTGATTGAATTAGGTTTCCAGAAACTACCTACACCTGTTTGATTGTTATCTTTGAATTGTTAATCTGAAAGAAGGCAGTCCTCGGGGTAATCATTACCTACCTACTTACCTACCAACCGAAGGCAGGTTTCAAACAAATAAATTAAAAATGTCCCACTTAATGTGTTACATGTCGACCACAGCGGTACACGGCGAACAATGCAAGATAGAAGAACCCCTGGCCCACTACACATACAGGGGAATGGTTCTGGTCTGAATCAGGTTAGGGAGTTTAAATATCTAGGAAGTATGATCACAGAAGATGGTAGAATTGACAGAGAAACAGAAAAAAAGATGTCAGAAAGCAAGTGATACAGCAAATGTCACTATTATTAAGACATTTAAGCATATCTATGAATGCAGAGAGAGAGAGAGAGAGAGAGAGAGAGAGAGAGAGAGAGAGAGAGAGAGAGAGAGAGAGAGAGAGAGAGAGAGAGACTATAAACATCTTATTCATTCCAACATTAAGCTACCAGTGCCAAACATGGACACTATAAAATACGCAAAATCACCACCTGCGAGATGAGATGCCTGATAAAAGCAGCCAACCTAACCATCCGAGATCGAGTGAATAATGATCCTATCAGACAAATTGTGGGAACGACACCTTGTACTAGTTTGATCGTGAAACAGCAAATCAAGTGGTTTGGCCATTTCGTTAGAATGCAGCAAGATCAAATACCATCACAGAAGATCAGCTACAAGAGCAAGAGGACGGCCGCGGAAACATGGAACGACAACATTTAAGACACTCTTCGCCTTCAAGGCAGGACAATAGCCAGTAGCCAGTAGTGCACTGAATCGCGAATTATTCCTCCCAAGGCCACTTAACGGCAGAAGTGGTTTATGATGATGATGATAATGATTGTTTAACTAACATTTCATGGACGGTTTATCAGGACAGACAACTTTATTCACTAAATTGCTTATTTGATTTACTTAGACTGCTTCTTCTTCTTCTTCTTTTGTCAAAATCTGCTTGTGCCGCTAGGCGTCGCAGTCTATCAGATGATCGGCAACCGAGCCAGGGCGCGCTCAGTCGCTTCATATGCCGTGATGTTATGAAGTCTCAAGTTGTCCGTGACTCCTTCAATCCATCTTCTTCTTGGTCTTTCCCTGCCTCTTGGTGTTTTGATTTTCATGTTGTATGCTCTTGATGCTGGCATCGTTGGTTCCATTCTCATTAGGTGACCAAACCATTTCATTCTTTGCTTCTCAATAAATTTAACGATGGGTATGGTTCCAATAGTTCTTGTAATCACATCGTTTCTCACTCGATCTCTTCTGGTTTTATTCGCAGCCATTCTCAAACATCTCATTTCACAGGTGGTTAGTCTTCTCTCGTGTTATTTTGTTAATGTCCAAGTCTGACATTGATAACCTAATGTCGGTATAAAGATTGTATTTATAATTTGTCTTTTTATCTCAGCTGGGACAGCAGGGTGTTTTAAAATTGGGGCAAGCTGGTATGCGACATTGTTGGCTTGTTGGATTCTTGCTTCGATCTCTCTGTCTATTTTACCATTGGATGTAAAGATACTTCCCAAGTATTTAAATTCTTGCACTTGTTTTAGGCTGGGATCTAGAATCTTTATGTCGATGGTCTGTTGCTCTCTACTTATGCTCATGACTTCTGTCTTTTCAGTATTGATCTTCATATGATGCTTGAGGCAACTGTCGTGTAGTAGGTTTATGTGGTCTTGCAGCTGTTTACTATCACTGTGAAATATGCATTGATCGTCGGCAAAGAGCAGCTCATTGAAGTCCTCCTGTTTATCGACATCTGTTGGTGTTATGTCTATTTTATTATTATTGTCCATAAATATTATGAAAAGTAAAGGTGATAATACACAACCTTGTCTTACTCCTGATATTACTGGGAACCAGTCTGTGATGACAGCTCTTGAACTCTTGCCAGCTCCTTAGACTGCAACTTTTGATTATTAAGAAGTGTGAAAGAGACAGGCAGGTTTGTTAATTTAACATTTTGTGAAAGATTTAATAAGACACGTTTGTTCACGTAAGATTTGGTGAGAGTTTTTAGATGATTCCATTATTCATTAACAATTTAGTGGCTAATTTGCTAAGACAGCAAAGATTTCGTGGCATACTTACAGGCCAGAGTGTCCGCGGAAAATTATACGACAGAATATACTACAAATACTGGTTAGTTCGTTTTAAAGGATCACGTATGTAAGAAAATGTTTCATTCAAATTATTCCATTTAGTCTGTGTTTACGGGTCGCTGAGTGAATTACAAAAGACAGCGAAGATTATGCTAGAGACAATATTGCAGATATAGATTACCTATTTCAAGCGAACGATAGAAAAAGAATAAGAAGTCTGATTAGGCCTGGGAAAGGTTGGTGGGGAAAAAAGCATACGCCAAGGAAACAATATTGTCGTCTCTATTGTTAAATTCCACTTAAAAATTAGCAGTCCGATACCTATTTAAAAACTGAAGCGAAAAAAGATGGGTAACTCATAAATATACAATTGCTACTATCTATTGCAAGAGTTTTTAAAGCACCGGAAATCTATGGAAGTCAATGGAAATTAAAATTAGTACCGAACTTATAATATTGAATATTAAAGCAGTGTAGCTGTATACAGCTAACAAACTAACAAGATTCATTAAGTGGTGCCTGCACAGAGTGTGAAACTGTACGGTATAAGAAGATCACTACAGTCGAGCTTTTATGGAGAACTAAACAAATTCCAGTGGATAAAGAGCAGAGGAAGAGACGCTTGTGCTGAATATGAAACAGGATGAAAAAGCCTAGAACAACATGACTAGAATGTCTTCGTACTGGAACCTGACTTCCGGCCAAAATGGAGGATCAACTTGGCAGAATATTGAGCTTCAAAGTTATTTTTGCTTCCAACAGCGATATGCTAATGCAGTTTCCACAAAATGACAGTAGTCTACGGGTTCGCTGCCTTATATGCTGAGTTTGGTGCTTGTTTGCAGCCCTGTGAGCTGTTTTTCCCTGCGGAATGCCTTTCATTTGTGCAGCGGCTGTGTCATGGTTTTTAATATGGGCGGTAGCCGTTTTTGGTGTCTTCTTCTTCTTCTGTTCCACCATTTACCTCATCGAGGTGTTGGGAGGAGATGTACAGATCGTTTGTGAGCTTTTTCCAATGCCTTGTACAAGCTAGTGTTCATTTCTGTTAGGTTGCTCCTGATGATGTCGCTCCATATCTTGCATGGTCTTCCCCTTGCTCTGTATTCATTCTATTTCTTTAGCGTCGCCCTCTATAGCAGTTGGTAGCAGGACATTCTTATCAGGTGGCCAAACCATCTCATTTGTGGTTCTTTAATGAATTGCATGACTGGTTTCATCCTCGTCGTCTTCTAATGTTCTTTATACCTGATTTTACCTTTTCTCTTCTCACAGGCAGCTCTCCTAGGACATCTCATCTCTGTTGCTACGATCTTCCGCTCATTAGTTGTAGTAAAGGTCCATGTTTGGCACCGGTAGCACAATTTCGGTTAAAAAAAACTGCTCTTTTAAGATTTGCTTTGGTTGACAGAGGTATCTTTCTATGCGTCAGAAGCGGTGTTAATCGTCCCATAACCCGATTTGCTATCGCACATCGTATGTTGATTTCTCTATCCATTTTTTCATTTGAGGTGAAAAATGACCCTAGATATTCAAGTTCTCTCGTTTGTGTTATTTTTGATTATTTACTTTAATTGATATGGTTTCTTCTTGTTTACCTATTACCATTGCCTCTGTCTTATCAATGCTTATCAATGTTTACGTTGAGCTGATGAAATACCTTATGTAATAATTCTACGTTTGTATAGTAACCAACTGATCGTGCCCGAGATGATAGACAAACTGCATTTCTGGTGACGATGATTGGCTTTGGCGCCTCCAGAAACTAAAATACTCATATACAGCGCATATTTCTAGATTGTTCCGGGAATAGTTGTTTGTTCACCAGTTTTTTATATGCAACAGCGAGGGGCATTTGATTTGCACTGACACAGAAGTAAAGCAAATATGGGGGAACCTGAGTGCGATTATATTGAAACCTTGACTCTAAGACTAAGACTAAGACTGTGTTGGAACCTACAAGTTCATAGGAATAGAGGTAGATCAACCCTTCTCTTCCAACCCCCACTAAGAGTAAAGAACTAGAAAGATGTTAAAAATACAGTGAGGAAATGGAGCGAGCTGCATGCGATAGCAAAAGATGAGATTATTTGGCATGTGTTTATTGAAGGCCTAAAATCTGAGGTATAAAGTACGAAAGGCGATTTAGGGGAAGAGAGTAATGAGACGCATTAAGGATTGCTTATTTATAGCTCTTATGCTAGCAGGGTCGACACATCAGTGGCTACCCGACTTATTGCTGTGGGTATTTGTTGGCTTAGTATTGTTTCTTTAAATGACAATGTTTATCTAAGCAGTCTTCAAATTCGAACAATCTGAGAATTTAATCAATCTGAGAATTCAAACAATCGGAGAATCGGAACAATCTGAGAATTCGAACAATATGAGAATTCAAACAATATGAGAATTCAGTCTGAGAATTCAAACAATCTGAGAATTGGAACAACCTGAGACTAGTTTCAGTTTACATGCACCATGGGCTAGAGGAGAAACGCAGATGAAATGAGTACAGAAATGCCATTCTATCACTCAGCTGCCAATAAGCAGAGGTGTAAGAAGTGGCATGAGGGGGTACTGGCCACACATGACGTCATCAGCCCGTGTGTGTGGTGGTGGGGGGGGGGAAGGGTGACAAAATGGCAAAATGTTTTTTTTACATATTAAAGTGTATGTGTATGTGAGTGTGTTTGTGTGTGTGTGTGTGTGTGTGTGTGTGTGTGTGTGTGTCGGGAAGTAAACCCCCCCCTTCCCCCCCCCCACCCCCCCCCCCCCCCCCCCCCCCCCCCCCAAAAAAAAATAGGTACCGCCTTACATTGCAATTCCAGTGCCAATGAGTATGCCGTCGTATATTTACGTGATCGGTTGTTAAATAGAAGTGTCATTTCTAGGTAATACTCTGTCTTTCATTCACCTTACAGACACGTCTACCAGTGTTGATGACACACAAGAAATCACAATTGGGGATGTCATTATTAACGCAGTAAGTGATTGAAAATAATATATACACATTCAATCTGTTAAACATATACACAAACACACACACCTATATATATATACACTTGTGTGTGTGTGTGTGTGTGTGTGTGTGTGTGTGTGTGTGTGTGTCTAAAAAGAAAAATATAGAATTGTGTTCTTCTTTTACTTTTCTTCTCTTCTTCTTCTTCTTTCTCCTGCTCCTTATTCCCATACTCTTTCTTTCTTTTTTTCTTTCTTTCTTTCTTTCTTTCTTTCTTTCTTTCTTTCTTTCTTTCTTTCTTTCTTTCTTTCTTTCTTTCTTTCTTTCTTTCTTTCTTTCTTTCTTTCTTTCTTTCTTTCTTTCTTTCTTTCTTTCTTTCTTTCTTTCTTTCTTTCTTTCTTTCTTTCTTTCTTTCTTTCTTTCTTTCTTTCTTTCTTTCTTTCTTTCTTTCTTTCTTTCTTTCTTTCTTTCTTTCTTTCTTTCACTTTTCTTTCTTTTTTCTGCTTCTACTGATGCTTCATCGTCTTCGTTTTTTCAATTTAACTTGTTTCGCAGTTTGTGCTCTAGGCTTAAGGACACCATTTTTAGGTAAGTTGCAATATACAAGTGAGAAATGAGACGGTCACTATGTCCCCCCGCCTCGTTTTGTGCAGGAGATTATTAGATTTCTGGGTCTAGTGTCGGTACGCGAAGGGCGTGTTAAGTAAGCACCGTTGGCATCAACTCTGTTTTCTAATTCTGTAATTTGACCACATGTTACTCGCAGGCAATAAAGAGCAGATGCTGAAAGCAGCGGTGGCTAAGGGATCAATACTGCAACCAGCATTTGGTAAGTGCGGATACAGCAATTTGAAAACTTGCAGAGAATAAACTTAAGCCAGAGTCTGGTTAACTATTAAGCACACCAAGCACGTGCTTGGTGCATCACAAAGGAAAGAGGCATCACGCACTTTTTAAAAGCCTTGGCGCTGAGCGTTTGTTTTCCCCTGTTGAAATAAAAAAATTTTAAACGCTATCAGAACAACAATGCAACAATAATGTTGGAGTGTAGAATTAATGATAGTAGAAATAACGCACTGATGGTTCCTCTGTCGTTCCCTCTGTTTCTGTAATCATACATATTCCTGCCACAAGTGAAGCCACTTCTGCTCCGTCTTGCAATGTGAAATTCTGTCTTTCAGCACAGGAACGCGATATCCAACCCAAACATGAAATGGCCCGGCGGCATTGTTCCTTACACCATTAGTCCGCTCTATTGTAAGTAAAACTATTGAATATGACAATGAATTGAATATTGTGTTTGTAGATCAAGAAATAGACTTTGATAGAATAGACAGAAACAAGCTGTGGACCATTCTTGAAGATGATGGGATACAAGGAAAATTGCTAGATAACATCGTGGCAATGTACCACATTTCCCAAAGCGCGATGAGAACATAAGAAAACAATACCTAACACATTTACAAACAGTACAGGGGTGAGGCTGGATCTGCACTACTGGGTGGTGATTTGATACATGACAAGGCAGATGTTGGAGCAAGCAACGGAATCAGTAAAGAAACAATATTATTATAACCTAGAAAGAATGAGGCACCTGGGTGTAACCAAAGGATCCGGCCGGCTCACTACACTCAGAGGAGAAACAAGACGGACATAAAACTAGATCGTTAATGCTACAATCAGTATGGGACCTCTGCGCTGGCTGCTGAAGATGAGGACGGAGCACACGTGGGAATGTCCAGTGTGCTGTGTTGTCAATTTCTTGACTCAGCTTAACTGAACTAACTTTTTATTAGTGAGACCTATTTTGCAGAACATAATAATAGGCTGCATAGATCTTTAGATCCATAAATAATAGGTTGAAGTTCACAATAAAATAATAATTGTTTTATCGCGGATGGAAAAGCTTTTGTAAAGAGGAAGAATTGATTTACAGCAGCACCAAATTATAAATAAGCGATCAATAGCTTAAAGCAGTAATAAATATTTAATGACTTTTTTTTTTTTTTTAAACCACAAATACTGAAATGTTATATTTAGGCACTATCGTTTTCTTGGATATAACCATTACTTCTGACTTCCCATCATTCAAACTTAGGCCTTTTTAATCACTTTCTACCATCACCTTATTTATCAGTTCTTGTGGTTCTTTCTGACTCGTCGCTATCAAGACTGTGTCATCAACATAACATTGGTTGTTTATGTAAAGATAACCAACCACAATTGCTGGTATATTCTGATAGACTTCAAAATTCATTCGCTGTATAATGAAAACAAACTGGGTAATAGTACTAATCCTTGTAGTACTCCTCTCTCATCTTTATACTCTCAAATGTTCCCTAATGGTTATTAATTATTATAGCTGCTGTTCGCTGCCAATAAATGTTCTTTACAATTCGTAAATCTTTTCCATCAGTGTTTAACTTTTCCGGTATTTTTATTATTTCTTCGCGTTTCACACAATCAAAAACTTTCGTAAAGTCCATGAAAATACTATTATAATGCGTCAAATTTTGGTTACTGTTTTCCACATTTCAGCTTTATTCACAGTAAGTTTCGGAAACATCCACCAAGGTTTATTCAGCAATTACTCATTTCCCCGGACTTCTAAGTGCTTTCCTGGATGCTGAGACTTATTTCTTCAGAAAAGTGTGGTCTGCCAGGGCAGCACACACCTTGAACACTACCAATGCTGCAAAATTTCTTATTTATATTGTTTACAATAATGGGATGAGACACTTGATTATCAGGAAATAACATCATGAATTTTCGTACAACCACATTCGAATATCTGCCACCGTTAAGGAACACACACTCTTTCTCTAATAGTTACCCCCCCCCCCCTTTCCTCCTCCTTCCGTATAGCTAAGATCAATTACCAAAACACTGAAGTATAGCAGTGATATTTTAAACTAACGGTTACATAGCGCTTGAAACATGGGGTAATATACAAATTTAATTACGGTGCTAAGAAAAAAATTGATTTTAAAAAGTCTGGACATCAAACCCCCCCCCCCCCCCCCACACACACACACACACATATATATATATATATATATATATATATATATATATATATATATATATATATATATATATATGAAACGGTATATGTATATGTAACCGTTTGTTTAGAATATCACTGCTATATTCCAGTGTTTTAGTATTTGATTTTAGAGTTATTCAGGTGATAACTATTAGAGAGACGGTATTTTTAGCTGAGGATGTGTTCCTTAATAGTGGCATATATATATATAAACACAATTTAAGTTCGTAGTAAATGTATGCTTCGAGTTTCTGGATTAATAGACACGTAATTTCTAACCAAACATGTATGACAGCAATGGATATTCAGAATGACATAGTTGCGGCAATGAGGCAACTGGAGCAGGATGTTAATGATGTTGTGCGTGTTTGTGTGAAGTTTAGACCTAGAACTAATGAGTCCAACTATATCAGAATCTATCCGGGTAATGGGTAAGTCTATGTCTTATACAATAATTTAGTTTCTTTGTACAAGATATTAAATGGCCGGTAGATGATTTTTGACTGTTGTAGTGACATTGTCAGTTTTAAGCTTTAACTTGACTTACAATATTTCCAATATCACAACGAATGTGGAAAATGTAAATTAAAACTGGCTGGCAGAATTAAAGTGTGAGTTCTAATCTGGTAAGCTAGAGGTCATTAAAAAAAAAAAAAAATTTGTCTTCTGTACAGAAGACCGTATTCTCAAAGAAGTGAGAACAATTTGAGGGAAAAAAAATGTTGTAGGAGACTGGAAATGTAAATAAGTGTTTAAAGAGATAAAGGAAGTGTGTTAAACAAGCCATTACAAGCCATAACACGCTTGTAAAAACTATTCTGCGAACGGTTGGGATTAAAGGCAAGCAAGCAAGTGACTGACAGTGAATAAAAAGCGGTCTCAGATAGTGCACAGCTAGGGTAGGTTTAATTAGTGTCTTGCATCAAACTCCAGCATTTCTTTTTTGTTTTTTTTTAAACTGCCTGTTTCCAAACACCGATCTTGCATTCTATTAGAAGTTAGTTAACCGACACACTATCATCATTGCACATCGAACCATTCAGTCCATAAATGCTTGGATCACCTCCTCAGTAAATTCCGCAGTATGTAGCGGCTAACGACTGCCGGTCTCCCGTACTGTGATGGTTTCTTATTCTTCTTTGGCTTTATAGAAAATGGGTTTGGTCCCACTTCTATTAATGTGATATCCCTGCAGACTGGTTATAGTAACGATCCCCAACTAGATTATGTCCTACCAACGGTCACTGACGAGACTGTGTGCCTCCAACTTTCACTGACTAGATTGTGTACCTCCAAAGGTGGCTGACTAGACCGTGTACCTCCAACGGTCACTGACTAGACTGTTTACTTACAAGGGTCACTGACTAGACTATTAACCACCAAGGATCAAGACTAGACTATATACCACCAACAATCACTGGCTAGACTGTAATCAGGTTTTAGACATATGGCACAAAACGTCTGTGGGCCTGTGGTCATACCTTGGAATCCTTCTCGAAAAACAACTTTAAAAAATAAAAAGACTTATTACGCATGTAAGTTGACTGTATTTGAACTTCACGGGAAAGAGAGGTTCATATTGATTATTCAATAGCCATGATGATTGGTCTAATAATACTGGGTCAGCACTGATTCTATGTGTGTATGTATGTGTATATACTTTGTATGCTTCTCTGGTAGCATTTTCTTACAGCAACACCCCAGTGTAGCTTATCTGGACAGAATTCACAGGACAGACCAGATCAATGTTGTCCCCCCTCAGTGAACTGAGCTGAGTCAAGAATCGACATCGCAACAATTAGGGCCTTCCTAAGCTCAGTCGTAGTTCAGCATCCAGGAAAAAAAGTCCAGTTGCAACAATACCAACTTCATTTTGATGATATGTCTCTTTTGTCTTTCTTTTGATTCTGGAGGAATGTTGTATAACAGTTGAGTAGAGGGGGAGGGGTGATGTAATGTCTCATTCTGACGACTATCGTGATTTTTTTTCTTTGTTTATATCATGATGTACTGTTTATCTTCTTATCCCCACTGTCATGAAAGGTTGGTCATTACGTTTCTCCAAGGCCTTCAGTTTCGTGTGCTGCTAAATATTTATGATGCAGAGGATTTTCCATGTTATGGTGATAAAATGTCTAATATTCTCTTGCATGGTCTGCTCGAAGATCTCTTTCATTCCAACGTTCTTTTAGTCATTTACTCCAGCTCCCTCCTTCCTTCGCTCGGTGTGCCCACATAATGTGAATTTTTTCAGTCGTTTGCGGGTAATCAAATCTTATTGTGAAAAAAAAATTACTTTAAAAAAAAACTATCAAGATTTTTATCTCTCCAAAGTATTTTTGTTAATCGTCTTAAAAATAAAAAACGATCCTTGCAGTTTCTATATGATATCCCAATAATTTCTTGCTGCATAAAAGTGTAAGTACTAGGTGTGTGCCAGCAAATGTTTTCAATAAGCATGTTTATATCTTAGATGCCGTGCAGCGATTGGCATGCAGAACAGGGGCAGACAAGATATCTCTATCGGCCGAGGTTGTGAGGCAAGGGGTGTCATCCTGCACGAGCTGATTCATGTGCTGGGATTCTGGCACGAGCATAACCGAGCTGACCGCGACACCTACATCAACATCAACCTCACCAATATCAGAGACAGTAAGTTCGCCAGATGTCCTCTATGACCAGGCTTGAGTGTCTGTTTCGTTCTTGTTCAAGTAACCTAATATCTCTAAGGGAGCCTCCATGATGTTGTGGTTAGACGCTCGTCTGCGCATCGTGGTTTTAAACCAGAATGGAACAAAACCTTTTTCTTCAGAAACGATCTTTGCTCCCAGGTCAACCCAGCCTTAAATGACTAGAAGCTAAAGTCATGGGAAGTAAAGGCGGCCAGTGAGATAATAACTACATCACCTATCTAGTGTTGATTGTTCTATGAAATGTGAGTCTAGAATTATGTACCCAAAACACCTAAAGGCGGGGAAAAGGGTCATCAACTGTACTTCAATAACTATGACTGTGTACGTCTCTACGTTGGCGGAACTGATATGACGGACTAGTTGGTCGTCTGCTGGGCACATGCTGAATACGAGCATCAATGAGCCACGCCAAGACAGGACAGCAGGCAACACCAGATTAATGAACAGATGCCGAACATAGACATCAATGAGCCACGCCAAAACAGGGCTGCAGGAAACCCCAGGTCGATGGACACACGTCGAACACAAGCATCGATGAGCCACGCCAAGACAGAACTGCAGACAACACCAGGTTGATGGACACACGTCGAATCAATGACAGGACTGCAGGAAACACCAGGGCATTACTTGATTGACACACGTCAAACACAAGAATCAATAAGCTACGCCAAGACAGGATGCAAATAACACCAGGGCACTACTTGATGGACGCATGCATGGTCACATCTTTGGGTGGCAGCCCTCAGGTGTAAACCAGCACATGATCACGAGAAGCTGCCACACATGTGATGGTCAGTCTAAATCTTCGTCTTCTGGTGGTTGTCTTGGCACATGTTTAGACCATTTGATCTATTGTCTCTTGATGTAGTTTAATACTACCTCCGATCTGCCTCTTTCCTGACATCGTCATGTTTGATCTTGTTTGTTCTAGTTACTTTTTAGGATTCACCGTACACATTCCATTTCTGCTATTTCGAATTTTTCTTTTCATTTGTTGTTGATGTCCATGTTTGGCACTGATAACACAGTGCTGGTTTAAAATAAATACTGTATTGAATAGTGCTCTTTTAATGTCAATTGTTAACTCTTTGTTCTGCAAAATTGGTGGCTTCTGTCCAATGATTATATTTGCCTAATTACATCTATGTTTGATCTCCGCTTCGATTCTGTCAGTCTTCTAATGTCAGCTTTTTTCCGAAGTTCAGTTGTTGCTACAAATACTTGGTGTTACTCTCTTCTCGTCCCACACTTTAACTTTCGTCTTCTAATAAACGTGAAAAGATTCCATTTGTGCCTTGGACCAATTCGTAAAAATAAAGATATATGTGCCAGTTTGGTCACGTTACAAAAAGTCATGTTTTTTTTTTATATTAAGTCATCGTTTAATCTCTCCTGCCAGACTTAAGGCGTAGGCTTCGAATCTACATCCAGTCCCATTGTTGTAATGACACTGACACCTGGGTCGGCCAAGCCTAAAATGAACATGAGATAAAGTTTTGGAAAGTAAAGGCGGTCTGTGTGGTGTTGGTCACATCATCTATCGAGGGATGATCGGTTTAGACAAATCTAAGTCTAGTACCTTATGCCTGATGCGCCACTGGAGAGGAAAGGGACCTTTTGCGCACATATTTCTCGAAGCTATCATTTTTAACGAAGATAACCGTCATCGTTTGACGTGATTGCAAAAGGCAAAACTTTAGCGGTTTCTGGTAGCAACAACTATAGATTTAAAAAGTTTATCTAAGGTTCAACTAAACAGCAAAAAAAAAAAAAAAAAAAAAAAACTATAGAGTAAACCACAGAAGAAAGAATTTCATATTTTAAATGCTCAGTTTAACATTGAACCATTTAACACAGCTTCATAATAACATGAACAGATACTAAGCTGGATTTTAGACAAGTTTCTTCTGCTATGCTGAATACGCTGAACACACCCTACGACCTGGGGAGCATCATGCACTACGGTCCTTACACCAATGCTATCGACAAGACAATACCTGTGATAACCCCGAAACCCGGCAAGGCTGTGGGTATTCAACTGGGGCAAAGGATGGCGCTGTCCACCTGGGATGTAGTGAGAATCCAGAGATGGTACGGATGTACTGAAAGTAAGTCAGTTATTTACATAAGATGGACATGTGACTGCTGCTGCCTGGTCCTAAATTTAGGTATTATTGAACTGAGTTCAGTTGAGAACCGATACTACAATACTCAGGACATTTAAATAAGGACTCTGACCCCATCAGCAACCAGCGCAGACATCACCAGTAGCTGTTTGATTATCCGACTGTATCCCTCTTGCCTTTTCTCTGTAAATGTTGGCCAGATTCCCTTGCTATTCTCCTCTGCACCAGTCTCTCCACGGCGTAATGCTGTTCCGCATTGTTTTATTGATTTCCAAGGGCCTTAATCACATCTAGCTTGTTGTGAATCATTTCACCAGCCAGTGAACCAACCAAGGAACGCATGAAACGAACAAACCTTATTTTCAAAGGGTTAAGAATTGGGCACGCAGGCCCTTCTAACATTCAGTCCTTGTGGTGCAGAATCAGTCTGTCTGTTCTAGTTGATGATAGAACTCATTGCTGTTCATCAGCTAGTCTCTTTTTAACTGCTGCCTGTATCTCTTAAATTGTTTGTTGTCTGTCTCTCTTCTGCCTTCAAGTAAGATAATCTCATCATCATCATGTAGCAGGTCCTTTGCAGAACGTCACTCTCATCACAGTCTGCCTGAAAGAAACTCGGTCTCTCGCCAGTTCTCCCACCTCATTTACTTTCATACTCAAGGAGTCACTTATATCCTGTTCCTATCTTCGTGTCGGTCGGCCCCTGCCCCTCCTTCCTGGTACCATGCCTTCTGCTATAATTTTTTCCAATCCGTCGTGGTGCTTTATATGACCAAAATATTTTAGCTTTCGAGAAAGGATGCTGTTTATTAGCCAATCTTCTTTGATGTTCATATCTTTCAAGATGTCAGTATTTCTTATCTTCCTTGTCCAAGATATTCTGAGAATTTATCTATAACATTTCAGCGCAAAAGCCCCTATTCTCTTTCTTAAGGACTGGGAGATAGCACGACTCACATACTATGTAGCCACAGGGAAGATGCATGCTCTCAAAATTCTAATTTTGATCTCCTTGCTGGTGTTTAACCATAGACTTTTAAGGCTGTTCAATCTTTGCAGCCGTGGGCTGTTGAACGCCTAGTAACTAAGCGAGCATCTTAATGGTAGTCCATCCTAATGGTAGTCTATTATTCACTATCATCACTTACAGTCGAACCATAGCCACCCAGGTACCTGACAACATTTATTTCTCATATTTTTATTTTTTATTTTCCTAAATTAATTTTTTATATTGTTGACAATTTTTTTTTCATAGATGCCTCACACATAACGAGGACATATCTAACAGGTAAGTTTTTTTGATGGATTATGATTCTGAAATATGAACTGAACTGCTGAAAATATAAAAACACACATGCTGCCACAGATTCTATGACATGTGCATAAAAAGATGAAGTTTAGATTTGCACTGAATGGAAAAGGGGTGGGAGGGACAATATACAGTGTATGCAGTCAAAACTACAACAATAATAATGAAATTGTTCGTGAACTCCCTGTGTGGGCTTAAGTGACCCAGATGGGAGACAGGAAAATAACACCCCCCCCCCCCCCCTTTTCCCCCTTTTTTTTCCCACTCCCAACTTCAAGCATTTAGTTTAAAAAAAAAAAAAAAAACAACGGAAGATTAGAGGTGTTTACTGCAAAGCCTTGATGTGAGAGGCGAGGCAACAACAGTTTGCACATAAATAAGTCAGATCAGTAAATCTGGTGTGCAGATAGGTAAAACTTAAGGATTGATAGCGATCTATTTTGCCTAATACTTCTGCGCTAATGACAGCGCTAGACTGCCTACCTAGCCAAAACAGTGCTAACAATCAGTCCTTTTCAATTATAGCGTACCTTTACCCACACAGGATACATGAATACATAAGTAGGAAGAGCGTTAAAGTGTCAGAAACACGACAAAAAATTTACTCCACCAACAGCAGCCATTCCGTGTTTACAGTGACCCGGGCGGAAGTTAGATAATTCTATGTGAAACCTAATGCCGCGCCAAGACTAGCAGTGCCCCAAACTGCGATCTAGGTCAACCAGGGCCGTCAGTTTCTCCCACATTTAATAATCCTGCATAATCATGATCAACTCATATTATTTGAAAAAAAAAAAAAAAGGATACATGAAGTCCAATCTGTCTGGACCATCCAGTCAGGGACAATAAGAGGATAACCTTAATCGGACTGTATTTGAACGCTCTGGGTTCGCGCGTTCCTGCAGTTTATCAAATCGTCTGACAGCTATGGGTAGTTTCTTCACATAGTTTCACCTGTCTTACACTCAGCAGAAGAGCAGAGTAACAGCAATTATTTTTATCTTTAATGTATTTACCCATGCTCATTTGAAGTTTCCGAGTGAAACGGATACCTTCAAAGAAGGTACTGATAGACTTTCAAGACAAAGGCGAAACCCGTCTACATGCTAAGGAGGTTGAGCCACGAATGAAATCTGTCATTTCAAATCCGCCATAATCAGAAGCGGAAAGATTTTTTCTGCTAAAAGTGGCTGTGATTCGGAATAGGAATTAGGGTCCATTAGACTTAGAAATCACTTACCTATGAGTGAATTCATTTCATAACTCACGCCTAATAGAATTAGGATCCATTAGACTTAGAAATCACTTACCTATGAGTGAATTCATTTCATAACTCACGCCTAATAGAATTAGGATCCATTAGACTTAGAAATCACTTACCTATGAGTGAATTCATTTCATAACTCACGCCTAACAGAATTAGGATCCATTAGACTTAGAAATCACTTACCTATGAGTGAATTCATTTCATAACTCACGCCTAATAGAATTAGGATCCATTAGACTTAGAAATCACTTACCTATGAGTGAATTCATTTCATAACTCACGCCTAATAGAATTAGGATCCATTAGACTTAGAAATCACTTACCTATGAGTGAATTCATTTCATAACTCACGCCTAACAGAATTAGGATCCATTAGACTTAGAAATCACTTACCTATGAGTGAATTCATTTCATAACTCACGCCTAACAGAATTAGGATCCATTAGACTTAGAAATCACTTACCTATGAGTGAATTCATTTCATAACTCACGCCTAATAGAATTAGGATCCATTAGACTTAGAAATCACTTACCTATGAGTGAATTCATTTCATAACTCACGCCTAATAGAATTAGGATCCATTAGACTTAGAAATCACTTACCTATGAGTGAATTCATTTCATAACTCACGCCTAACAGAATTAGGATCCATTAGACTTAGAAATCACTTACCTATGAGTGAATTCATTTCATAACTCACGCCTAACAGAATTAGGATCGAAAATTATCCGTATACCAACATTTTGACACACAAGTACAAAAGAAGGATTATTTACTCATGGAGGAAAGCCCAAGATTTGAAAATGGTTCATTTACATAGCGGTGTGCAACATGTAGGCGAGTCAAACCACCCAGGGGTGTTCTGCTGGTATGTGACATGAGGAAAACCGCAGAAATGACTCACACTACATGTGCCAACAGATAAATATGTCAACAGGAAGGATGACACGTAACAGCACTGGATGTTTAAAACAAATAATATGTTCACTGTATACTGTAAAGAATGAGTCGACAGTATTTGTGTTTACACAATATGTTTCCACAACACGTGTTAATTTAATATGCTTCTAGTATATCTGGTAACAGAATGCGTTTCTACCATGTGTAGTAGCAGAATACGCTTCTAGCATATCTGTTAACAGAACATGTTCCCGGTTTAATCCTCTGTTAATTACTTTCTTGAGTTCTTATTGCATGGATATTAGATCAGTTTTTGAGAATGAGTCAAAATGCCAGCATTGAAAGCGTACTACATGATTAGGAAACACCAGGGGGCACAAGGAGATGGTTTGAAGGAGTCACTGACAGCTTAAGATCCCACAGTACGAGTGACTCAGCTGCTTATCATCCGTTAAACTGGACACCTAACGGTCATCATCATCATCATCAGGTGCCTTGCCGACTGTCGTGGCGATGATGCCTCTCCATAATCTGCGATCTCCTGCAGCATGTATCAGTTCGTGTGCCGACACACCTCCATGCCATGCAACAAGACTGTCAAGCATCTTCTCTCGTTGTCTTCCTCTATCCCTCCTTCCACAGATCTTTCCAGTGGTCACAACATGTTCTATTTTCCCTCTTCTTATAACATGGTCGAAAAATGATGACTGTCTCCTGTCTGTGATAAGTTGTCTTCGGGCTCCCGTCTCTTTCAAAACCTCTTAGTTGCTCTTTTTTGGCTGTCCAAGGTATTCTAAGCATTCTTCTGTGAAATCACATCTCTGAGGCCTCTAAAGAATTCTTTTTCTAACTCTCAATGACAAGGATATATTGCACAAGATGTTTTTCATTTTATAAAATGCAGTTTTTGCCTGTCCAATTCTGTTTCGTATTTCAGTTATGCATCTTCCATCTGATGTTATCCATGTGCCCAGATACTTTAATTTCTGTACTTGTCCTAAAATAACACCATTGACTTTTATTATACATTTAGGAATAATTTGTTTCTTTGATACCACCCTTACATCTGTTTTCCAATTATTTAAACTGAGGCCCATTCTTCCACTTTCTAACACGACAATGTCTATCATTTCCTGTAATTCTTTCTGACTTGTTGCTATCAAGACTGTGTCATCAGCATAACGTAAATTGTTTATATTGTGCCCACCCACCACAATTCCGGGCATACCAATTAAATCTCTCATTATATATTCACTGTATATTGAAAACAAATCAGGTGAAAGTACACATCCTTGTCGTACGCCCTTCTTTATGCTTTGAAATGTACCTAAACAGTTGTTAATTCTTATAGCTGCTGTTTGCTGCCAATACATATTCTTTATTATTCGTAGATCTTTCCCATCAATGTTTAATTTTTCTAACAGTTTGATTACTTCTTCATGCTTCACATAGTCAAATGCTTTTGTATAGTCTATGAAGCATAAGTACAAATCAGTCTTTACTTCTATAGCTCTTTCTGACAATGTCTTTAGGATGTATATGGCATTGTTTGTACCTTTGCCTTCTACAAATCCACATTGTTCATCGCTGATTTCTGGTTAAACGGTACGAAGCAGATAGTAAAATAATTAGCAATATTGTATGGAATACTTTCTTCGTTTGCCTCATTCTCACTTATTGAGTCTATACATATAAAAGTACTTATCTGACTGTTATCTGACGTTTTTACTTTTTTTGAACAATTTCTACATTCGTGATTTATTGTAATCTTTACTGTGCTCACTCATATTGTCTTGTGTAATGCCTCAGACAGTCTGGCCAGGTGCGACTTTGCGAGTAGCATGTGCAACCTGACACATGACACAACTTCTGAATTTCGCTGGACGGTCATGGAGGGCAGCAGTGGGGCAGGACCTCGGGCGGGAAACACAAATGGCGCCGGTATTTATAGCTTGAATGTCTTGTGCATATTTAATATCTAATGGCGGAACGCGGGTTCTGGGACCTCCCCACAGGTGATCCTCATCCACATAGTGGCGCTTTGTGTAGTCGGGTGTTTATCGCTTGTGTGATGTCATAGTGGGGTTAAATGTACTACAACTAAAAATTGTGTCACTGATCTGGGGAAATCATAATTTTTTTTTTCAAGTTGGCTTCATATCCTTTATAGGGCATTACAGAATCAGATTCAGCAGTTTTAGCTGTTTGTGACTTTGCCCTGCGCTTTTACGTTCACTAGTTTGCTAATGCTTTCTGAATGGTGGCTATTGACATCAGTGTTGAAAATAAGCAAGACGTCAAATCGCCTGCAGCTGGGAGTGAACCCTGAACCTCAGCGTTCGCAACACCTAAACAATTACTGCTGGCTGACTTTCTACCCCACACAAGCGATAAACACCCGATGACACAATGTGCCACCATGCGGTTGAGGATCCCCATGGAGAGATCCCAGAAACCGCCTGCAGCCTTTAGGCTATATTTATGGCCAGGCTATATTGCGGCCCTTGGCAAAGCCAGAGTAGGGCTTCAAAAAAACGAAAAATTTCATCCTGAAAAAGACAGAAAATGATTTGTAAGACAACAATCTAAACAATTAAACAATAATGCTGACGGGGAAATTGAACAAGTTTTTAAAAAATAAGTAACCCAGTGAAACTAGCTGTAAAAAAAAAAAAAAAAAAACCTGGTATAGTTTTGAATTAAAACTTTAGTTGTCTGGGAGTTTCTGCATACAGTGAGTTGAGCTGAGTTGAGTCAAAAACTCAACTCGGGGCATTCCTATGCCCGCTCCGTCCTCATCTTCAGCAGCCAGTGCAGAGTTCCAATACTGTAGGTACCGGTCACAATCTGGTTACATGTCCGTCTTGCTTTTCATCTAAGTGTAGTGAGCCGGCCAGACCCTCTGGTTACACACAGGTGACTCATTCTCCCCAGGCCAAAATAATCTTCTTCCTCTAAAGATTCGGTTGTTTAATTCCAAAGGACCTTGACCACATCTGCCTTGTCATGTATCAATTCACCACCCAGTGGTGCAGATCCAGCCAGTCAGCTTTTTTTTTAATAGACAGTGGCTTGGGGGTAATCCCCATGAATTCATGATTACACTCCTTTCACATACAAACGCTACTCAGTTGGTAGGGCCGATACAGGTTTCCCAGTTATATCCTGTTTCGAGATTAATATGGTATCTTGGATCTGACCATCCAGACTGAGGTGTAGTCTCAGGAAGATCAAACTTTCTGGTAGAAGTCAGGAGGGAAAACAACGGAAACTAAATCTCCAGAATTGTCAGGATTTACACACCATGGCGGCTTTGAGGAAGACCCTTTCTCATAACAAAGAATTCGAGATCATTTCCAGAATTTTCCGAGCTTAAATTTGGAACGAATGGCGACGAGAAAGCTAACCTAACATCCCCTTCATATGTCGTGGCCCAGAAGTGTCGCGGGCAATATGAACAATGATTTCGCTGTTGCTAAAAGTGTTATAAAACATATACTTTCTGATTATTTTAAGTGTTTATCATCAGATTCCTTTCTGGTTGCCAAGGAAACAGATAATAATGGAACCGCCCGTATTCTGACGCCTTTCTTCAACGTCGGCGCTATTTGTGTCAACTTCTTCGTGTTCCAGCGTGGGCCATTTTCTTACCTGGACGTAATGGCGTCAGGGCCTATCATTGCTCCAGTAGTGGTCCAATCATTTCAAGGTAACAACGCCAACGAATGGCTCCCTGTTCACGTGGACATCAACGCACCAGTGGGTGCAGCTTTTCAGGTAGGTGACATGTCAGGTGATTCACATAAAAACTAAACTAACCCCGTTGGTATGGCTCTCTTGGTTTTGTGGGGACATTTAAAAAGAAGAAGAACTCACACGGGAGCATGCACAGCAGGGGTTCACCGATCATCAGTAGAGATCTTTCGTCGACAATTGTTTCGGTCCATTGCTTCATTAAACAGTCTCAGAATGTGGGCCGACCTGGGTCACGAAGCTAGGCCCCGATCTTCCCCTGCAGCACTTCATCGGACTCGATAGGGACGAGACAACGGTGATTTTCAACAGACACTGAGATTTGTCTCTGCGGTAGCAAATTAGATCAGTTGACCACCTTTAGGACCAGAGTGACAAGTTTATGGTTGGTTCATAAAAAAATTGTTAGATGAAAAGCTCTTTTCCGCTAGGGACTCGGACCAGTCTACTGAGGCACATCCCTAACGACGTTCCGTTGCGTCCAGAGCTAGATCGGGGCTCTTTCAGCAGCCTCGCCCAGTTGTGGCAACAGTTATAAGATGGCGCTATACATATAGGACAAGTCCTGAGAAAAAACGAACAGAGAATCACCAAAGAGGCACCTGGGATAAAAATGGAATAAAGAGGCGAAGACGCTCAAATGAAACCCTAAAACAAACGTTGTTAAGAGAATCCAAAGCTGCTGGACTGTTTTCCATCTATTATAATTAGGTTATTGCATAGAATATAATCGAATAGAGGAACAGATTAGGTGCTCTATATGACATATGATTGCACAACAGAACAATGATGATGAAGAAAATATCAGTTTATACATATATTTTCCTTTATAAATGTAATTATTTCTTCTTTCGTCATCTCACCGGTTGACGTGATTTTATTTATTTTTCTTGCGCTTCTCGGGTGACTTTGATGGTAGATTTCTTCCTATTTTTTGCAGGTTTCAGCTACACAAGTTATTTATCTCTTTGTTGGTCGTCCATTTCCCCCGCCTTCCTCCCAGATGTTCTATTAAAAGTCTGATAAGTGATTGGTCTGACTGCATTCTCACCAGACGGCTGGACTGTTTTATTATTGGTCTTTCAATATAATTAAGACATTGTTTTATTCCAACTGTTTCTCCAAAGCTAGTATTAGGAGCCATGTAACTTGTATTGTTTAATGACCTTACGGAGATACCGTATTTCACTGGAAGTTATTTTCTGTTGTAAGTGCCATATTCATTGTCCATGATTTGCACTGACAGCACAGAGTATGTATGTATATGCTATTAATCATTTGCTGTTCTGCTGGAAGAGAGACATTTTGGTGTCTAATCAGTTTGGCTAACTGCTAGGTGACAGCATTTGCCTTCTGTACATTAGTTTTTTTATCTCTCTATCGAGTTTGTCATCCTCTGTAAATATGTTTCTTAGATATTTGAATTCTCGTACTTGTCTTCTTCTTCTTCAGCATTCCGAGCCCTTGAGGTTAATTGCTGCAGATATCACCCACCTCCATTTAATCATCTATCTGGTTGGCTTTCTCTTGGTGACACCAAGTGTTTGCGGGTCTGTCTCGATATTATCTCTCCATCGTCTTCTTGGTCTGCCTCGTGGTCTACGACCATTCATCTCCCTCGCGTATACAGTGTTTACTGCTCTGTCATCTGACATTCTTTCAATAAGCACCAACCATTTCATTCTATTAGCTTGTTTCTAGTATCGATAATCTGAACGTTCATGTTTTTATGCTTCCTGCCTATTCTCATTAGCTTAGTTTTCGCCCCCCCCCCCCCCCCCATATAATGCTTTGTGCAGGTTTGATGTAAGCAGTCAATACGGTGTTGTAAATTGTGTTCTTAGTGATGTATCGTCTGCAAAAAGAAGTTCACTGATGTCTTCAGTGTCTGTATTAGCCTCCGGTGTAATCTTTCCATATAAGAGTAATGAAAGGCAAAGATGAGAGGATGTATCCGTGTCTGACACCTGATGAGATGGGGAACCAATTCGCCATTCCTTCTGTTTTTCTTACAGTACACTGACTATTTTGACAAAGAGCCATGATGATACCCAATGATCTTGATTACCATAATCTTCTAGAAGTTTCTATAGTTTACATCTACGGATTTGATGGAGTCATAAATTAGATATAAGTTATTTAAGTTAAAAGTTAGTTAAAAATTTACAACAGCAACAAACATTCAGCTAGACAGAGAGACCGACTGACTGATTAATTGACACACTCACACACACACGCGCACGCGCACACACATACACGCACATGTATATATGTATATTAGTGTGTCATATTATCAATATACATATAACTAAACATACGCTTGTTATTCACAATTTTTTTTTCTTTTTTATATCCAGATAACATTTGAAGCTCACTTATCATCCGGTGATGTTGCTATCGATGACCTCAACATTTACAAGGGAAGATGCATTTGATCCGAAACTTCATCCCTTCTTTTTATTAACAGAAAAAATAAAAGACTGATATAATGATCTCACACGTCAATATGCTTTCAGTCATGTCAACCTGCACTCACTCACTACTTCCCTAACGTTACCTGCGTCTGGACAGAGTCAAATTTTCACACCTATTTGAGAAAACCTAATTAGAATTCACAGTTGTAACCTTATCACACAGTTGAAAAAAAAAAAAAAAAAAAACTTCGCAAACTAATAAAAAAAACGAGATTACCAACACGTGAAATTTCTGTAAATTAATTCAACAAAGTAAAAAAAAAAAAAAACATGATTGCCATCTGTACATCGTTTTTGGCATCTTGAATCCATCTTTTGTTGAGAAAAATAGTTTTCGCTTATCCCGTTGTTCTCAGCAACAACCTATTTGGGTTCAGGGGCCTCCACTGGGGAAGAACAGGCTTTCTATCCATTAGGAAGCATTTCGAAGAAGGAAATTCATTAAGGGTTTACTGTTGTCGAATGTTTTGGATCGAAAGGCGTACATACTGCAGTCTAGCTGTGCACATCGACTATCCGGCAGTCTGACATCATGGCCAGCCGCTAGATACATAGCCATTTAAAACAAAAAACATTACAGCGGAAAATACAATTATATACATGTCAAATCTATCCCTGAGAACAATATATATATTGTGTGTGTGTGTGTCGGCTCTGTGGCTAAGTCGATGAACACTTCGTAAAGCCGGGACGCCGGGTTCGATCCCACCTGCTGGCCATGCGCCTTGCGTTGGTTTCGACAGGGGTATCAAGAAAGCCGACCGTTCAGAAGGCAATGGCAAACTACTGGATGTAAATTTGCCTAGAAAAACAACACAACAGCTAGAGGCTGTTGGGTTGGTTCTGCAACGTCCTGTAAAGGATACGCAACTAACCTATATATATATATATATATATATATATATATATATATATATATATATATATATATATATATATATATATATATATATATATGTGTGTGTGTGTGTGTGTGTGTATGTGTATGTTTTTGTGTGTTTACTGATAGAGGCTTTGCAGCCCCAGCGTGAATTATTTTACTTGTTGTTGCGTTCTCGTCCACTTTCCTAACACCCCCACCCACCCTCCTCCATGTATTTGTCATTTCAAATCTTTGCCTTGGTTTCGCCCAGATCATGTAAGGGTGGCAAGCATCGCTCCAAAGGTTCCGGGTAATTAGCGATCTTTGTATATTATTTTTCCGGAGCATGCAAGAATGTTTCGAAATAAACAAGCAGACGGACTGACTTGTTCTGAACCAATATGTGGTGAATTTATGCATGATAAGCTAAATGTGGTCAAGATTTTTCATGATCAAGTGAACAAAAGGCACGATTAAATAATAATGGTTTAGAGAAAAGGGTACAGCTAAAAGTGACCAGAAGATGTGGTCGATACTATATATTCCAAAAGAAAGGCACGACGGAGATATAATAGAACTGCCAATAGAGCTATCAGTATCTTTGGCTTCTGAAGATGAGGACGAAGCGCTTATGGAATGTCCACAATGCTGTGCTGTCAGTTGTTAGCTCAACACTCAAGTAGGGACACGAAATAAAACATCATGACATATAGTTGGTCGCAGCATTACCAGATGGAAGTTTTACTTTCTTATTATTCATCACTTAGTAGTCCTCCTCTTGTGGGATGCAGTTTTTCGTTATTTTGAAGCAGCACCCTGACTATTGCCGGGCACCCTAATACAAGGTCTGACAGTTAAGTAAGGAGACTGATTTTCTTCTGGCTAAGTCGCAAATGCCATCTGTGAATCACATCATGGAATTTAAAGAGGGAACCGTCTATGATCTGGCAACTTTTCATCGCCGCCCTATAAGCAGACAACAAACAAGCCGCCATTTTGTTAACCTATTCAGAGTTGTATTGTTACGTAATCAGCATGGAGCAAAAAAGCTAACATTAAATTCTATTTAAAACTCAGAAAAAGAGCCATTGCAACAGTTGAATTGACGCGACAAGTGTATGGGGATAATTGTTTATCTCGTGCATAAATTTTCAGCTGGTATTCATGATTAAAGGTGGTGTGGAAATGATTACTAATGCAACTAGACCTGGACGCCTAATTTATGTTCCTAATGAGGAATTCATTGCAAAATTCGAAGAACGAATACAAAAAGATCGTTGTCTGACTGAGAGAATGATGGTAGAGACTATTCATAAAATTTAGTGGGAGATTTGGGTGAGAAAAATTTTGCATGTCGGTTTGTATTCAACACCTGGCAATTTGTTTCTTCTTCACGACAATGCACCGGCTTGAAGGGCGGTAGTTGTACAGGAAGTTTTTTCCAAAAACAAGTACGAGTTCTCAACCATCTACCTATTCCCCCGGATTTGTTTCCTTGTGACTATTTTCCATTCCCAAAATTAAAGTTGCTATTGAAAGGACGCTTCTTTGACGATATTGAAGACATCCAAGGGAGTCGTAACATCGACTTTAAAGACCATCACGACAGAAGAACTACCGAGGTGGTTCCAGTGTTGGTTAAATCGTCCCACTCTCTGTATCAATGTACAAGGGGCTTACTTGGAATAAAATACAGGTTATATCTTCAACTATTGATAATAAAATACAGGTTATATCTTCAACTATTGATAATAAAATACAGGTTATATCTTCAACTATTGATAATAAAATACAGGTTATATCTTCAACTATTGATAATAAAATACAGGTTATATCTTCAACTATTGATAATAAAATACAGGTTATATCTTCAACTATTGATAATAAAATACAGGTTATATCTTCAACTATTGATAATAAAATACAGGTTATATCTTCAACTATTGATAATAAAATACAGGTTATATCTTCAACTATTGATAATAAAATACAGGTTATATCTTCAACTATTGATAATAAAATACAGGTTATATCTTCAACTATTGATAATAAAATACAGGTTATATCTTCAACTATTGATAATAAAATACAGGTTATATCTTCAACTATTGATAATAAAATACAGGTTATATCTTCAACTATTGATAATAAAATACAGGTTATATCTTCAACTATTGATAATAAAATACAGGTTATATCTTCAACTATTGATAATAAAATACAGGTTATATCTTCAACTATTGATAATAAAATACAGGTTATATCTTCAACTATTGATAATAAAATACAGGTTATATCTTCAACTATTGATAATAAAATACAGGTTATATCTTCAACTATTGATAATAAAATACAGGTTATATCTTCAACTATTGATAATAAAATACAGGTTATATCTTCAACTATTGATAATAAAATACAGGTTATATCTTCAACTATTGATAATAAAATACAGGTTATATCTTCAACTATTGATAATAAAATACAGGTTATATCTTCAACTATTGATAATAAAATACAGGTTATATCTTCAACTATTGATAATAAAATACAGGTTATATCTTCAACTATTGATAATAAAATACAGGTTATATCTTCAACTATTGATAATAAAATACAGGTTATATCTTCAACTATTGATAATAAAATACAGGTTATATCTTCAACTATTGATAATAAAATACAGGTTATATCTTCAACTATTGATAATAAAATACAGGTTATATCTTCAACTATTGATAATAAAATACAGGTTATATCTTCAACTATTGATAATAAAATACAGGTTATATCTTCAACTATTGATAATAAAATACAGGTTATATCTTCAACTATTGATAATAAAATACAGGTTATATCTTCAACTATTGATAATAAAATACAGGTTATATCTTCAACTATTGATTATTTAAATTTTTATGGAATTAGTCTCATTACTTAATTGTCGAACCTTGTATAACCTATCGGTTGAGCGGGGTTTCCGGAACCTCTACATCGGTGATCCTTATCGGAATGGTGGTACTTTGTGTCACCAGGTGTTTATAGCTCTATGTGATGTCGTGGTGGGGTAAAACATACTTACTTACTAATCTCTTGCTATGCTAAGATAAATATTCTCTAGCAACAGTTTTGGGAAGCCACTACACCTGGTGTGCTTGAAAATAAAATGCTTCCTCTTTTGGGGACTGAAACTGGACATATTTCTTGAGAAGCTGAAGTCCAGATTATTTTGTAACTGAATTTATATTCAAAAGCAGGGATTAGATGCGAGAGGCGACTTATACCATCGCGTTTTATAGAACTGGCTATGCCTCTCTACACAGAGAACATTTAGTGGCACGTGAGAGAAAACTGTACATAGTACGAACTCCTTAGTTTCAACAACCCACAACAATTTTTCCAAAACAATTATAATCGTAATGCGAAGAACGGAACCAACATCGAAACCATATCCTCCAAAACACGAGACAAACTGCTTGTCAGTTATGCCACAGACATTTCTTAAAATATCAGTATTGTATAAACAACTGTAACAATGAAAGACCACTGCACAACCACTTCGGTAGAACATGTTAAAGAGAGTTGCTAAGTTTTCTAGTGATAGAACAGGCAAGGGCTATTCAATACAACGCTAATAATTGCACAACAATTCCATTCTAATTCCTACTGCTAATTCCTTGTACGAAAAGCCATCTATTGTCTTGTTCTCACGCGTAGGCATGGGTCGATAGTTAATTAACTTACTAGCTACAATAAAAATGGCAGAATCCAAAAAGAGAACACCAGTTAACACCTAGAGTGAGATTGTATTTTGAGGTAGCTGTTTGCACTGCAAAGATTTAATTACAGTGTCAAGTTAATGGCTGGTATTATTCTTTACTCACAATCATTTAGTGTGTTTTCCAAACACAAGCGAATAGTATCTGTCGATATTAACTACGTTTTATAGTTTCTCGTTTTTTTTCACCCCCTCCTTCCCCCTCCCTTCTCCTCCTCCTGCCACGCAGTGTATAAATAAAAATAAGTACTTTAAAAGATATGGTTAACGTGGTTATAGGGAGTATCTTAACCCCTCTGCAAAACTTTTGGGTAGGAGGGG